CCTTCTGCATTTCATCCATAGTTGATTATGTTATTCAAATATTTTTATATACGTGATTTAAAGAAGTCATGTGTCATTGTGTATTTGTTTTTTTTTTTACTAATTATTAATATTAGATTAAGGTAACAAGTCTTAAAGTCAGCTCATTAAGAGAATGAAATACGAAATACAAGTAACTCTTATTTAAGGAACTGACCTGGGAGTGTTTGTAATGAGCAAGACTTCCTTAGATTTTAATTTGTCTCGTTTTAAGATGTAGAATCATCTTTCGGTGGCGGCTCTTTAAGAGTTTTAAATGATCTAGTGAAGTGGATTTGGCTTATTATTTTGGCAGGTTTACTTTGCTTGAGTTAATTTGACTTTGTCTAAGAATATTTAGCTTCTTTCTAGTAGGGCTGTTTTTGCTTTGAAGTCATAAAGTCATGATTCACATCATGGCAGCCCTCCCTTCTCCTTTTGTTGTGTTGTTTGTCATTCCCTGGGTGCATTTGAATTGTCCCTCCTATCTCCTTTCACTATCCACTTTACCTTAACCCTGGGGAAAACATCATGAGGTTAAGGAAAGATGTTAGGAGAATTCATAAAGGATTTAGGGAAAGGCGATCTTGTTGCTCTGTCAATCTGACCACATTTACACTAGGCCACATCATTAAATGTTACAGGCTGGTGGAGGTTAATGACGTGGGTCTACCATGTTAAAACTACAATGTTCAGAAAATGCACTACTAAAAGCACATCTAAAAAACTTTCCCCTGTGCCTTCTTACCAGTGAAATAATCCTAATTACCACGAGGTTGGGATTGAAATAAAAGCAATATAGACTACCAGGCTACAAATAACAAAAGTGAAACCATCACCTTCCTGTCCACTCATAAATCAACATCAAAATAAGTATGATTGTATGAAATTAATTACCGTATTGGTCCAAATATAAGACGACCCTGATTATAAGACCACCCCCGTTTTTCAACACTCATATTTAGAAAAAAAAGATTTGCAGACCAGATCTTGTTTTTGTAAAAAACTTTTTTTAAAGAACTTAATTTTATTTGAAAATAACAATATTAAAAACACATTGAATTAAACACCTGTTGTATTAATAATTATAATAATAATTAACATACCGTATTTATCGGTATAGGCCTACGGCACTTTTCAAAACAAAGTGTTTCACAAGGGCGAACTATGTACAGCATGATTCAACATTAAAATCGATTAACAATCAAACAATATTATCAACATGTTTTTAACATTTTGAAATAACAGAGGAAATACAGGCAACGTTTTTAACTAAACTACCGCTAAACTAAAACTCTCCAAACTTCTCCTCCGATGTCTCCTATTCCTCACACACGTCCTCCGCCCCGCTGTGTTCGCTCTCACTGTCATCACTCCCCTGCTCCTCCCAGTGTGTTGACATTTAAAGGGACAGTTAGAACAATTAGAGCTGCGCTCTGAATACTAGACCCCGAATATAAGACGACCCGACTTTTTCGGACCTATTTCGATGGGGAAAAAGGCTGTCTTATATTCGGACCAATACGGTATTACATTTATGTAAGATATAGATCCTTAAGTGAATGAAATATATTGAGTAAAACATCATCTGGCTAAAAATGTCTGTTATCCTTTTATCTCTTGATGTGTATCACTTTACGATCATCGTTCATTTCCGTGAATGGTCGGATGTGCAACTTGCTTTAAATGTTGTAGCCGAAAGGAATTGTGGGGCGGCATATCTCATCTCCTTTCATAAAGGATGGTCCAGAGTATCCTATGCTAAAGGAGGTTATAAAGGAAGCATTGATCCACCTTTCCTTAGCTTTTAGAGCTTTTCCTTAGCTCTTATCATGGCCGCCACTTAAACGCTTCCAGGTCATTTCACTCAATTAGGAACCTTCCTCAGAAAAAATGACAATTCGAATGCACCCCATCTGTTTTATCCTCTTGTGTCTCTCCCCTGTCTGTGTCTGTGTGACTGTGGTGGGCTGGGTTTCGTTTTCCTAGGCGGGGACAGGTGCAGCTTGTTGGTGATCAAGGGTCTCAACTACAAAGACTTCCCTCTGCCTCACCTCGCCGCCAGATTGTTTCACCAGCTCGTGTGGTATCCAGCTTTCTTGGCTCCTTAGTTATGTAGATAATGTTCTGTATCGACAAAACTTTTGTTGCTAACCTCGTTGTTTTTTTTGTCTTTGCTCACCAGATCGCCTTTCATGTTTTCTTCACCTCGAATGTGCATTTTTGGACACCGCACTCGGATTCACGGACACTGCCACTTGGGACCTCGGGACTTCGCACTACCCCTCCCCCTTGCACATTTTTGAATCATGTTTGGAATAAGCTCTCTGTACACGAGTCCTGCCTGTCTGAGTCATGCTTTTCGGTCCAGATTTAGTACTAGCCGTAACAGATAAAGTCCATCACACTGTGGGCTGGTTCTGTGTCAGGCAGGTTAAGTTCTGACAGGGTCAGGAAAATAGGGTGCAGGGAAGGACCCACATGCAGAAATAAATGGACTCACAGCTGCAATAAAATTATTCTTTTCCACATTATACAGCCTTCAGGCAGGTCAGGGTTCAAATACAAACACTTCAAAAGAAAAAACCCAAGATAGAACCAAAGCACACAAAGATCATTAAGTGGTATGTCTATAAGAGTCATTATAAATGTAAGCAGCTATTGCTGTCATCCTCTTTCACCAGCTTTGAATTGAGTTTATTCAAGCTGGGTCGCTCTCACGCTGTGGTCTATCGGCCTCCCAAGTAAAATAAAGACTTTTTAAATGGCTTTTCTGATTTCCTGGCTGAAATCATGCCTAAATATGACTATGTTCTTATTGTTGGTGATTTTAATGTTCATGTGTGTTGTCCTGATAAGCCAATGGCAAAATACTTTTTTGAACCTCATTAATTCTTTTAATCTTGTGCAATCTGTGTCTGGTCCCACACAAGAACATGGACACACACTTCATCTCGTCTTATCATATGGTTTGCCTGTTTCTAACCTTGAGATTTGTGATGCAGTGTTTTCTGACCATATGCCTGTATTATTTGAGGCTGCTGTTGCCTGCAATATAGTTAAAACTCCCGCTGCTTCTCGGCGCTGTCGTATTATTAACCCTTCCACTGCTGTTCAGTTCTCTGCCGCTTTCAATCAGAACTGTGTCATACCCGAGTCTTTGTTTAATACGGAGGAGCTTAGCTCATGGTTTCACTCAACCTGCCAAACTCTTTTAGACACTGTGGCCCCATTAAAAACCAGGCAGCCCAAAACTAAATCTGAGCCCCGGCTAAACGACACGACTCATGCTGTTAGACGCGAGTGCCGTAGAGCTGAGCGCAAGTGGTAAAAGGACAAACTGCAGGTGTCATTTCAAATGTTAAGGGACTGTCTGCTTATGACCCCTCAATATCTGTCCCCTGCTCTGCTGTCTTTGACCAGTTTGAGCCTGTGACTCTGTCCTTTTTACAGGAGATTGTTGGTCATTTAAAGTCCTCAGGTTCTCCAAATGATACTGTCCCTCCTCATCTATTTAAATAGTTTTTCCCCATTGTAGGACCATCTGTTATTGCAGTCATTAATAGCAGTCTGTCCTCAGGTGCGGTGCCTGAACTGTTTAAACATGCAGTAGTGCAACCTCTGATTAAAAAACCTGGTCTGGATTTTGCAGTTCTTGCTAATTTCAGGCAAATTTTCATCTCCAAACTGCCTTTTCTTTCTAAAGCCCTGGAAAGATAGTTCACAGTCAATTAATGGCCTTTCTAGAAGAGCATAATGTTTTAGAGGTTTTCCAATCAGGTTTTAAAACCCTGCACAGCACCGAATCAGCTCTTATAAGAGTTTTTAATGATATATTTTTAGCTACCGACTCTGGTGACTGTGTTGTCCTTGTTCTTTTAGATTTAACTGCTGCATGGACTGTGGCCAACCACTGTGGATCATGATATCTTGATCTCTCGTTTGGAGCGTTGGGGGGGCATCAGGGGCATAGCACTGGATTGGTTCAGGTCGTACTTGGCTGATCAAACTTTCTGTGTCAGCCTTGGTGACTTTTTATCCTCCTCTGGTCCTCTCTCGTGTGGAGTTCCACAGGGCTCAATTCTAGGCCCTCTCCTTTTTTCTTTCTATTTGCTCCCGCTAGGTTTAATACTTAGAAAGCATGGCATTGCATTCCACTGTTATGCAGATGACAGCCCGTCTCCAGACGGTACAGAATGCAGCAGCACGTCTTTTAACTGGCACATGTAAATATGACCTCGTTTCCCCCATTTTAGCCTCACTCCACTGGTTGCCCATACAATTTAGGATCAATTTCAAAATGATTTTATTTGCTTTTAAATCTCTCAATGGTCTTCCCTCTCTGAGCTTCTACACCCGTACACGCCCACCCGCTCTCTCAGGTCAGCTGATCAGCTGCTCCTGAGGGTGCCTAAAACCAAGCGGAAGCTCAGAGGGGACCGTTCGTTTGCTGTTGCGGCTCAAAAATGATGGAATGATATACCTCAGCACATTAAACAGGCCTCTTCTCACAGTAAGAGAAGACACACAGTAAGACGTCGACTTGTTTATTTGTTTGTTTTATTTCTTTTTTGCGTGCCTATTCATTTTACTTATGTTTTATGTCTTTTAACTTGATTCTGTATTTCACATGTAGTTTTCTTTTATTTCATGTGAGCTGTTACGTATTTTATTTATTCTTCTGTACAGCACTTTGGTCAACTGTGGTTGTTTTAAAGTGCTTAACAAATAAAGTTGGATTGGATTAGATTGGTAAGAAAACTAAATGAAGCTGATGAGAGAAGACAGGTGAGTAGAGTAGAAGGGAAGGTATAGGCTATTGACCTAGAAGAGAAGGAGGTGAATTCTGAGGATCTCTGTTGGAGAAGTAAGAGAAACAGGAGGAAAGCACGAGTCCTGGGAGAGGTGAACATGGACTGAAGACTGAGAGTGATGTAAATGGCTGAGGATGAACAGAGCTCTTTGTTAATTTCAATTCTCACCTTCCATCAGCCGGACGTCCATCTTTAAAGAAGATAGGAAGAAGTTTAGACTGGTCACTCTTCATGGACACACAGCTGGGTCCAGGAGAGTCTGGTCTCTGTTCCTGCATCCTGATACAAACAAACAACATTATTAGTTACTGTGAGCAGCAGATGAGACAGTGATGATGATGATGATGATGATGGTGATGATGATGATGATGATGAAGATGAAGATGAAGATGATGATGATGATGAAGGTGGAGTGAGTGCTCAGCAGAGACATGGAGAAGAGTCATGGACAGTTAGAGATCCTCACCTCAGAGCTTCATGTTCCTCACACAGAGAGGTTTTAGAGGGAGGTACTCCCTCCTCTGTGTCCTCACACTGATTCATAGCAGAGCGCCCCCTGCTGGAAGAGCTGCACTCTGTCACTACAACAACACTGATGGAGTTCAGCTGATGAAGTCACATCCAGTCAAAGATCTTCAGCTGTGGAGAAAACAAAGAGATGAAGCTGTTGATTCACCTTCACCATCATCATCATCATCACCTCTCTGTCAGTCTACAAACATCACATCTACCTGGTTCACCTTCATCATCATCATCATCATCACCTTACTGTCAGTCTACAAACATCACATCTACCTGGTTCACCTTCATCATCATCATCATCATCACCTCACTGTCAGTCTACAAACATCACATCTACCTGGTTCACCTTCATCATCATCACCTCACTGTCAGTCTAAATTACTCTCAGATGTTCTGTTCTTGTCTGATTATTCAGCTTAAGTATTAAAATAGTTGTAGGTTCTGTGTGTATTTACTGTCTGTAACTAGGAAATGATTCACTCTTTTTTACGGTCTGCCATCATCTCCTTCTTGTTATTGATTAACCAAGAACACAGTCAGCTGATTGAGAGAGATTTTACAACTTCTTGTGAATGTATTCAGAATGAGTTTCACTGTAAAAAAATAATCATTGAGAAAAATGATGTTGAGAACAACACTCTGATTAGTTTGAATTCAAATCTTTAGATCACAGAAGAGAAGGTGATGAACTCAATGAAAGAAACTTTCCAGAGTGGGCTCATCTTCAATCCACCTGTTAGCATGTTAGCATGGTTAGCATAGCTTGCATCGTGACTGAGGATCATTGGGCCTCATTCACTAACAGTGCGTACAAAGAAATATCTGCTTCAACCGTGCGTACGCACGTTTGAAGCACATATTTGGGATTCATCAATATATTCTTACTTGAACTTGTTCTTACTCTGCGAACAAAAATAGAACCTCCTCAGACCATACGTACGCACAAATGATTGACCAGCTTTCTCAGAAAATGTTAACGTACACTCTTTTAACTAAATGCATGTCATGTTAAAAATACATTCATTAAAAAAGAAAATATAGGCTATATAGAAATATATAAATGCATGAAATAACCATGAAATGTTCACCTTATCCTTTAATCTAAAATCCAAAATCTAATCATCGACCACTCCCACTGCCATGAAATATCACATCTGATACCAAAACCAGCTGATTAATCTGAGAATATTTAAGAGCATGCAGGGAACATTCATGATTATGATTTACGCCTAAGAAAGTGTAAAGATCAACCTTACTGAAACAAATAGCAGCTGGTTCCTTCAGAAGAGAGCGCATCAGACCATCAGAACACGAATGACTGATCAGCTGATTCTGTCTGCCAATGCACGTACTGCTGCAGCTCTGTAATTCACTGTAACATCATCTAAACCCCCAGACACAACAAACTTTTTTTACCTTTTGGGGCTATCTCCTAAAAACTTCTACATGTCTCCACCTCTCTTTTCTCGTCCTGATACACCAATCGGATGCTCTTACTAGGAGAGATGGGGGTGTGGTAGTATGCTGACTGCAGGCTGCGCCTGTTGATCTAGAATGATTCTGATTCACTAACATACACCTGGTGGTGAGAACAAAATTGGCTGGTATGCACGTGTCATGAATCCAACGGTGATTTTACGTATGCACATAGTAAGAACATTTCTACACACATATTAGTAAATGAGGCCCATTGTGTCTCCTTAATTTTTAATTTAGTCAGAGAAGCTAATGATCCCGGTGGCTAACTGTTAACTTACAGCTCTGTTTACACTTAAATTAAATGAGTCTTTCAAACAGTATAAAAAGCGTCTCTTACCTTCAACATGGAGAACAGATCTGCATCACAACAGGACAACGTCAAAGTCAAGTCTCCTGACACCAGGACATACCAAAGTCTAATAATCACCATAGCAACAGGGAACAGGGAATCAAAGGTCACAGCTTTATAACATTTTATTGAAGGAAGCTTGTTATTGTGTCAGATGATCCTTTACTGCTTTGATATCAGATATATTGTGTTATGATTGGAAAGTGTTTGAGGCAGTCTGTTGTCTGCTGGGCCCTCCTTACCAGGAACCAGGTCTTCAGACTCCAGGTCAGGTCCTCAGATTCATGAACTCGGAGAATCTAAAAACTGGCAACCTGATTCACCTCCTCAAACTTTTCGCTCGCTCAACTCGCTCAACTGTTGGAGCGATGGGTGTGGTGTCTGCAGAGTAGAAATGAGGAGTAAACTGAGGACACTGCCCTGGTGCACACTGATGTTCATGATGATATTGGTCTGAGGTTTGGTTCTGCTGATGAGCTGATTGTAGGCCGAGGTCAGGAACAGGGACATAAGATCAGACAGTTCTATGTGGGGGGATGGGTGGGTCTAATAGGCTGCTGGGATCTTTTTGTTCACTTGGTCTAAAGTTTTACTTTTTTGATGTAGAAGAATATAATGTAGAATAAATAATACAACATTTTAATATGATCTGAAATATATATATATAAAAAAGAGAAGCAGAGGACAGAAAAAGAGGACAGGTCTCTAATAATAATCTTCCCGTGTTGTGTAATATGGTCCATAGCTTTGTTCTTCCTCTGAGTTCAAACTCAATGAAAGTATTTCAAAGTCATTTCTTACCTCTGAGATGTTCTGGAGTAGAAGTTTAAAGAGGCAGAAAATTGATTTAGTGAAGGAACAAATATTTACCTCCAAACTAAACTCAAGTGGAGTCATTGACCTAATGTGTCATACGAGCCAACAAAGACTAAACGCAGTGACTCCATATTTGGTCCAAACTTGACTTCTGCTCTGAATCAGACTTTGTGATGTTTGCTTTCCTTTTTTAAAAAAAAGATCAGATCAGAGAACAGTTTCATTTCTGTAAAAACTGCTTTTTAAATGCGTTGTGACTCAAACTGCGGTGACTGCACTCTGACTGTGTCATCTGTCATCTACCTGCCAGCCTCACATTCGTTCAGCAAAATACACAACTGAAGCTACACACCTCAAGTCTCATCAAGGCTAAGCTAGCTGCTTATAGAGCACAGTTATCCTTAGCTAAAGCTGCTACTAAAGCTGCTAGCTTAGCTGCTAACTGATCTCCCCCTGGCTGTTATCTGTAAATAGAAACTGTATCTTTGATAAACTCACATCTTGTGTTCAGTCTGTTTTTCTACATGACTAAATGAAGCAGTAGCTAAATGTGATCATGATGACAACAGTTCAACTGCTGTTAAAGATTACTAGCTTAGCATAGATCTCAGTGACCTTTGACTGGAGGGGAATTCATGTGATTTGGTGCTTAAACTACCTTTATATCATAGTTTTAAATATCATGATATGTTGATTTATTCCAGAGAAACATGACTCAGAGATACATTTAGACTGTAAATCAACAGTTTGTGGTTGTAGCAGCTTTTATATCACTGATTTTCGCACATTAAATTGACCTATTATAGCCTTTCTACCTGTTTGTCACCATGGAAACATGAAATGCTTTTTCCTGTACTGTGACTGTAGTTACCCCTCTCTGTCTCTAAAGGGCAGTATAGCTCTGTACACCTCCAACTTGTGTAGAAGATTATCCTTGAGTACTGAAACACACCATTATCCAACAAGGTGTGCTGTGGGAGGTTGTTTTATTCTTCCTGAATCAAAAATATCATCATCTCAACACTCAGTAACGTACAGAGCCATGCTGGGATGGAATTCCCTAACAAGTCATGTTAAATAACAAAACACTGTATACAGCTTTGAAAAAAGACTTAAAGATTTAAGATTTTACTTTATTGATCCCTGCAAGGGGAAATTTCAGTTTTTACACTCTATAAGTCATGCTACACACACATAGGCTGAAATAAACACATGCACAAACAGGACACCTGTGGACATGCGCTAATGGAGAGATGTCAGGGTGACGGAGCTGCCCACAGCGGGCGCTCCTGAGCTGGTGGTGGGGAGGGGGTTTGGTGCCTTGCTCAAGGGCACCTTGGCAGTGCTCAGGCTGTGATCTGTCACCTCTCCAGCTACCAGACCAACTTCCATATTTGGTCCACACTGGGACTTGAGTCGGTGACCCTCCGGTTCGCAACCCAAGTCCCTGCAGACTGACCTACTGCCGCCCTGACGCCCTGCCTTTCTGATCAGAAAAGTAATACCCGGTTATAACGCTGGTCCAACAAAGATAAAAATTACAGTTTCTGCATCAATCAAACAATTGTTAAAAACACTCTCTAAAGCTAATTCTGCCCAGACCTAATTAAGCCTCACTTGTGAATCGCTTTGCCCACGATTGGTGAAAGGAAAAGAGTCCGGCGATAAAACAGATCTTCTGTCCGTCCTGGTGCAGAGGCGTCTGATGGCGGTGAGGGTCCCTTACGGCAAGAGCGGCTTCGTTGGTTCTCCGTCGAGTGGAAAGATGTCCGTTGATGTCCTTTCGTTATCTTTCTGTTATAGTCTGACGCTCTCCGAAAAACTGAGATGCGTTCACTGGACAATCCGAGCTGCGGATTACCTGGGCGCCAAAACTTAAAACAAAGAAAGATTGTTGCAGGAAACAGGAGGTGAGCTTGGGTCTCCAAATACTTGAAGTAAGCGCGTGGAAAGAGAAAGAGCAATGGAAGTCTCAGAGTTTTGTCACCTGGCCGCCAGGTGGGTCTCCCTCAGGTTCCGGTCCCCCCTGTACGTCACACGTAGGTGTGAAGTACCGCAGGGGATTCTGGGATAAAGAGTCCTTTTAGGCCTCTTTGTGATCTCAGTGAATCACTCAAATGAGGCTTCCCACAGGGGTGCAGGCCCAAGTCCATTGTTTGAATGTCCTAAGCCTGCATGGCCCAACATCCTTTTTTTTTTTTTTCATTTATGTCAATTGTCTTTATCATTTTTAGTTATTGTAGACATGATATATGTTGTTGAAATGTGTTTAGTGTGAAAAGAATATATATATATCATGAATGTGTAAAATGCATTATCATAAAGTAATCTGTGGACCCCAGGAAGAATAGCTTCTGGCTATGCTGAAGCTGATGGGGATCCAAACAAATAAACAAACAGTGTTTGTAAAGTTGATGTTTGGGATGGAGGAGAACAAATACTGTTTTAAATTGATGCAGCTTTTCATATTTCAGTCTGTACTTTATAATTAAGAAGAGTTCAGCTTAATCTAAATGATGTGTTATTATTATTGGAAATGGATCAATGAGTAGATGGTGAAGAAAACAAAGGATGTGATACATTATTAGGATTCATATTAGGATTAGAAAAATCTCGTCTCATGAGCTGAGGGTCACACCCTGAGTTAGGACATGATTTCTGTTAATGCCTGAAATATGAAACAGGAAGCTGAGAACTCAAGAAAAGACACTAAGGCTAACAGGCTTCCAATGATTCACAGGTGACAATTTCAAGATTTCAGTTTCAACAGCTCGTATCACGACCGGATACTTCAATCCCACCTGCTCCAGCCTTTGTGTCCTCAGTGTCTTTCATAGGGCCTGTGGAAAGTTAAGATATAAGATCCACAGAGATAAAGAAAAAGTCAAATATCCTCAAATGGGTAATTTAATAATGTTATCAGCTCTGAGCTCCTAAAGTCTAAAGTCTCTGAATAGAGTCTCACCTAATAAAGTTCCTATCTATCTATCTATCTATCTATCTATCTATCTATCTATCTATCTATCTATCACCTTCCTGACAGACACCTGCTGGTTTTACCTGATCAAAATAGATTCTGTATAAAATGAGCTAAGCTAGCTGTTACAACATTAGACTGAACATTTCTTAAACTGAGCTAATCTAATCAGAGGTTTCGCTAGACTTTCTTGTTGTCTGTCATTTTGACGGACAGGGTCAAATGACTTTATGTAATTATGAGGCGTGCTTATTTTACAAGACAGACGGACTCCAGAAAAAAAAAAATGACGCGCTGTCAGATCCGTGCCCGCACATCAGAGAACAACACAGAGACCATGACGGCTACTTTACTGAGTTTATGAATCATGAGATTTTGAGTCACTTTAGTCAGACTCAATCACAAAACTACAGGATTTCTCCATAATGAAGGCTTTACAATGCTATGAAAACAACCAGCCGCTAGACTCCTCTCTGCTCTGACTGCAGCTGGGACTGCTTCGTGAGTCTACTGTGACGGGGGAGGGGCTCACGGGAGGGGCTCGTTGAGGACAGTAACTGCAGAGTGCTACGTGCTTTCACGTCAGTCTCCAAAACACCATAAAAGTCTCCAATAACACCAGAAAAAGTCGCTAGATTAGTCGCTAGTAACTTTTGACATAAAAAGTTGCCAGGTTTAGCAAGAAAGTCGCCATGTTTCGAACACTGGCTAGACAACGATGTCATGCACGTGAGGTCAGATAGCCTGCTACAGAAGAAAACAACTAATTAATTATGGTCACTCGCCACCTACTGGACTTGGAGGTGTACTGCAGGTGCTTTACATGTGGTTAATGACAGTGCTGTGTGAGAATTAGAAAGGAGCGGTGGACACCCGGTGATTCTAATCCGTCAAAATGACAGACCGCCTTCCGATTTTTCCGTAATTGTTCAAAAAATTCAGTCGAAAACGAAGAATATTCGGTTACCGCAACCTCTGAATCCAATATTACTCAAACTGAACATTTCCACTGTTAGAAAAATGAGACGAGGTCAGTTGGTACGACTCTAGATAAGTGTAAGAAAGTGGATGGATGGATAAACCTTACTTATTAATTAAAATCCTCCAGCCAATCAGAATTTAGGACTCAAGTGGAACGTGGTATAATAAAATATATATTATTCTGAAATGGACAAATCTGTAAAATGGGTACTCTTACTTTTCAACATTTAATGTGAGCTAATGTGTGACTTAAATTATTCACAGTGTCTTTTAATGTCAGCTCATGAAATGCTGTTATTTTATTTCTTGGGTAATGTAAAAATAGGTTCTGTGTGATGAATATTGCTTCATCTGACACTGGCATTGTAGTCTCAGTAACAGGTATTGGATATTACAATAGTCCATATTGTTCCTGATGGTCTGCTTTACCATAGGTAAATAGGTCATATAGACGGCAGTTAAAAACTCCTCAATGTTCCTTTAAATCTGTTATGAATTCAGGACAGTTGATTATAATGGAGCATTTATGTGCAATTATTGCTTTTACCTATTTGACCACTGAAATCAAATAAAGGAAAATGAAACCTAATGAATCAAATACTATATCACCAAAAACATCCTACCTTCTGCATCTGGTGATCAGGACTGACAGACCTGGTCCTGGTCCTTTTCGTCCTTCTTCCTCTTCTGGAATGAAAGAGCTTTTGGAGCCATCTTGAACGGTATGCTCTCATGGAGCCTCCAAATAGTGAGTCCAATGATTCCTGGACTGGAGGAATGGGAGCTCCAGAGTCAGGGTCTTCATTTGTTCAAAAGACACATAGTCCCCATTTATCAACATCCCCATGAAGCTGAGGAACGCGAGGACTTTCAATGCATCTGCATATGAGATGGGGAGATGACTGAGACAACTGTCCATTAAGGTCATCCCCCACTCCCTGTATCTCAGGACGTTTTGTGTGTAACTGAGACCCCTGCTTTCAATCACGTTACACACGTCCCCTGTCAAGGCTGCGGCCTAAGCCTGGCTCTCCCGAATGTAAAGGGGACAGGGAAGGAATCCTGTTTTACCAGGTTCTCTGTCAGATGTTCCAATGACACTGACCCTCTAAGGTTGCAGTGGCACCTCTGCCCTGTCAGCTGTGTTAGAGGGATATCGTAATTTTTGCGGAAAATATCCTGTAACCGCAGCAGGACGAAGGCCTTTCCCACCACTGGGGTTAATGACCCGAGGGCCTCGGTCAGGGGGAACAGGCGCTCGATCCTTTATTTAGCCTCTAAGTGAATATAGGTTTGATCACCCTCCCTCCCAGCATGCGTGAGTAGAAATTATTACATTTTAAAGTATTGCTACCTGTGAGTGTATCGCTCTTCACAGCTGTATGTGCTAACATGACAAATTATGTGCATCTACAGAGACCTACCTGGACGGGTACCAGCCCCAAAATGCGAGAGAATGCCAGCTCCAAGGTGAGCCAGGTGAAGGCCTTCCTGCTGTTTATGGGCCACAGCATCACCCGGCTCTCAGACTGGAGGTTCCTGAATGACAACGCCAGGATAAGAGCAAGAGTAGAGCCTTTTATTTTACATTGTTGTGTGCACATTTGAGGTGTGTTTTCTTTTCATCATCGATGCTGTCAGTGGAACAATAGATTAATTGTCATGATTTGGTCTGTTTTGGTTTTGTTTTTCAGAGTTTAGATGTATTTATCTGTAAGTTGTCAGTCTTCCTTGGTGTTTGCCTTGTGTGTTTTCTAGTTTGGTCTTTGATGTTTCGTGTGTTATTTTGTAATTTTGTATCCTGGTGTTTCTTTATATTCTAGTTTTTGGTTACATTTTCGAGCTCTCTGTCTTCAGTGTTTCCTGATTTATTTCATAATTGTTTTTAGTGCTTCTTGTGTTTTATCCTGCCTCTGTGTGTTTCCCTCCAGTGTGATTGCCCTCATTGTCTTCACCTGTGTCATTAGTGTCACCCGTGTCTGATTACCCCTGTGTCAATTTAGTCTCTGTGTTTCTTCCCTTCTGTGTCAGATTATTGTATGTTAGTTGTTGTTTAGTCTACGTCAGTGTTTCTCAGGATTTTTCAGTTTGGACATTTGGATAGTAAGTTTTGCTTTGTCTTTTGTGTTAATTAAATTTACTTTGGAGTTTCTGCAATTGGGTCCACCTCCCTTGTTTTCTCACATCTGTGACAGAATAATCTGACCAGAAAAATGGACCCAGCAGAAACTTTTGATAGAATGGATCCTTTTGCAAAGATAAGGTATTTTGAAGATATTTTTCGTTTGGCCAGGAGCACTGCAATAGTAGAACAGTCTCCTGACGTGTGTGTGTGTGTGTGTGTGTGTGTGTGTGTGTGTGTGTGTGTGTGTGTGTGTGTGTGTGTGTGTGTGTGTGTGTGTGTGTGTGTGTGTGTGTGTGTGTGTGTGTGTGTGTGTGTGTGTGTGTGTGTGTGTGTGGTGTGTGTGTGTGTGTGTGTGTGTGTGTGTGTGTGTGTGTGTGTGTGTGTGTGTGTGTGTGTGTGTGTGTGTGTGTGTGTGTGTGTGTGTGTGTGTGTGTGTGTGTGTGTGTGTGTGTGTGTGTGTGTGTGTGTGTGTGTGTGTGTCACAAACTGAACCGACCTCTTAGACCGGAAAGGAGGGGGGGACAAATATAATTCGCTCAACTCCAGGGACAATTAAAAATAATGTGAAAACGTTTAACAAGCCCAACCAACTTGGAGCTCGGCCATGTGCGGCTTCTATAAAGGCTGTGAGGCTCCATCAGTCAGCTCTGTCAGAGAAAACTCCCTGCAAGATGTTCCAGTTCTACGCTGAAGCTAACCATCTGAACCTGTCTTTCAGCAGTCTTTTCCTGATAGCTGGCTTGTTCCTGAGCACCTCGGCTCAGTCAGTTGAAGAATGCAGACCTCTGGTAACACCTCTTCCAACTTTTGAACTGGTAAGCCTCCCCTGCTTCTCTCCTGGGTCTTTAGGTTAGCGCATTAGCATTACTGACTTTAAGCAGCTTTTTAGAAACCTCTAGTTGCTGTTTCTTCCTATTTTTAATAATGATTAGCATTCAGTTAGCGCTGCAGATAATCAACGAGAGACACGCATGCTGCAGTTATAAAGTCACTCAGTTATAAAAGATGCTAACTCATTTCCAAAAGGACTTTCTACGACTCTTTACTTTCTCCCAAAGACGGAGTGTCATCTAAAGCCCTGCTACTGCTGGACTTGGTTTTACATTTGCGGTACTGTTGCCTGTACAGTACCCAAGATGGAATAAGTGTAGAAGCTTGTTAATCTGTACAACATCAAGAATGGGGATCTAGATATGAGGTTCTGCGTAACCTTTAGAAGAGGATCAGCCTGGTTTGAAAAATAATAAAAAAAAAAATAAATAAATAAATGATCAAAGAACGAGCTGAAAAGATGATAATCTTAACCCCATTTTTTATACTCTGAGCTACGCCAACTAGTCCAGATATCTGTGTCTACCTCACCGACTACACGTTTGTCTGCAAATTTACGGGAGGTGGATCTTCATCATGGGTTGGATTACTAATGAACCACACAGAGTCTTGTTCAGGACAACCAAGAGCCAATGGATTGACTTTATTCAAACATCACCAGACCACAAGGAATTTGTTCAAGACATTGGGATCAGACAGTGAGTAGGGTGCAACATCATCTGTACCAATATATGACTTCATTATGTGTACAGTGTGTATATACTCCGACTTCCTCCCACAGTCCAAAGACATGCTCAATGACAGCTGGGATCCGCTTCAGCCCCACGTGACCCTGAACAGGAAAAAGCAGTGTAGATAATGGATGGATGTGTAGATGCTACTTAATGCTTCTGTCCAGATCACCTGCTGTGCAGATGACACTCTATTTTATCTCTCTAAAACTCTTGAAATCAACCACAACAAACAACCGCTGAGGTCAATTTACATTTAGTTAGGCTAGGCCAGTTACTTCTACCGTGAAGATTTCCATCCAAGCATAGCATGTATGCAGCTTCAGATTCATAAAAATTGTTGAAACAACAAGTCCAATAAGACCAGCTGGCTTTCAGATCAACAAAGAACCTCCAATTTGTCAGCTGTCATGTCAATTTTTCATCTGGATCATAAAACAAAAGTTGAATGCTTTCAAGCTACAAAATGAGGCTGCAGCTAACAGGTCCTGGGTACAACAACACTGTGACAATAGAAATGCAATATATTCAGTTTCATTTTTGATACACTATGGATTAAGAATACCAAAATGTCAGAGGACAGGTTTGTATTCAAAGATGGACTTTTAAAGACAGACTGGCTAATTTCAATTCGAGCTCTCTTGTGTTACAATCACAAATAGTTTTTCCTATGTTCTTGAACCTCCCGATGACGTCCTTACTCTGCTGCATCCTTTCTAGGAAGTCTTGATGCTGAGCAAGTCCACCACTGCCACGAGGCCTTCTGATTCTTGGCATACCTAGACAAGAAAAATAGTAGATGGCACTATTAGAATACTGTTTTTGTTGCAAGGATGAAATAATATTACTATATGCTCTAACTCAGGGGTGTCCAAACTACAGCCCACAGCCCATTTTTAATTGGCCCGTAGAAAATTCTAAAAATATAATGGCACATGAAATTCGTGCTTGACTGTATTGTAATTCTTAGTTTTAACACTAGGGGGAGCTACTGTCTTGAACAAGACCGCCTCTCCACAAAACAAGAGCAGTCAAAGAAAAACTTTGCAAAAAGTGACCCAAAAATGGCAGAACCGAAAAAACAAAAAATAGCAAGTGAGTGCAGGAGATTTCAGACATGGTGGGAAAATGAATATTTCTTCAGTGAAGTCAAGGGGAAGTGTGTCTGTTTGATTTGCAATGAAACAGTTGCAGTGATGAAAGACTATAATGTACGACGACACTATGAAACCAAGCATCCAAACTACACGTCCTACACTGGTGCTGAGAGAGAACAGAAAGTTAGGGAACAGCTGTTTTCATCTGGCCTCAGCTCTGATGTCCAACCCCTCCTATCTCAGAGAGCTGGACCTGAGTGACAACAAGCTGCAGGATTCAGACGTGGTGCAGCTGTGTGAATTACTACAGAGTTCAAGCTGCAGACTTGGGTTTCTGGAGTCAGTACCCCAGTTTTAGTCTTTTTAAGTAAACCCGCCACATAGTAGATCATATAAATGTATTTTTGATTCATGTTGTTGTTTTTTTGTAAACAACCAATTACAATTGGTACGTGGTGTCATTTCCTAACGTGAAGTTTGTAGTATTCACTGAAATCATTTGTCATCGATGCTTTTTTTGTCAATTATTTTCTCTAGAAAAATATAAATGACTAGAATTAGGATTAAAGTATTAGGATTAAAGCGCCCACAGCTCTTCTGTTTCGATGTCTGATAAAGTAAAACGCAAATCAAAATTAAATGTTAAATCATTAGGCCCTTTCTACTGTCTGTGTGAAAGTCATGGCAGTGATTCTGCAGCTGAGCTGTCAACAGAGTAACTGGTGAATTGTCGGCTGTGTAAATGTCGGAGCTGGGAGGACAGAATGACGCTGTTTGTTTGTGTGTTTTGACATGAGGCTTCCATAACTTAATGTGAAATCACCCACTCAGACAGCAATATTAAACCGTTCTGTGGTTCAGTGTAAAAGTACAAAGGTGGAGTAGGGACGGAGCTTTGTTACAGCACTATGGGGGAATCTGATGACTTACAGCTGAAGAAGGGAGTAGGTGTAGAAAATGATTGATGATTTCTGTGATCTGTCTTCTTTTCTCATTAGATGGCGATAGATTTGATCTCTGTCAGAAGGTGAGCGATCAGGAGGCTGGCGGTGCAAAGAGGAGCAGCTGTGTCATCCACAGAGGATGAACCTTCATAAGCATACACACACGCACAGATAGTGACATTTACACCCCTACTTCTATAACTCTATAGAGCTACAGACAATTAGTCCTAACTTAAGTAACTGCTGTCCATCTCCTTTTGAAAACAGGCAGTGTCAGTTGTAGTCGGAACATCATTTATTCCAATGTGTACACGTGTTTGATTTTTTGTAACCATTTGGTCAAGGGATGGGGGGTAGGCTTCATCAAGTTAATAGTAATATGTTTTTTTTCAATCATCAACAAGACAGGCAGTATATAATGTTTGTCCGTAGTGAACAAGGGATCAGGAGATACTTCCAATAGGAACAATAGCGGGTACAGCGGAATGTAAGATTTTCTCCATCTCCTCTTTGACGCATCTCCAGAAGGTTTTTATATTCGGACAGTACCAAAATATATGGATATGGTCACCCACCATATCACAGTTTCTCCAGCATTTATTAGAAGAGTTACTTTTAAAAACACAGGCTGTTAGTGGGACCCTTCTTTCCATATCTGCCTTCCAATCCCCCTTTGACTTCTACAACATATGTTTTCCCAAGTGTCCACTATTTTATGGAGCTCCAGTTTCCACTGTCTTTTGATTTGACAAGTGTTATATGACATTTCTGAGCTTCCTATACACAAGATATTTATTTCTCTTCATTACTGCACACAATGTTCAGACAAATGTATAAAGTAGGATTTTGTACTGTCTGGTTCTGTTCAAAACATGCTATACCACACATCCATCCCCAAGTGGTTCATCTTTCTTAACTCGGTGAGCCGGGGTGTTTTTCATGTGTACTGTAAACTTTAGACAGAGAAAACTCCCACATGACTTGTTTGTGAAAGGTCTAAATTTGAATTGATTAAAATCACATTGTATCTCATGGAGTTGCACTGTGCTGAGTTCGTGGTTGGAGTGTGAATATGTATCTTTAATGTATCTGTCAACTATTTCATGAGACCTTGAATGGCAAGATTCAGACTTTCTTTGCATCCTCATCCCCTGAACTTATGTTGTGAAATTAACTTGCTTTTTTTGGAATTGGCCCCTTGAGCATGCCGCTGCAGTATCCATGCTTTCACCCATTAGTGCGGTTTCTCCTTATTTGTCTGCTCCGCCTCTTCTTTTCTTTTTCCACTAAAAGACCAAGGGCTGACAACGCCAGCGCCATTTTCTACTTTTTATCAGACATTATTCTCCATTAGTAGACTACCTATAATTCGAGTGGTGACCGACAGAGGTGTGAAAATGGTCTTCTCGTATCATAACAACGGACTACCGCCCCCTGCTGGCATGGAGAGTTATTTCCTCTCATGAACAGAACGTACGTGGTGGTTGGCCGTCGGCTGTAGTCTTTACGGTGTGTTCATGTGCAACTTTTTGGCCAAGACGAAAGGCGACATGAGGCGACCCCACAGCCGGCCTTCATCGCCACTAGTTCTTTGCGGTCTGCTTGGTGTCTCAGGGCCTTTAAAACTGTGCCATGGATGCAGCCAGGATAGCACATTAGAGATAAGGAATAAAGGGGAGACCACATTTTTTATAGCTTGGGACTCCATGCAGTTATAACCCACATGTCCAATGAGGGAATTGAGTCCTAGTTCGTCAGGTGTTGCAGGGGATGCTGGGAAATAGTTTTTGCAGGGCCTTTGTTCATTTACCTCAGAAAGTAATCAAATCAGGCTCCTGCATGGGGCTGCAGACCAGAGTCTGTCCAACACATCGCTGTTTGGATGCGATGGATTGATGTCAGATGGAAAACGGTGTTTAATCAACATTTTTAGTCAGTCAAATTAATGTCAAGAACAATGGTTCAGTTTGGACCTGAGACAGAACAAAAACATACCAGTATGTCAACATCACAGAAGTCAACAGGTTTGTCTTTATGAGCAGAGTGATCTGTTTCTAAATACCATTTCACTTTTAATGGCTTCATGCTTTCACGATTCAGCACTTCACAGTCTAATGTATGGAAGCGATTAGTGATCAAAATTCAAATGATGAAGCTAATTTGAAAATTCAAATGCATTAACAGAAATGCTTTTTAATTTTCAGAATATGAGTGTATTATTTGACTCAAAAATAAAATGATGATTAATTTATCTAATTTGAATTTTAGTTTTCAACTTAAAAAATGCACATTCTTTGACTAAATTCAAATGAGGAAGAAAATGACATTTGCTTTGTCATTTTCAAAAAATGCCTTGCTAAATCTGTATCATAATTCAAATGAAAAAGCTAATTTTGAAATGAAAATACAGTAACAGAAACATGTTTTATTTTTCAGAATATAGGTGCATTATTTGACCTATATTTAAAATGAATATTCAGTCATTCAGTTTGCATTATACTTTTACTCTCTATGTATGCATATTGTATGACAGAATTCAAATGAAAACGAAAAGGTCTTTGGCTTTTCGTTTTCAAACTTGCCGTGCTAAAAAGTGATCATAATTCAAACCAACTCGAAAACGAAATGACAAAGTGGACGGCACAGGAAAGTGACGTCAGACTCCAGCTCCCAGGTAGGCGAACGTAATATTTACAGTCTATGAGGCGAGCGGGCAGAACGCGCAATACGATGGGTGGCGGGGTGAATCTTTAACAATGGTACAAGTTCCAAACTAGTTGTTGCCCTGATTTTGATTCAATTTTGGCGTTGTAGTTGATTATTCTTTTAATAACTACAAAACAATCTCTGAAAGGGAGAGAGAGCTCATACAGTCGGTCGAGACGGAGAGTGTGTGCCATTACACACAGAGGATGAGAGACACTTTGTGTACAGAGCTGGAGAGATTATTTGAAACAGAAAATTAAATCGATAATCTTTTTTAATGTAACTAAGTTAAGCAGAGAAGAGAGTGATCTATAATCTATCAATAAACCGGTCTTAGGACACGTCTGTGTGAATTTCACGGCGTGCAGATGCTGAGTGACTCTCACGGTCAGAGATAGTGGGCATGGTGTCATGCGTGAGACTTGGCAGCTCGGGTTATAAAGCTGCTGCGTCATGCTCGCTGAAAGTTCAGTGTGCGCTGAAAAAAACACTCCGATTGCCACCTGTATCACAGTGTGAACTAAAGTCTGCCCTAGTGTTAAAGATTCACCCCGCCACCCATCATACTGCGCGTTCTGCCTGATCGCCTCATAGACTGTAAATATTACGTTCGCCTGCCTGGGAGCTGGAGTCTGACGTCACTTTCCTGCGCCATCCACTTTGCCATTTCGTTTTCGAGTTGGTTTGAATTATGAAAACGAAAAGCCAAAAACCTTTTTGTTTTCATTTGAATTATGTGATACAATATGCATACATAGAGAGTAAAAGTATAATGCAAACTGGATGACTGAATATTCATTTTAAATATAGGTCAAATAATGCACCTATATTGTGAAAATTAAAACACATTTCTGTTAATGCATTTTCATTTTAAAATTAGCTTTTTCATTTGAATTATGATACAGATTTAGCGAGGCATTTTTTGAAAATGATAAAGCAAATGTCATTTTCTTCCTCATTTTAATTTAGTCAAAGAATGTGCATTTTTGAAGTTGAAAACTAAATTTCAAATTAGATGAATTAATCATCATTTTATTTTTGAGTCAAATAATACACTCATATTCTGAAAATTAAAAAGCATTTCTGTTAATGCATTTGAATTTTCAAATTAGCTTTATCATTTGAATTTTGATCACTAATCGCTTCCATACCAATGGATCACCTGCTGGGAATATTTCCTGAGAAAACAGACTGTTCAAACACATCACGGCTGTGGCTCGGTTGGTAGTCGTCGTCTCTCAACCGGAAGGTTCTTGCAGCAACATGTCCCTGTGTCGTTGGGCAAGAAAACTTAACCCCAACTTGCTGCTTCGTCTGCGGTGTTTGAATGTGTATGAACAGGGTTAGTTACTTCGGATGGTCTCACTACATAGCAAGTGTGAATGTGTAGGTGTGACCTGCAGTGACAGAAGGCTAGAAAAGCGCTATACAAGCTCCGACCTCGGCCCTCTGCTGCATGTCATCCCCCCCACTCTCTCCTCTCAACATTTCCTGTCTTTCTGCATCCGTCCTGTAGCTTACACAGAAACACCACTCACACAGGAGATCAGTTGAGAGATAAAAGTGTCTGCGTAGTCCACAGGGGGGCGCCAAAATCCTCACAAACCAAAAATTCCTCCTCACAGGAATATGAATTGTTTCTAAATAAAAAGTAAAAGTGAGAGAACTGTGTAAGAGCTGTTCATGTCTGATCACATGTACTCTGTGCTCATGCTGTTAAATACACTAACTTTTCTCTTCTGTTTTTCCTGTTCAACTAACAAGCTGCAGTCTGTGTTTATTCTGTGCCCTTCTTTCAAGAAGTTGTTCACTCTAAGGTTCCTTAAAGTCTGTAGAAAGAAACATTTGGTTTTAGTTCAGCTACAAGATCATTTATCAAAATCTAAGCATCATTAGGGTACAAACATTTGAAGCATAACAGATGAAACTCTGTTCAAGAAACGTATGTGTGTCACACACACACACACACACACACACACACACACACACACACACACACACAGCAGATGTGTGAGATGCCTTCATTGCTCTGTAAATGACCGTATATATGAGAGGATTAATGCAGACTAAAGGTGGAGCAGAAATTGTGAACGTTTGTGGGAGTGTAATCCTTTGAGCTCTCGGGGAGACACAGAGAGAGAGAGAGAAAGAGAGAGAGAGAGAGAGACACACAGAGGGAGAGACACACACACACACACACACACACACACACACACTCAGAGAGAGACAGAGAGAGAGAGACACACACATACAGACATACAGAGAGAGAGAGACAGAGAGAGAGAGACACACACACACACACAGTCACAGAGAGAGAGAGAGAGACACACACTCAGAGAGAGACAGAGAGAGAGACACACATACACAGAGAGAGAGAGAGGGGGATGGAAATGTCAAACTCATTGCTCGTGGATTTTGGGACAAACTGATGGGAAGCGATTCATTTTCCCACAACGATGGGACGTTTGGTCAGGAAAGTTTAATGGCAATATTTGAGACGGAGCTGCCCGTCCTCAGGGAACAGAAATGGTGCACAAAGTTCTGCTGCCCCTCGGTAAGTTTCCAGCTGCAAACATGTTTCCTAATCTAGTCATTCTTCATTGGAGGATTATAATTCAGCATATGTGCCGTGTGTGAAGCTGTTGCATTTATCTTCAGTTTATGATTTGAGCTAAAGACTTTGACTTTTGTAAAAGAAGAAAAAACTACTTTTGTCTCCTCTCTTCCCTCAGCTTTAGCAGCCAGCCTCATCTCACCTGTGCTGTCAGGTGCCTCCACAACCAAAACCAAAACTCAAGGTATCACATCCCATCTTCATCCATCCTCAGTCACTGTGCATCCTTCCCTGTGAACCTGTTTCTTACTGTCTGGTTTAAATCCACAATAGACTACAGCTTGAGAAGGAAAACATGCTTACGACTGACACTCAGCTGTCACAGTGTGAGCCATCAAACCAAGCGCTTTGAAATAAAGGTCAGATTAAAAGTTAATACAACTCGTCAATTAATTTATAAGCTTGATCAACATTTGCAAAGCATTCTGGGATAGCTCCTAGTGAAGACCAGGTTGTCAGCAGCACTTTTTAACAGCTTTTCTCCTTCATTTAGAGAACATTTTATATTATATTTAGAATACTTTGCGGGTGCTTGTTGTATCGATATGACTCAACGTCTGAGGTTAAGAGGAAGAAGACGGTGAAGGAAGAAGCTAGGAAGAGAAAGAGAGAGGGAGAGAGTGAGTGAGCGAGCCAGAAGCCGGACTACAGGAAATATTGGACAGGCACTTTATACATTGGATCGAGCTCAAGCAGCAACTTGCAGTGTTTAAAAATGAAGCTGATGCTGAAGTGCAAAATTCTGCAGTTCCTCAAGTGTCCACTAGAGGCTGGTTGCAGAAGCACAGGCAGTCACACACACACCCATTCTAAAAAGCTTGTTTTTACAGCAGAGATTAACATGTTTACAGCCTGGTTAAAAAAAACAAATAGGTCTGATTAGCTCATGTCTCAGTCGACACACACTTTATGGGGGGTGAATGTTTTAATGACTGTTTGTCCTCTCAATGTCTACCTGTACCACCAGTGAAGAACAACTCTGGTGTGACCCCAGCGGGGCAGTGTGGGGCCTGGGTAAAGGAGCCTGAAGGAGGCTACTTCACCTCGCCAAACTACCCTCAGAAATACCCAGCTGAGAGGGAGTGTGTGTACATCATCGAAGGTGAGGCTTCACACTGTTCTTTTTTTACCTTGTATTTACTTCCCACCTCTTCCTTCTCACCTCCTCTCGCTCCCCTGTCCTCCTCAGCCTCTCCACGACAGTGCATCGACTTATTCTTTGATGAAAGGTACTCCATCGAGCCGTCCTGGGAGTGCAAGTTTGACCACATCGAGGTCCGCGATGGGCCCTTTGGTTTCTCACCCATCATTGGTCGCTACTGCGGGCAGGAGAGTCCGGCTTACGTCCGCTCCAGTGGGCGGTACCTTTACATCAAGTTTGTTGCTGATAGTGAGCTGGAGGACATCGGTTTCTCTGCTCGGTACAACTTCACACAAGGTGAGTGATCACACGCTGCTCTGACCCTGCGGCTGCTTTGTTCAAAATGATCAGGTGACAATGTTTACGGTAGAAGACCATGCTCACAGTAATGGACTTCAATAAATCACAACACATTTATAGTTCCATTCAATGCTGGTATTGATTTGGTGCTTAATTATTGAAGAATGACGGGCTGTACTGTTTTGTTTCACTTGCCAACATTTGCGGTTTCGACGAGACTCAATCAGTCCTCGGGTTGGTGGGAGAACTTTGTAAGTTAAATGGTCATTGAGTTTGTTTGTTTTATTTATAGACATAGTGGTTTGTCATATTTTCCTTTATAGATGAGACATGTTTAAAATAAATGGATTGAAATATCCAAATCACAACATCAATGGACTGTGTTAATTTCTTCGAGCACACGTCCAAAAGCTTCCACTACCATTTCTAAATAAGACAGAAAACAAACTAAGGACAAGACTTGGGGTAAACACACGGGGAAATTTAGAAACACAAGGAAGTAAAGACCAAATAAAGCAGGGAATGACCGATGAGTAACAAAACAAGGAATAAAAGAACTAAACAGGAGTTCCCTACATGACACACCTCGTCACTTTCCCGTCTTTTTGGCGACTAATGTCAGTGTGTAGCTTCTTCCTCATTGAATTTCTTGGCGGGCTACATTGTGTCATGCTGCTGGCGCTGCCATCGCCATCCAGCTTACACCCCGCTTACCAAGTTAAAGTACCAAACTGTATCGAACCAAACCAGAGCGCTTGGTGGAAACGAGGCTTCCCATCACCAGCTCAAACCGATGACGATGTGTACAGAAAGAAGTGTCAGTTTAGGTTTTGGTTTAGCTTCTTTGGAAAATGAGGATTGGAACATGTAGACTTATTGAAAGTTTTTTCATTGCATACACCATGTCCAACAAATAACTGACACAACACAGAATCTGTCCACCGGCTTTGGAGCTAAACAGAGACTCTGAATTAAATGATTGTGTGTTTGCAGAGGAATGGTTCCAGCTACATGAATTTGTAGCTAGGGTAACAGGAAACCTGCAGTCTGATGTTCTGTTGACTCAGCCCTTCCACCTGACTTTCTTCTTATATCATACCAGCTGCCGTTCTTTCTGACTGCTCTGGTTCATGTTTAGAGTATTACTACAGTTTTAAGCCTTTGACTTTTTTCTTTGGCACTCTCTCTCCACATCCTCCAGCCCACTGTGAGTTTGATATGTCGGCTGTCTTGCTTCAGACCGAGCCTATTTCAGACTGTCTGTGTTTGGGTGGTGGGACAACAAATCAAACCCCACGTTTGATTGCACAGTGGACACTTTCATCACCAATCGGTGGCACTAAATGAGATGAATTTGATAAAGATCCATGTCACAGAGAGAGCCTGTAGATTTGCAGTAAAGCAGGTGCTCAGTATATGCTTTGTCTTAGAAGTGCAAGTGATGAGCAAACTCTTTTTTAATCAAACTTTATTAGAGGTCTGGAGGCATGCTGTTGGGAAAGTACCCTCGTTTCCATTTGCAGTGCAGGCAAACCAGCTGCAGCTGAGAAGGAAAAACGAGGGACACACACACACACACACACACACACACACACACACACACACACACACACACACACACACACACACACACACACACACACACACACACACACACACACACACACACACAGGCAAGTTAATGAAAGCTTGTCTTCAGGGGAATACAGCTTGTCAGCCCTGAGCTGCAGCAGCAGCTTAAGGGAGTCCAAGGCAGAAGCTTTATTAACAACAGATTTTATAGGCCACCTCCACTGACGGAGCGCAGAGATTAATCTGCATCCTTCTGTCCATCCACCCAGCCTGCTATCTTTCTTCTTTCTTTCTTCACATCATCAAGACTCTGTTTGTTATCTTTTTGTCACACTTTGAGGCAGTCTTCTGAGTTTAATGCACACACAGGTTTGGAAGTTTCTGGGAGATGGAGGTAGTGTGTGTGTGCATGTTGGGGGTTCAGTGCAAATGTAACAGGAGAGTCACTTTCTCCTCCTGCAACTTAGAGGCCATGTTTAATCATTTTATATCTTCAGAAAGTGAAGGCTGATGCTTCCCTCCCCGCCCAACAGGCTGCTAACAGCATTAACTCTCCCTCTTCATTATAGGCAGATCAGGATTTCCGTCTGTTTACATCACATGTAATGAGGCTCCCGAGCCAAATGCTAATCTGCTGTCTAATTCCACCGCTCGCTGGAGCAAAGAGTAAAGAATTCACAGAGCAAAGAATTCACAGTGACAGTTTAGATTAGTCCGGGTTAGAGTGGAAAATATCACACAAATCATATTTTTGATTCCATGTTATCAACGTCAATATATTCTGTATTAATATTCAATGTTCTCCCGAGCAGCCCGTATTAAGAGAGGATTTACATAAACCAGGCCTTAAGCTCATCTTTACATTTTTCACTCTAGAATATAGACACACACATACAGACACACACACACACACACACACACACACACACACACACACACACACACACACACTGAAGGGGGGGGGAGGGGGTAAGAAACATGAGGGGATTAATCCGAGTCTTTGTTCTCCACCTGCTTCCTCCGACATCACAACGCCTGACCTGTTATGTTGCATTAGAAAAATTAAATCACAGTTTTTCAATCAGATAGGCTTATGTTTCCTCTCTTCTTAGCTCCAGCCTCCTCAGGCCTCGCTCCAGGCGGTAGCAGCTTCTTGGAGAGCGCAGTCAGCTGGCCGCGTGTGAAAACAATGCCCTCTCTCCTCTGTGCGAAGAGGGTTGATAGAAACAAACAAAAAAAAAACTCCAAAGCCACTGCCATCCATTTAAGTGACCAACAATTAAGACAAAACAACGCGGACGACGGGGGCTGCTGCAACAGACCGCCATCTCGCACGGCGCCGGAAAAACTATAATCAATCCTACATCTTAATACCTTCAATTAAAAATAAAACGTTACAGCGTCCCACTTCCTTCCACACTCTGCTTTACTCACACGCTGGTTTTCTGCACCTGAAGTGATGTTTTTCAACACTAACTCAAATTCTGGGAGGATTGTAAAAACGGTTTGGTCCAGTTGGTAGATCCTAGGGTTGTAGTCAAGACCTCACTAACCGAGACCAACACATACCTGAGACCAGAGCTGTGCTCAGAGACCGAGACAAGACCTAGACATTTAGTGATCCAGATGAGACTAGACCAAGACCAAGGCCGGGCGAGACCAAAACAAGACCAAGTCCATAAATATCACTGATGTTGGGGTTGTATCAAGTCAACTTTGGTTATATTCTTTAATAATTATACTTAATTATTAATAATATGAATAAAATATCATTAAACTATGTTTAATCTCGTTTTGGGGCACCAACCTGTAATCAGGTAAATATAACCAAAATATCACTCAAATCAGTCTCAAATGAGTTACTTAATTACTAATATTATTAATAATGAATAACTATATTTAATAAATTGAAGGCGTGAAATCCGTACACAAAGCCTTCGCACCCAGCTTATATCACAATGCAAATACACCAGTAATCACAAACAACTGCTCTCTTAAATTATAACAGAATTTATTTAAGTAAAGCAACATCAATCCAAAATCAATTAACTTAATCAAACAAATAACTATCATAAACTAATCTAAGCAACAAACATTATCAAGCAAAGTCTTGTGGAAGGGGTGTGAATGTAGGTGTGTGTGTGTGTGTGTGTGTGTGTGTGTGTGTGTGTGTGTGTGTGTGTGTGTGTGTGTGTGAGAGAGAGAGAGAGAGAGAGGGGGGGAAGAAGAAAGGGGGGGAGATGGCTTCGTACCCACGTGGTCGTTCACGATGGCGCAAACCTAACAAAGACCAGGGTGCGTGCGCGTGTGGATGGAAGGGAGAGAAAAGGGGGGGGAAGATTACTTCGTCCCACGTGGTCGCCCTTCCGATGGCACACACCCAACAAAGGCCTAAATGTGGCCTTAAGGTCTAAAAGAGACTGAGTTCGGCCCTACACGATCGGTGTCTCTGAGGCGTCTGGATAGCCGCGAGTGTATAGATCTCTGTGCGTAATGGCGCGGTGGTGGAGTTGGTCTCCAGATGTACGTTTACACAGGAATATGTGTGTATGTGTATGTTCGTAGAAGGGGAAATAAAAGAGAATAAAAGAGAAATGCGTGCCTGAAGAGGCCGGATCACAGTCCGACTCCCGCGCCACAACTCGGAGTAATTCCCTTCATTCGCAGAAACAAACCTATAGCCGAATTCAGGTTAATACGGCTTACACTGGCCTTTCTGATCAGAAGAGTAATACCCGGTTATAACGCTGTTACGCTAAACACATATAGGACGCAGCGGTCCGAAACAACAACAAGAGTTTTAAACAGTTCAAACTCAGGACACAGCGGTCCAACAAAGATAAAAATTACAGTTTCTGCTTCGATCAACAATTGTTAAAAACACTCTCTAAAGCTAATTCTGCCCAGACCTAATTAAGCCTCACTTGTGAATCGCTTTGTCCGCGATTGGTGAAAGGAAAAGAGTCCGGCGATGGAGCAAATCTTCTGTCCGTCCTGGTGCAGAGGCGTCTGATGGCGGTGAGGGTCCCTTACGGCGAGAGCGGCTTCGTTGGTTCTCCGTCGAGTGGAAAGATGTCCGTTGATGTCCTGCGCGCCAAAAACTTAAAACAAAGGAAGATTGTTGCAGGAAACAGGAGATAAGCTTGGATCTCCGAGCACCAGAAGTCAGCGCATGGAAAGAGGTCGAGCAATGGAAGTCTTGGAGTTTTGTAGCCTGGCCTGCTCCATGGGGGGTCTACCTCAGGTCCCCTCCAATGAGGAGAGAGAGGTTCCGGTCCCCCCTTATTTTTATCCCAGAATCCCCTGCGGTACTTCACACCTACGCGTGGTAGGTGTGAAGTACCGCAGGGGATTCTGGGATTAAGAGTCCTTTTAGGCCTCTTTGTGATCTCAGTGAATAACTCAAATGAGGCTTTTACAGAGGTGCAGGCCCAAGTCCATTGTTTGACTGTCCTAAGCCTGTGTGGCCCAACACTGAAAAATCATCATCTTGTGTGCAGCGGGCGAGTCACCACTTAGACCGGGAAAGTCGCGGTTGTAAACGGGTGATAAAAATCAAATTATGAATAAATTGAAGTTATTTGTTATTAAAGGGTAACTAAACCCCATATTTTCAGCTGTAGTGCTCTACCCTGGAATTTAAAAAAATGCATTTAGAACGTCAATGTATCAACTTCGAGAAGAACTCGCTCACTCACTCCTTTCTCGCTGTTATCAGCCGCAACATGATACAATGTTTGCCCCACACACACAAATACACACACACACTTGAGTCCCCACAGTTTGCCGAGTCGGGTGACAAGGCTTTTATAGGTTTGGTGACGTGGGGCTGTACTCCTACGTCATACTGTACGCTACACAGCCGTTAGTATTTTTCAAACGGAAGGGCAGACACTATGCACATTTCTAACACAATATTTCAAATTTCAATACTTTGTACTCAAATGTCGAGATTGGGACTTGGATTGATCCATAACACTACTTAATACTCAAATACAGAGGTTTAGAGTTGAAAAAAGTGGTTTTAGGGTTTAGTTACTCTTTAAAAGGAAGAGGCATTTTCCTTCTAACCACAGTAATGACGAGGAAGAAAAGCCGATCAGTGGTGGTCTTGACCGGCCCTGATTTAAAATCCTTCAAGTCCGAGACTGAGACAAGATCGAGTAAGAATGGTTTTGATTCCAAGACAAGACCTTCAAAAGGTGGTCTCGAGACCGGTCTTGAGACTAAGACCGATTGTGAGTACTACAACACGAGTAGAGTCGGTCGTTTCCTATCCGGGGTTTGATTACAAGCTGCTGCAGCCACGTCCGATTTGTCTATGAGCAAAACACTTAACCTGAAGTTGCTCCCGCTGCTTCGTCGGCGGTGTGTGAATGGATGAGTTAATACATGACCGACTCTTTACACAGCAGCCTCTACCATCAGTGTGTGAATGTGTATGAATGGATGAGTTAATACTGATGGACTCTTTACTCAGCAGCCTCTACCATCAGTGTGTGAATGTGTATGAATGGATGAGTTAATACTGATGGACTCTTTACTCAGCAGCCTCTACCATCAGTGTGTGCATTTGTATGAATGGATGAGTTAATATTGACGGACTCTTTACTCAGCAGCCTCTACCATCAGTGTAGACATGTATATGAATGGATGAGTTAATACTAATGGACTCTTTACACAGCAGCCTCTACCATCAGTGTGTGAATGTGTATGAATGGATGAGTTCATACCAATGGATTTTTTAAACGGCAGCCTCTACCATCAGTCTATGAATGGACGAGTTAATACTGATGGACTCTTTACACAGCAGTCTCTACCATCAGTGTAGACTTGTATATGAATGGATGAGTTAATACTGATGGACTCTTTACACAGCAGCCTCTACCATCAGTGTGTGAATGTTGTATGATTGGATGAGTCAATACTGAAGGACTCTTTACACAGCAGCCTCTACCATCAGTGTGTGAATGTGTATGAATGGATGAGTTAATATTGATGGACTCTTTACACAGCAGTCTCTACCATCAGTGTGTGAATGGATGAGTTAATACTGATGGACTCTTCACACAGCAGCCTCTACCATCAGTGTAGACTTGTATATGAATGGATGAGTTAATACTGATGGACTCTTTACTCAGCAGCCTCTACCATCAGTGTGTGAATGTTGTATGATTGGATGAGTCAATACTGAAGGACTCTTTACACAGCAGCCTCTACCATCAGTGTGTGAATGTGTATGAATGGATGACCCAATACTGATGGACTCTTTACTCAGCAGCCTCTACCATCAGTGTATACATGTGTATGAATGTATGAGTTAATACTGATGGACTCTTTACACAGCAGCCTCTACCATCAGTGTATGAATGTGTAGGTGTGACCTGCAGTGTAAAAGTGCTTTGAGTAGTTAGAAGAGTAGAAAAGAAATATACAAGCTCAGGTCCATTTACCCTTTACAAACATCTTATTTGTCATGTTTGGGGGTCCTGCTCCGTCCGTGCATCAGCATTTATAATCCACCTGGCACATCTGGTACATTCATCAGCACAAAGGTTTCCGACACGATTTCTCCTCGTCCTTTTCTAATTCAAACCGTTTGTTTCTCTCTCTGTTTGGTGACGAGCATCAGGGGAGTTTAAATGAGGCCAGAGATTATGTGAATCCAGGACAGCTGTTGTTCAATATCTCTTTGATATTTTTATATTTTAAGTCTCTTTTCCTAGACAACATAGATGACAGTGAATACTCCATGCTTCTTGATATTTGAATCACTCTGATGACCTCCACGTATGTTATGTAGTTAAAGTCATATGTGATGCTGAAACTGGTTTCTTCACTGCAAACATTAGGAGGAATGTGGAGGAAGAAGACATGCCCGCCGTTCGCTCACACGGCACTAAAATATTGTATTCCATCAAAATCACAACGTTTCCACCAGAGTTTTTCTTCAGGTGATTGTTTTGAAATTTCTGAACCTTCAAAACCTGAAGAAGACATCTGGTGGAAACATTAATATTAATAATAATGATACATAATACTTTTACTTACCCGATCCACTGTCCTATCTCTAAAAAATAGAGAGATATTTTTCTGATTTCTTGAAGGTGGAGAGTGAGAGGAATATGATAGTTTTTGGCAGTGAGTTCGAGAGGGTTGGGGCAGCAATGGAGAATGCCCTGCCCCCCTAGGACCGTAGGTTAGTTCTGCAGGGGGTGCTCAGGCAGGTAGGGGGAGCCAGGTTATAGAGGGCTTGTAGATAATAATAAGGAATTTGAAGTGTTGTGGTCACAGGTGCGGGAGTGTGTGAGAGGACGAGCAGCATATATATTCTGGATTAATGTAGTTTCATGAGTGTTTTGGACGATGAACCGTAGATGAGGATGTTGCAGCAGTCCAGTCTAGAATTGATGAATGCGTGATCGATGGTCTCATCAGCTGAGAAGACGCGGGATGGACGGAGGATAAAATAAGTTGAATCCATCTGAAAAGTCCAGATAAACACCTGATTTAAAGACAGCATGAGCAGGAATAAGTCCTGGATTTTGTTGCATGGTCAGCTATATTTACTGTTATAAACAATTACTTTTATTAACTATGATGAAATAATAAATCAGACAAAGACACAGTATTCGACTGGAGCTTTTGGATTGGAAGGTGAAAACTATTTGAGGTATCAGTCTGTTATTTAAAGTGTTTGTGGACTCCTGTTGACAGAGAGATAATAACGTCCATGCAGCAGCAGTCTATGAAGAAACATACTGCGTTAAACAGTTCTATTTGTGATCCACAAAGAACACGTTCAAGATAGTTGTAGGACCCTGACTTTGTCCTGCAGTCCATTCTTGATTCAACCTCAGCCCCTATTGGTGGAGAGACTGGAGTAAATGTTAGGGTTAAGACAGACTTTTTAAACGACAGCAACATGGTTTCTATCTTCTGCTTTCAGATCCAGAGTTCAAAGATCTCGGGGAACTGCCGGCTCTTCCATGTGAGTATAGAGAAGTCACAGAGGCCTCACGCTGGCTCGCTTCAGCACTACGAGCATAAAAAAAAGAAACTGATTTACTTACAACTAAGGGGTCTTTTTTTTATTTCACCTTCATTTAACCAGAAAAGAAACTTCTGGAGATTAAAAATCTCTTTCTCTTTCTGGTCGAGACAGTTTCACACAAACAACGACAACATTAAAAGACACAAAAAACAAATTTTAACAACAGATGTTTGTGAAGATCATCCACAAACACATCAGTGAGAACATCTGCAGCCAGATGTTTCTGACTCTAAGTCACTTAATATCCTCTTAAAATCAACCAATGAGAGCAGCTCGTTAAGTCTCAGCTCTTTCTCTGATTGGTTCCAAGAAAAGGGAGACGCAAACCTATAGGCCCTCCTGTCCAGGTCAGTTAGGACTGTTGGAACAAACAGTAAGAAAAGGTCCTGAGAAGTCCCTGTACTCAGTGGTGATTCTAGAGTCGGATGTGGAAATTATTTGGGTGGCGCTCCGACCAGAGTTCATCACCATCATGTCTGCCTCCTCCCCTCGTCCGATAAAATGCTCCTCCCCTTGTCGACTAACATGCTCCTTCCCTCGTCTGCTAAAATACTCCTCCCCTCGTCAACTAACATGCTCTTCCCCTCGTCGGCTAACATGCTCCTCCCCTCGTCAACTAACATGCTCCTCCCCTCGTCGACTAAAATGCTCCTCCCCTCGTCGACTAACATGCTCCTCCCTCATCGACTAAAATGCTCCTCCCCTCGTCGACTAACATGCTCCTCCCCTCGTCGACTAACATGCTCCTCCCCTCGTTATCACAACAATAATGCATGCAATGCTTAGCAGGGCAACGAGAGTGAGTGCTGTCAGATGAGGCCCTGTTAGGGAGGTTTTCCTACTGTCAATGCAAAATGTGCACATTCTGAGCCTCTGCTGTGGTTTAAAGTTTGTCAGCCCTCAGGGGCCCCCTACTGGTCTGGGCCCCCAAGCCATTGCCTGTTGAGAAGCAGTACCACTGTGGAGGTGAGAAGGTCTGAAGAAGTAGACCTGAAATAGACGGCAGGCCGTCAACCAATGATCCGGTGGGGAGGGGTGGGGGGGTTGTTCTGGCAGGCCGTCAACCAACGATCTCGAGGAGCCTAAGAGAGCTCAAGAGCTCCCAGGAAAATAGGTGGTTAGTGACTGAGATTTACAGATAGATACATGCAGTAATATGATGTACTGTATATGCACAGAGAGAGAGAGAGAGAGAGAGAGAGAGAGAGAGAGAGAGAGAGAGAGAGAGAGAGAGGAGCTCAAGGTGCCAGTTCCCCCGGTAGTCTAAGCCTATAGCAGCATAACTAAGAGCTGGTCTACACCAGCACCAGCCCTAACTATAAGATTTATCAAAAAGGAAAGTTTGAAGTCTATTCTTAAAAATACAGACTGTGTCTGCCTCCCGGACCCTGGCTGGAAGACGATTCCAGAGGAGAGGAGCCCGATAACTGAAGGCTTTACCTCCCATAGTACACTTAGAGACTGTAGGTACCACTAGCAGGCCTGCATTCTGGGGCCGTAATGTTCTCGAGGGGCAGTACGGCACTAGTAGCTCCTTAAGATAAGATGGTGCCTGGCCATTTAGAGCCTTGTAAGTGAGAAGAAGGATCTTAAATTCTATTCTAGACTGTATAGGGACCCAGTGCAGAGAAGCCAACACAGGAGTAATGTGGTCCCTTTTCCGAGTTCTAGTCAGTACAGGAGCTGCAGCGTTCTGGACTAGTTGAAGAGTCTTTAGAGACTTACCAGAGCACCCTGACAAAAGAGAGTTACAATAATCCAATCTGGAGGTAACAAATGCATGAACTAGTTTTTCTGCATCATTTTGCGAAAGGATATTCCTGATCTTGGATATATTACGAAGGTGAAAATAGGCTGTTATTGAAATTTGCCTAATGTGAGAGCTTAAGGACATATCTTGATCAAATAGAACTCCTAGATTCCTAACAGTGGTGCTAGATGCCAGGCTGATGTCATTAAGGACAGTCAAATCACTAGAAAAAGTCTCTCTAAGGTTTTTAGGGCCTAGCACAATAACGTAAGTCTTGTCTGAGTTAAGTAGCAAAAACTTTCTGGTCATCCAGGTCCTAACGTCATTAAGGCACGTTTCTAGCTGACATAACTGACTGGTGCCATCAGGCTTCATTGATACATAAAGCTGAGTATCATCTGCATAACAATGAAACTGTATGGAGTGTTTCCTCATATTTCCCAGAGGTAGCATATAATGTAAAAAGAATTGGTCCAAGCACTGAACCTTGTGGGACTCCATGGCAAACTTTGGTGTGCATAGAGGACTCATCATTAACATGTACAAACTGAGATCGGTCTGATAAGTAGGATTCAAACCAACTTAAAGCAGTCCCTGTAATTCCAAGTAAATGTTCTAGTCTGTATAATAGGATCTGATGGTCAATGGTGTCAAAAGCAGCACTAAGATCTAACAAGACGAGCACAGAGAGAAGTCCCCTGTCTGAAGCTAGAAGTAGATCGTTTTTAACTTTAACTAGTGCAGTCTCAGTGCTATGGTGGTTTCTAAATCCTGACTGAAACTCCTCAAATAAACTGTTGTCATGGAGGAAGTCACACAGCTGATTAGCTACCACTTTCTCCAGGATCTTCGAGATAAAAGGAAGGTTGGATATAGGCCTATAGTTAGATAGAGTTCCTGAATCTAGAGTAGGCTTTTTAAGTAGAGGTTTGATTACCGCTACTTTAAATGCCTGTGGTACATAGCCTGCCAGTAAAGACAAATTGATCATATCTAATATAGAGTTGCTAACTAAGGGAAAGACTTCCTTAAACAGCTTGGTTGGGATTGGGTCTAAAAGACAGGTTGACTAGTTTTGACGCAGAAAAAATGGAATACAGCTCTGAAAGCTCGATTGGAGAAAAACAGTCTAAACTAACATCTGGTCCGGGAACTGTCCCTGCCGTATCAGTCATATCTGCACCAGGCAAGGGCAGGAGATCACTAATTTTGTCTCTGATGTCTAGAATTTTGTTGTTGAAAAAGCTCAGGAAATCATTACTGCTGAGGGCTAAAGGAATACAAGGCTCAATGGAGCCATGACTCTGTCAGCCTGGCTACAGTGCTGAAAAGGTATCTAGGATTGCCTTTGTTTTCCTCGATTAGAGAGGAGTAGTAGGCAGCTCAAGCGTAACGTAGAGCCTTCATATATTTTCTATGACTATCCTGCCAGAATAAACGGGATTCTACAGCACTATCAGATGAACTTCTAGAGAGCACATTTTTATTAAGCAGAGATAATTCTGGTAGGACAAAATCGAAAGTAATAAGGAAATGGTCTGATAGAGGATTTTCTAGAAAAACTGTAAGGTTATGGATTTCAATGCCATAAGCTAAAACAAGATCCAGGGTATGGTTGAAACAATGAGTAGGTTAATTTACACCCTGGGTGAAACCAACAGAGTCTAACAGTGACATGAAAGCTGTGCTAATGCTATCATTATCAACATCCACATGGATATTGAAGTCACCTACAACAATTATTCTATCACTGCTGAGGACTAAATCTGATAAAAATTCTGCAAATTCAGATAGAAACTCAGAATATGGGCCAGGAGGGCGGTAAACTACAACAACTAGAACTGGCTGAAAGGTTCTTGAGACTGGATGTGAAAGACTAAGAATAAGGCTTTCAAAAGAAGAAAAATTCAGCTTTGGTCGAGGGTTAACTAGAAGACTAGAATTATAAATAGCTGCTACTCCACCACCTCGTCTGGTGTCTCAAGGTATATGAGTACTAAAATGACTGGGAGGAGTGGATTCATTTAAACTAACATATTAATTTTGACACAGCCAGGTTTCAGTCAAAAAAAGTAAATCAATATGCTGATCTGATATCAGATCATTAGCTAAAAGAGACTTGGATGCTAAGGACCTAATGTTCAAAAGTCCGCAGTGAATCTTCTGATCTTTTAGCAAAATCGTATTCGTAGTTTTGATTCTAATGAGATTTTGACGATTTACGCCTTTTTTTTCTACGTTCGGATAACTTATAAAAACGGGTCTGGACCGGGGGACAGACACAGTACCTATAGTATAACTACAGTTAAATTCAGAATTACAGCTATAGTGACTGGGAGACAGATCTAAGGGAGGCGCAGAGAAGTGTGTAAGACTGCAGCTCTGCCTCCTGGTCTGAACTCTGAGTTGTTGTCAAGGTTTTGGACTAATAACCTCTGCTATGTTTCTAGATAATAGAGCTGCACCGTCCAAAGTAGGATGGATGCCGTCTCTAGCTAGCAGACCAGGTTTTCCCCAAAAAGACTGCCAGTTATCTATGAATCCCACATCGTGTGCTGGACACCACCTCGACAGCCAGCGGTTGAGTGATGACATACGGCTATACATGTCATCACTGGTCTGATTTGGTAGGGGTCCAGAGAACACTACGGAGTCCGACATCGTCTTAGCAAAAGTACACACCAACTCCACATGAACCTTCGTGACTTCCGACTGGAGTAGTCGGGAGTCATTAGTGCCGACATGAATTACGATTGTATCAAATCTACCTTTAGTCTTTGTCAGCAACTTTAAATGAGATGCGATGTCGCCCGCTCTGGCCCCGGGTATACACCTAACTATGCCCGCTGGCTTCGCTAGCTTCACGTTTCGGACTATGGAGTCTCCAATAATCAGAGCTGGCTAACTACTGCTGCATACGATGGCTCTGACTCAATGGTGCGGAGCCGTCTCTCTAACTCAGACACCCTCACCTCCAAAGCTAAAAATAAACTACATTTTATACATGTATCATTATCACTAAAGGAGGACGAGGAGTAACTTAACATCTGACACGCAGAGCAGGAGAGAGCAGGAGAGGGAGAGACAGAAAAAGAAGCCATTGTAAAGCTAACTGCTAAGCTAGGCTCAGAGTAGGTACACAGTAACACAGTACAGAGGAGAACAGAACAGAAAATGATGCAATACGCTCACCCGTAGCTCGCTGCTCAGGTGCTGCTTGCTGCTCAGGTGCTGATCCTAGTGTTTCTCTATGTTCCTATGTTCTATGTGCTTTGTGAGGAGGCATCACCAGAGTCCAGCACAGACAGAAACGTGTCAGAAACCAGACTCTCTTCTTAGATCCAAAAGAGAGACAGGATTTGATGCCAAAGTAGAATCCCAGTTTCAGCTTTAACTTTTTTACCAGCCGCTGAATGTGAGGAGTAAAATACCAAGATATCTGTAGCCTCAAATAGACTCGATTTCTGTCCCATGAGAGGTGGAGCTCCAAAGGAGGTTAGATGGTTCAGATTTCCTATTAGAAAACATCATGACTCTGGTCTTTGAGTCTGAAGTTTGGCAAAAGATCAACATCATGGTGCAGCATGGTGAAAGTGAATTCTAAGTTTGGTCAGGTCTGTCGTCAAGCGGAGGAGAAAACCACAAAAGTCAACCCCATTATCCCATCACAGACTTTATTTGATCTGTATTTGATTGTAGCTTCACTTTAATGCATGATTGGTCAATACAGCTCAGGTTACAAAACCAGAGCACTTTTCACACTGAAAGTAATAACCCAGGCGTACAGATTTTATATTTCAATGTAAAATCTGTAAATAGAGATTAGAGCAACTCAAAGAAGACCCGGCTAACTTTAAACTTTTGATTATTTGATGCAACACACCAACAACTTTCTCCCTTTGAAATTCTGTCAAAGTTGTCCGCTCTCAAAAGTAACATCACTTTAAAAGAGCAACTTGTAACTCTGACCCCTAGTGTTTAAAATGGGTACTGCAGTCCAAATTCTAAATATTGTAGAGAGCTGTCTTCCCCTGCCCCCTCTTCTCTAGAGTCGATGCTCAAGCAGGTTGCCATGTGGTGGACACTGAAGCTTCAGCTTCAAACCGCCTACCTTCTCTGGTCCAAACAAATCCAGAGCATTCAGGACCAGAATCCAAAGTTAGGAGGACATACTGGCTGCTGTATTGTTGTCAGAGAAGCCAGCACTTCAACATAGCATGTTTCCTTAATGTCTGATCAGATAGTAAGGTCACTTTATCATCTTACTCACTATACATCTCACTGGTTGGACCTTTAAGACAGACATATTTGTCTCCACAGATTGCGAGTTTGACTTGAGTGGTCCAGAAGGCTATGTGGAGTCTGCTCAGATAGCAGCAGAGAGCCGGGCGCTGCAGACTGAGGCCGTGGACTGCAGGTGGTACATCAAGGCTCCACCAAGATCTAGGGTGTGTGTATGTCCACATACAGCTTTTTTTGTCAGCTGCATGAATTTGTTTATAAAAAGGAAATAGTCTGATAATTGGTTAGAGTGACTTTGGACTAGAACTGCAAATGCATTCAATTTAAATGTCAAATATTGGTCCTATGTTTTCTAACGCTAGTTCTCTAACATGACTTTGTGTCAGTTAGTTTTACCAGCCTCTGAACTGAAGTAAGCTCAAAGTGTTAGCATTAGCATAAAGCTAGCGACTCAATGTAATTGGATCCATGAAAATGTCACATGTCAGTGAAAGTGAACTGGCTGTTGTCACTAAAGCATGGCAATATTCTTGTAAGAAGAACATGTTATAAAGGACTTCCTTCATTCTGTGAAATCTCACTCCATTATCTTGTGATTGTGCTCAACCTTTTACCCGCAGGTCTACATGCGTTTCCTGGAGTACGAGATGCACAACTCCAATGAGTGCAAGCGCAACTTCGTCGCCATCTACGACGGCAGCAGTTCGGTCGAACACCTGAAGAATAAGTTCTGCTCCACGGTGGCCAACGATGTCATGCTGACGTCCTCTGTGGGGGTGGTGAGACTGTGGGCGGACGAGGGAAGCAGGAAGAGCAAGTTCAGGATCCTCTTCACCACCTTCCATGAACGTGAGTGAATCTGTGAAACTGCCAACTTTACTCAGAGGTCCGTACGGAGGGAATGGACAGAGACACTGACTATGTTTACATGCACACCATATTCCTGTAATAATCGGAATATGACAATATTCTGATTGCGTAGGAGTCATGAAAACACCTTATTCCAATTGTCATAACCCGATTAAGATCACTTTCCAATTATTAAAAACCCGAATAAGACCCCAGGCATATGCCTGTATCAACCCGAATAGTGGGTCATGTAAACGCGTTAGTCGGAATCCTGAATATGCTACTTCAAGGATTTGTTTACTTCTGCGCATGTTCAACATGGCGAGAAACACCCAAAAGACCTTACACTTTTGGGGCGAGGAGGAGACAAATTTATTATTACTCGCTCCCACCAGTCCTGGCTGTGAACTTTCATCTATAGTCTCTGCGGGGCTCTGGTTGGTATCCATGGCGTAACACATAGAGCTCTGTTTACCATTTCCTCGCGTTCTCGTCGGCCACGGTTGAGGAGGTGAATGAGAATGAGTGTTCCAGTCACACTTTGATGGAGGAGTGATAAGAATATTACACAGTATAGTGCAAAAGCAAGCATCTTGGACTATTTGGTGGAAATGCCAATACTGTAAAAGAACGCCCCTAGATGACGTCTTGACATGACGCGACTACTACTATGGTTTATTCAGAATATGCTGATTAAGATGTAAACGGGAATATTCCAGTAGCTCAGCACTCTGCAGAGCATGTAAACACCTTTTTCGGAATATTGCCTTAACCAGAATATGGACCTGCAAAGGAAAATGGTGTGCATGTAAACGTAGTCACTGACGAGGAAACTTCAACACTTTCCACCTGGAGATGAAGAGAATCAGTCAGGACACACTTGCAACTTAACTGTTGGTTAAGAGCCTCAAAAGAGAGCTTGAAGTCTCTACCTTATCTAATCTTCAGTTCTCAATAATAACAAAAAATCAAATGATGAACTGAAATGGATTGCTTAACATGATGAACTGACAGATTGAGTTTGTACTGACTGTACGGACATTTTACTGTGCTTTGCTTGTACCGCTCGCTCTTTGCACTCCAATCAACCAAACTTGAACCGAAATCATCTCTTAAGTAGCTGCGAAGCATCAAATACCTATTTCACTTTTATTAACAGACCCAGCACAATTCTTGAAAGTAAATTAGTATAATGTTGAACTGTAACATCTATGGGTGGATTTCACAACCATAGTACCCCTGGGTGGCGTTTCCAGGGAAGACGCTCTGGATTGGATGGTTAAACAGAATTCATTACGATCAGGCGAGATCAGCATGTGAATCTGTGTTCGTGGGGGAAGATTAGACTCTGTAGACGGGGACTTCGGGCATCTAGAAAGCAGGTTAAAATCTAAAAGAACAACATTGGACAGAACAACTGCAGGCTGATATACCAGTCTGAGCCTTGACCGTTATGTAATGTGCTCTATTTGGTTTGTTTTCACATGACAGCTCCGTGCTTTCTGTGTTTTTTCAGCTCCGTGTGATCAAGACACTTTCTTTTGCCACAGCAACATGTGCATCAACCACACCCTGGTCTGCAACGGCATCCAGAACTGTGTTTACCCGTGGGACGAGAACCATTGCAAAGGTGAGCCCAGAAACAACAAGGAGTTCACCACCAGTCATACGCTGTCTCTTTGGACGGACATCACCCATTCTTCTCTCTGTTGTCTCCCACACTAGAAAAGAGGAAGGCCAGCATCCTGGACACACTGGACCACACCAACCTCACTATCATCGGAGTGACCTGTGGCCTCGTTGTCATCCTGCTCGTCATCTCAGTCGTTATCCAGGTCAAACAGCCTCGCAAGAAATACATCATCCGCAGGTCAGGTCACCTCAAGTTCAATCTAAGTGTGTAATGGGGGGAGGAATGACCCCCCCCCTCTGTACCGTCTTCAGAGGTAGTAACAGAGGCGTTACAGTGGAGAGGCGGGATCAGCTGAGCCAGCGGGGGAGCACAGTGCTGTGTGTGTGTCTGACTGTGTGTGACTGTGGAGCTCCTGCTGTGCCGTGCTTCCACGCTGAAATGCAATGTAAATTCACAGACTGGGACACCAATGTTACGCCGTCACAGAATCACTATGATGTACAAAGACGTGATGACGGGTGAGCCTAGTTATAGTTACTCTTTAGCCCCTCCCCTGTGGCCCCCCTCTGGCTTTGCCAAAAAAAGTGAATAGACTAATTATTTTTTTACTTTAGATTTGTAATTCTTATTGTTGTTTCAAAGTGTTTTACATTCTCTAACTGTAAAAATGTGCGGCCTGAATGATTTCTCACACTCGTAGGTCTGTGTACGACCCCCTTAAATCAGCTCAAATCAAACACTCTGAGCTTTGTTTTTCTGACATGTTCTTGGACGTCTTCCTTGATCTCTGTGTTATTGCATGCCTCTCCTTCCCTCTTTCATCCACAGAGATGACTTTGACCCAGCACTCCTCCACCCTGGCTTCGAGCCTCCTCATTACGAGCTCTGCACTCTGCGCCGCGCCCCGTCTGGTGAACTCACTGATGCCGCCCTGGCCGACGACTACGAGAAGTTCCACAAGCTCCGTCGCTCCTCCTCCAAATGTATCCGCGACCATCACTGTGGCTCCCAGGCGGGGAGCATGCACGGCAGCGTTCATGGTAGCCGCAGTAATCTGAGTGTGCGAGACGGTGTCAACGCAGCTGATGGGGGGGCTCTTGTACCACCCCCGCTGCCGCCAATGATGGGGAGCCAGCAGTCTCCACACCTTTCCCACCTCACCACACCTGCAGGGCACCGGAGCATCCTGGTGATAAAGCATAGCTACTCTCAGGACGGGGCAGAGGGGTACAGAGGGGAGGAGGAGGAAGATTTGATGATGGATGACGGACCCACCACCAGCCAGCACCTCATGCACCATCATCAGATCCACCATGACCCGCTGGGGCTGGACCACGCCGTCCACCGTACGCTGTCTAATGACTTCTGACAACGTGCAAAAAAAGAAGCCATCATCACAGTTGGACCTTTGAGTAAGGTTACAAGTTACATTTATGCAAATGAGTGATGGTTAAACAGCTCTTCTCAGAAGGTTTTCAGAAGCTGCAGAAGAAGTGAAAAATTTTCTAGTTGTTCGTATTTAAAGATCGGCTGCTCTGGTAATGCACTCTTAGGTAACCTTTCTGCGTTCTAACCTCTCTCCATTTTTCAAAAGCATCTCCAATATTTTTTTTAGGTTGGGTACAATCACTTCTATCTGAACCACTTCTCTTGCCCGCTTCCATCGCTGCAACACCTGTTGGTTTGACCTGATAACTGCTCTCATATGTGGCAAACCAAGGCGTGTCCAAAACGGCTGTGTGGGGGTGTCTTAAAAGCGTCTACCTTCTCTGGTCCAAACAAATCCAGAGCATTCAGGACCAGAATCTAAAGTTAGAAGGAGGACATACTGACTGCTGCATTGTTGTCAGAGAAGCCAGCACTTCAACATAGCATGTTTCCTTAATGTCTGATCAGATAGTAAGGTACCTTTATCATTTACCTCTCTACACATCTCACTGATTGGACTTTTAACCCAAATACCATCAAGGGCACTGTAAAATAAAACTCAAATAAACATAAGCAATAGTGTAATAAGAAACAATCATTCAGCTGTTCTTCCTCTGAGTGTAAACTGAGTTATTTGTTTGTTTGTTTTTATTGTTTATTTCTGCTTCTCCCTCTTTCTTAATTTATCTATTTATTTATTGTTTGTGTTGTTGATTCCTCTGAATAAATATCTTCTTCTTCTGTTACTCCGTGTGTCACAGTGTTGTTGTCATTAAATATGAGCGCGGGCAGATCCTGACGGGTGGCACCATGACATTAATGTAGACGCTGTGTTGGCCTGCTGCTGCGTCGTCAGCTCATCCGCCATATTGGAAGGGGCAGGCCCTGTAAACAAATACAAGTTGCCATGGAAACTGTGAGTCTTCAGAATAAAAAGCACTCAGGTTTAAGATTTAACCGTTTTGAGAGAAGTTATAAAAACAGTGATTGATGATAACTTGAACAAATGCTTGGAGAAAGAGTGTCAGGGATCAACATGTTGATGATTATATCTCAGACTGTAAATAATAACAACACAATATACAGATGGGTCGCAGACACTTGGAGGAAAGAGGGAGTTAAATGGAACAAAAATAAAAAAAACATTATTTGTGAGAGATAAATAGTTTTTCTGTATTTTTAGATGATTGTTGCACCACTGAAAAAGAGCTACTTGCTTCCTCGTTATAAGAAAACATTACTAATAGAAGAGACCACCAGGAAACCTCAACATGACTGAGCTCCAAAACCACAGAATACCATGTACGCATCAAACATGTCAAGTATGGCTTTAGTTCTTGGTCTCAAGGTTGATATTTTTTTCCATTGTAATCCAAGGATTTTAAGACATATGGCAAGAGGGTTTAGGGTTACGATTATGACAAAGTTTGTGAACCCCTGGCCTATAATACAGGATCACTTTGGGTGGACCCTGTAAATATGTTCATGATATGATAAAATACAGTAGGGGGCGCTAATGCAAAATTAAATGATGCCAACCACCATGACACTACAAAGGAAGAAGAAGAAGAAGGGACCGGATGTAAAGCGGAACCTTTGTGAGAGTAACTGTCGTCCTTACGTGCTTGAATCAGCGCTGCACAGGTCGTCTTCCGGTGGGCATGTGTAGTCCAGGACAAGAGGACTGACCTTGTTTAGAAGCTGGTCCTCTTAGTGAAGAGGTTCTGGGTCATGTCGGAGGATACGGGACAGGAGCAGAACAGAAGCCGGCTGGGGCTGCTGCTCACCGGGGTGCTCGGCGGCTCTCTGCTCGCCCTGTACGCGGGGGCTGCTCCCTTCATCACCCCTGCTCTCAGGAAGATCTGCCTCCCCTTCGTCCCTGCGACCTCAGCCCAGGTAGACAACGTCCTCAGGGTGCTGAGAGCCAGGTCCGGGACCCTGGTGGACCTCGGGAGCGGGGACGGAAGAATAGTAAGTGTTTGTTTTTTTAAAGGTGTTCTCTTTTAAGTGGCGAAGGGAACAAAATGTTTCACCCGGACACTTAGATACACGGACACACTTATTATTATTATTATTATCATTATTAATAATAGTAATAATAATAATAATAATAATAATAATAATAAGTTAATAATAAAACGTATTATTATTATTATTAATAATAATAATAATAATAATAATAATAATAATAATAATAATAAGTTAATAATAAAACGTATTATTATTATTATTATTATTATTATTATTAATAATAATAATAATAATAATAATAATAATAACTTAGTATTATCATTATTATCTTAATAAAACGTATTAATAATAATAATGATAATATATGAATAATAGTATACACTCAGAAACACTGCCATGATGTATGACTGTATGACTTATCATACATTAAAGCAGGAAGCCTTCACTGAAGGACGACAGGCAGGAAGTTAACAGACATTTACAGCAAGAGATTACAAAGTAAAAGAGGGAACCCAGTAATGAAACAATTAAATATGTAATCAATAAAAACACTGTTCAGACCGCGAAAATCAATCTGATGTTTTCTAAAGATTTATTTTTGGGCTCTTTATGCCTTTAATGGAGAGATAGGACAGTGGATAGAGTCAGAAATCAGGGAGCGAGAGTGGGGAACGACATGTGGGATGTGAACCCGGGCCGCCTGCTTGAGGCTACAGCCTCAATACATGGGGCGCGCGCACTGACCACTGCGCCACCAGCGCCCCATCAATCTGATGTTTTAACATTGATGACAATAAAATGACTCCAAATGACAAGCCTTTTTAAGGTACAGTTTACTTTGAAAAGCTCCAAAGAGCTCGCTGAAAACAAACGCTTCAGAAGTAGTAAGCGGGTCTCTAATTTGAAAACTGTACGTACAGAAACTGTGTGGGTGGTTTGAACCCTCATTGCTAGAATAAACAACAACTAAGACGTAAAAAAAAGTCAGTATGGATTTGTCAGTTCTTATCAAACTGCTGCCTCGGTTTCCTCTGAACGATCCTTCCTCCCTCGTCTTCTCGCAGGTGATCGCAGCAGCCAAGCGAGGCTTCAAGGCGTCAGGTGTGGAGCTGAACCCCTGGCTGGTGTGGTATTCTCGCTACAAGGCGTGGAGAGAGGGGGTCCACCGCTCCACCTCCTTCTACATCTCTGACCTGTGGAAGGTGAGTCATACCTGATGTCGGGTTTCATTCAGCACACGGGAAGTCGATCTGACCTCTTCTGTCTCCGTTTGTTTTCCAGGTCAGTTTTGCTCAGTACTCCAACGTCGTCATTTTCGGCGTGCCTCAAATGGTGAGTTCACTTTTTTTCCAACAGAAGATTTAACAACATTTACGTGAAAATATTTTCTTATCTGTTGCGGGGGGTCAAGCGCCATGTGCGGGTAGACTGAGAGAACATTTCAACAGCCATGTGTAAAAGAGGATGAAGCGTGTCAATGCAGCTCCTCTGCTGTCTGCAGACACACACTTACACACATCGCTGCACAAACACACACACCAGAACGCCAGCCACCGCTCGCTCTTCTTCGACCTTTTTCAAGATAACGGCGAGCAAATATATTTATCATTGAGAGAAAAAGTACCGGCACACCAGAAGCTTTAAATATCACATGTAACGTTCATCAGACATTCTTCAATTCAAAGCTTTATTGTCATTTAGTTGTACATACAACAGTAGTGCAAGCAAAATGAGAGAGTGTTTCTCATCATCTAGATCCCAAAAAATTAATAAGACTATTAAAAAACAGTATGACAGCTTTCAGTAGCAGCTCATGCAGTGCTCATTGCCCTAACATGGTGTTTCCATGGCAACGATAAACATGTGGTGTTTGTCATGGCGGCGGCGAGTACCTCTTGTGACCATGTGTGCTTTGTGTCTGCAGATGGACCAGCTGGAGCTGAAGCTGGCGAGCGAGTTACCGACGACAGCCAAGGTGGTGGCCTGCCGCTTTCCCTTCCCTACCTGGGTCCCTGAACACACCGCCGGCGAGGGCATAGACACCGTGTGGGTGTACGACGCAAAGACCTTTAAATCACACCAGCAACGTGGACTGACAAGGAAGACGACGGCAGTGGACGAGGACACGCCACAATCACACTCATGAATCACACTCATGAATCACGTCATGACGAGGAGCGGTCTCCAGATGGACATTTAAACGACAGAGAAAGACTGACCACGGGAATGTGAGTTTGAGGTTATAAGACGAAGGTCGCGAGAAGAAACCGCATGACACGCCCTGGTCCTGATTAGAGGTCACGGCCACTGTTTGAGTCCGTAACCTTCACTGTCACGTTTGTCTGCTCGCTCCTCAAGACGAGGACTGGATCATCACGATCCCTGTAAACACCAAGCAGGCCGCATTGGTACGGTGACCCTTCAGCTGGCCGTCCCGGGTGGCGTTACTGATGTAGTATTAGTATCTGTGTTGTTTACTGTCTAATCTCCTATCACACACTAAAGTCTAGTTGGTGGCCGTGATTCACATTCAAGCTGGTTTGCCAATAAACAACAAAGAAGAAGAGGGTACAGTCTACTGAAACATCAGAGAACAGCAGCCTGACAGAGGCCGTAAAGAGTTCTGTTTCTGCAACCACAACATTACGCTCTTAGCCTTCCTGGCCATGGTGATTAACTGTGAAGCTGAGAGAAAGACATGGTTGTCAATGCGGCCAAAAAAGTATTTTTATTTTGAGGGAGTAACTGGAGAAAATGTGCAGGGGCTGCTGAGAGAGAGAGGTGTTATGAGAGGACGGGATGAGGGGTGGGGAAGTCCCTGTCCCTTTGACTAGCCCCGTGTAGCTGCACATTTACACAAACAAAGACCACTCTCAATGAGAGGCCTCTGTGCATCAAGTGTTGATTAGTTTGCGGATCAAAAATACAATAACTAGGGTGTTTCCCTCTCCCCCCCACAGTGCAGCAGGTTGTTACGACCACATCAGTGATTTTTAATGTTTTTAATCGATATCCTCATGGCAGCTATATCCCATAATTATAACAAAAATGACTTCTGAAAAATCAGTGTGTTACTTTTAAAAATGGTCACTACCGAACACACTTTCTCTTCAATCAGGTAAACTATTTTGAGTTTAAAATATGATGTGTTTATGGGGGTACAGCTCTTCAAAGATGTGTCTGCTAGACATTTAAATTATAGCATTCTTTATTGTCACAACCAAAACAGTCACTAAAGAAACAGATAGTAAAGTTTCTGTGGTGACTAAAGGACTGCTAAGTAGTTGAATCCCATTATTTTGAAACAAATGTGTAACTTTAAGAATCATCCTTTCAATCATCTTTATTTAAAGCAAATAAACATACTTAAGGTCCTGCTGGGGATAAAAGAAGGCTGAACAAATTCTCAGTCCATCTCTGAGGTGATTTACCCTCAGGTAGGAAACTCCTAGTTCCTGGTTCCAGATAAGCTAATTTGAGTTTGTCACTCGGTGTTCAGAGCGTGCACCACGACAAATAAAAGGCCAACATTAATGGAGCCCCAATACAACGGTTCACCATGGCAACAGGTGACGAAAAAAAAGGGCCTCATACTTTTTCCCTACTCAATCTGTACATATTTAGGTCAGGTTAAGTTTTCTCAGGTTTGAGTGAGCTCCCTTTTTGAAACAAAAAAACCCAGTTTCCCTCAATTCAGGAATACAGACTCAGTGTTTGTACTAAACCTGCTTTCTGAAACGGGCCTCTGGATTTATGTTTCTGAAAGCAGCATAGGCCTGCAGGTCTAAACCCTAGTTATCTTCAAAAATACGACAAAACATGTATGTGTTTGTTGTAATCCCAACATAAGGCATGATATGAGTTAATATTCAGCAATAAAGAATATTGAGATATCAACTAGAATGTTATGATACTGATTGGTGCTTTTACTAGATCTGTGAACTTCAGTTATGGTACAATATACACTGCTCAAAAAAATAAAGGGAACACTTAAACAACACAATGTAACTCCAAGTCAATCACACTTCTTTGAAATTAAACTGTCCACTTAGGAAGCAACACTGATTGACAATCAATTTCACATGCTGTTGTGCAAATGGAATAGACAACAGGTGGAAATTATAGGCAATTAGCAAGACACCCCCAATAAAGGAGTGGTTGTGCTGGTGGTGACCACAGACCACTTCTCAGTTCCTATGCTTTCTGGCTGATGTTTTGGTCAGTTTTGAATGCTGGCGGTGTTTTCACTCTAGTGGTAGCATGAGACGGAGTCTACAACCCACACAAGTGGCTCAGGTAGTGCAGCTCATCCAGGATGGCACATCAATGCGAGCTGTGGCAAGAAGGTTTGCTGTGTCTGTCAGCGTAGTGTCCAGAGCATGGAGGCGCTACCAGGAGACAGGCCAGTACATCAGGAGATGTGGAGGAGGCCGTAGGAGGGCAACAACCCAGCAGCAGGACCGCTACCTCCGCCTTTGTGCAAGGAGGAACAGGAGGAGCACTGCCAGAGCCCTGCAAAATGACCTCCAGCAGGCCACAAATGTGCATGTGTCTGCTCAAACGGTCAGAAACAGACTCCATGAGGGTGGTATGAGGGCCTGACGTCCACAGGTGGGGGTTGTTACAGCCCAACACCGTGCAGGACGTTTGGCATTTGCCAGAGAACACAAAGATTGGCAAATTCGCCACTGGCGCCCTGTGCTCTTCACAGATGAAAGCAGGTTCACACTGAGCACATGTGACAGAGTCTGGAGACGCCGTGGAGAACGTTCTGCTGCCTGCAACATCCTCCAGCATGACTGGTTTGGCAGTGGGTCAGTAATGGTGTGGGGTGGCATTTCTTTGGGGGGCCGCACAGCCCTCCATGTGCTCGCCAGAGGTAGTCTGACTGCCATTAGGTACCGAGATGAGATCCTCAGACCCCTTGTGAGACCATATGCTGGTGCGGTTGGCCCTGGGTTCCTCCTAATGCAAGACAATGCTAGACCTCAGGTGGCTGGAGTGTGTCAGCAGTTCCTGCAAGACGAAGGCATTGATGCTATGGACTGGCCCGCCTATTCCCCAGACCTGAATCCAATTGAGCACATCTGGGACATCATGTCTCGCTCCATCCACCAACGCCACGTTGCACCACAGACTGTCCAGGAGTTGGCGGATGCTTTAGTCCAGGTCTGGGAGGAGATCCCTCAGGAGACCATCCGCCACCTCATCAGGAGCATGCCCAGGCGTTGTAGGGAGGTCATACAGGCACGGGGAGGCCACACACACTACTAAGCCTCATTTTGACTTGTTTTAAGGACAAGTTACATCAAAGTTGGATCAGCCTGTAGTGTGTTTTTCCACTTTAATTTTGAGTGTGACTCCAACTCCAGACCTCCATGGGTTAATAAATTTGATTTCCATTGATAATTTTTATGTGATTTTGTTGTCAGTACATTCAACTATGTAAAGAAAAAAAGTATTTAATAAGAATATTTCATTCATTCAGATCTAGGATGTGTTATTTTAGTGTTCCCTTTATTTTTTTGACCAGTGTATAAAGGGACAACATTTCAAAATGTTTCCAACCTGACTTTGAACTAATTATTAACAAGCTCATAGCAGTCAGACGATTGTAGCTTTATTTGGAACCAGTAGTGGGCGGTAGTGCGACAATATGGATGCGTACCGCCTTTTAAAATCCACCGAAGAAATATGTTGGTAATTGCGCTTGGTTGCCATCTAGCGGAGAAAACAGCGAACAGTCGGGTTGTTGCTTTGAGTATGTCCTGGCCGCTTGTTCATGTAACTTTGGATCCTCATTTATGAAATGAAAACGCGTTAATTCTTAACGTTTCATACCTTCACATCACAGGCCGCAGGAGCTCAGATGTCTGCGTGCAGATAGCGATTATCGCGGACTAGCTTGGTGAAGTCAAGATGGACACCGCGGACGAAGGTACCCGAACTTTCTACTTTTTGAGCCGCTTTGTGGTCCCGTTAGCTGGTCAAACCTCTGCGACGTGTTTCCGTGATACTCTGACTCAGATTATGTCGGTGGTTATAACGTGATTAAGATTACAACTCACCGAGAGAGTCAAAGAAACGCTTATACGGTAAGCTAGCTCCGTTAGCATCAGCTGCTGTAAATAAAAACAGTTAGCCGGTAAACTAGCTCCGTTAGCATCAGCTGCTGTAAACACTAACAGTGACTTTCTCTGATAAGTGAATTAATCTCTTCTCGAAACAGAGTTAATCTCAAATGGAAGAAGTATCAGAAGACCAAAGAGTCCTATCTTCAATAAAGATCTAATAATAAGTCACAATCATGCTGTTATATTCAGTATAATAAGTTACAGAAAAGCGTCAACATATCAGATACTAATAGTTTAATGCCGTCAAACGATTAATCGCAAATTTCAATAGTGAATCGCATATTTAAAATAACATTATTTCGCATTTAAAAATACGAATGGTGAGGATTTTACTTTGTAATTTTGTGTTGTCTTAAGATGAGAGTACTTCACTTGCTGTGTGCCTTTATTTTGAAATCAAGTTGGGCCCCTCTGCTAGCACAGAAGACGCTGCTCAGAAAAAAAAAAAAACAATAGATGGGTAATGGGCATAAAGCTTCATACTACAGAGGTGGTGCTCTGTGGTAACCATGGATACCAACAGATGAGGTGCTCTGTGGTAACCATGGACACCAAGAGATGAGCTGCTCTGTTGTAACCATGGACACCAACAGATGAGCTGCTGCTCTGTTGTAACCATGGACACCAACAGATGAGCTGCTCAGTGGTAACCATGGACACCAACAGATGAGCTGCTCTGTGGTAACCATTGACACCAACAGTAGAATAGGATGTTTGTTTGCTTAGCAACAGTCTGGTTTCAGTTAAACTGCTGGACTAGTTAAATTGGAGTTAAAACATAATCTGCAGTTGATTTTTACTTGTTTTTTTCGATTTCCTTTTCATGTGAATATTGTATTAAAGTCATATCACACTGGAGGAGGAGATGTTGTTCTGTTGTGATTATCTTTAGACCCAATCACAGCAGTCATTGCATACACACAGGTGTGTACATCGCACAGGTGTGCACATACACACAGGTGTGCACATACACACAGGTGTGCACATACACACAGGTGTGCTTTGTGTCTGTGTGAAGATAAACCAGTTGAGTAGTTGATGACATGAACAGGGCTGCATAATTTTCCAGTCACTCAAAGCAGATATTGTAGCAGCATGAACTCATGATATGTTGTTGTGTGTCTGACGTACAGGAGACATCTGTCGGGTATGCCGGTCAGAGGGTACCCAGGACAAGCCCCTCTACCACCCCTGTGTCTGCACCGGCAGCATCAAGTTTATCCATCAGGAATGGTAGGTTCAATGAGTCATGGTAAAAAGGGAATTCTCTTATTTATAGTTTTCATCTACCTTGGTAATATGTGTCTGAATTTCCAATCTGTTTGAGTCGTTGAATTTGTTTGAAAATTAGCTTTTAATTCAAACAGAGGGAAATTATTCTGAGAAGAAATATTTCAATCCAGTCAACTCTGACTAAGAGATAATCTGACAGGAATGTACGTCCTGATTAATGTTTATTATCATTATTCTATTATGACCCTAGCCCTCAGTCCTCTTTGACTTGGGAAGGAGTTGCTCATGTGCATGGATGACTGACTCATTTGGGTGGATTCTTCTAATAAACAAAGTGAACTTATGAGGTTTTCTCTGCTTGTTTCACAGCTTACTGCAGTGGCTGAAACACAGCCGCAAAGAATACTGTGAACTCTGCAAACACAGGTTTGCATTTACACCAAGTAAGTCCTTTTATTTTTTCAATAGATTGGATCAGTACTCTAAAGATGGCTGATGTGTCCTGTTTACACCTGGTGCATCCTGGGTGATGACATCACATGGGAACAGCTCTATGTGAGACTGCACCTGAGTCCTCTCTGACCACTGCAGGTGGGATACATGCGGTTATAATTTAAATCTTAAAAACAGGAGTGTGAAGCAGGTTGCAGCAGAGAGAGCATCACAATATATCTCAGGGATGTTTGTACCTGTTTGAAAGCTGTCCACTGATGATATGATCACCTAGGATGCACGTTAACTTCAGTGGTAACCAATAGGGATGCACAATCCCATCCTGGTATCAGATCTCGGTCCGCTCCTGACCCAAATAGCTACATCCAGTAACGGTGACAACAGGCCCATGCATGGAGCTGATGCTCCACGCTGATCTATACAATCTAAAGTATTATGTTAGGCAGAGGCAACTTAGCACAGAGGATGCTAACAACAAAGGCTAAACAGTTAGGATGTATTTCACGCTCATTATGTCACAGACCGTGGTCAGATTGTGGTCTATTTATGGTAGAGGCTGCTGAGTAAAGAGTCTATCAGTATTAACTCATCCATTCATACACATTCACACACTGATGGTAGAGGCTGCTGTGTAAAGAGTCCATCAGTATTAACTCATCCATTCAGACACATTCACACACTGATGGTAGAGGCTGCTGTGTAAAGAGTCCATCAGTATTAACTCATCCATTCATACACATTCACACACTGATGGTAGAGGCTGCTGAGTAAAGAGTCCATCTGTATTAACTCATCCATTCATATACACATTCACACACTGATGGTAGAGGCTGCTGAGTAAAGAGTCCATCAGTATTAACTCATCCATTCATACACATTCACACACTGATGGTAGAGGCTGCTGTGTAAAGAGTCCATCAGTATTAACGCATCCATTCATGTGTGTTTGTTAATAAATTATTTACTGATGATAATGACTTCTTTCTCTTGCTCTCGCTCTCGCTCTCTCTCCCTCTCTATCCCTATCTCTCTACCTCTCTCTCTCCTTCTCTCTCTCTCTCACTGTCCCTCTCTCCACTCTTCTCTCTGTTCTCTCTGCAGTCTACTCTCCAGACATGCCGTCCCGCCTGCCTGTCCAGGATATTTTTGCAGGCTTGGTCACCAGTATTGGAACTGCAATCAGATACTGGTTTCACTACACGCTGGTGGCCTTTGCCTGGCTTGGCGTGGTGCCTCTCACTGCATGTAGGTCACATCATGCCTGTGTTGACAAGCAGACAAACAAAACTGAATTTGATCAACAGTTGTCTTTGAGTTCAGAAAGCAGTCCTGTACTCTAAAGAAGGACTGAGGAGCAGAGGTGGAAACGAGCCTTGGACTCTCCTGATCCATTAAACAGCATCAAAACATTCAGGCAGTCAGGAACACACACGAGCTGAGCGGCTACATGTACACATTCAAACCATTAAAACCAGTTCAGATCTCATCCGTCATGGGCCCTTTTTCAAACCAACCCCTACACACTCCCCCACTCCGTTAGAAGTGACACTCTCAGCTGAATGAAGTCTCCTTCATCAAGGTGTAGGGTAGAAATACAGTGGCAGGCTTTGGGAAAAACTTCCCTCTCTCAGGTGGAAACAGGAACTGTGTGTTACCATGGTTACTCAGCGGTATCTTGCGGGAACGGCTTTTTTTTTTGGTAGCTAATGTATTCTGAAAAAATATTTATGTAGCTTACACTATTCTTCTTCTTTAGTTATATTAGTGTAGACTTATAACAAAACTATTAGAATGAGCCTACATTGTTTATTGTAATTTATAATTTCAGTTAATTTATTTAAATTTTTAGATTAGGGTGTCCTAAATTAATGCAAAGACAAGGATATTATTGTTGAACATCAGAGCAGCAAAAAGTGTATTTTTTTTGTTGTTGATTTAAGATTTCACAAAGACATCAAAAGTAGAAAAATTAAGAATAAATATTAACAGTTGTATAAAAAGTTGTCTGCAACATGAGTTAATATTCTTTTGTTTTTGCAACAGTCCCTGTAAATATAAAACACTTTACAATAAATAAACATAAATTTGATCCCCAAAACACATGTGAAGTTGTTAACATCTGTATGAGGATATTAAATGTCTATCTTAGTTGGAGCAGTGTTTGAACATACAGGTTGCTTCATCCATGACGACCGGACACAATAGGCGTTGCACGTGATCCTAAAGTCGTCATCGGTGCACACTCGCTGGTGGAGGGTTTTATAACCCACTACCACTCCCCGCTAGTTGGTTTGGGACGGACTTAATATGGCGGTCCCTCCGCGAGGACGCGCAAACGGAGGGGTAGTGGGTAGGGAGAGGGTGTAGTGGCCGGTTTGAAAAAGGGCCATGGTGTCAGATGTTTAGTGTCCAGACGCTATAGCGCCCCCCTGAGCTCAGAGGCTCAAACTGACAGAGGAGAGGATGAGACTTACCTGCTCGGATCCTCCTCGCTCTCCTTCTTGCTCTCTTCCTTGTCCTATCAGTGAAAAGTTCAGATGGAGGTTTTTGTGGTAGAGTTCAGGTGAGCGTAGCAGACAGGAGGTGGGAGAGTTAGAGTCTGCTTTATTTTAAACTCAGGCAGCATCGCACACATCAGGGGAAGCCTAACAGATCTTCTCTGTAATCTCAGCATGCTCACACTATGAGATATGAGAAGTCACGACACATCACAGACTACAGGACTAGATTATTGTGCTACATGGAGGACCGCACCACCTCACATGACCTCATGTAAACGATGGAGCTGGAGGTTAAATAAGCGGTTAAAATGCTCTCAGCAGAGAGAACAGAACATAAAAACAAAAACGAGTTTGGATGAAGAAATGTCTGGGGAGACGCGGACAACATGGAGTGGGTATTCTTCAGTGAGAGCTACAGGTCAGATTGTAAATGTCAGATGATTTCAGTTGTCCAGCTCACCTGTGCGCTTTGCGTCCTGCCTCCCTCATCTCTCTGGGTCATTGTGGTCACACACGACTTGCACCAAACCCTTTCATGAGAAAATCATCAGCATTTTAATTCCTAAATATCAAACATGTTTGTCATAAATCACGGCGTCTCTGATGATCTCAGAGCAGATCCAATCCAAAGATCCAATCCAAAGATTGGATCTTTATACAACTCGCACTACAAAATAATCTGGGACGATAGTCGGTTCAGAGCATCCTGGAGTCGGGAACGACCCTGTAGTTGTGGGAAAGAATCAAAGCGGCCCGATTGTCCTGCAGTCTGAGCCAGACTTTAGACACATCAAGTGAAACTGTCTCAGTTTAGATAAATATGAATGTTTAACATAAGTTGTCTTCCTCTGGGCTCACTGTCTGAAAGAAATGTCTACAGCCGGTTAGCATGAGAAATGAAGAAGTGCTAGAACATGTCCAGTTACTGTTTAAGGAGTTCAGGCTTTGTGTGGGCTCAGGTTCTGCTGTGAAGATGTGATGGACCTTGTCATTCTTTTAAGTTTCACACAGTTTGATGTTTAATGATGAATTCTGAAGTCTTGTCTCGGTGCTTTTCTAACAGGTCGCATCTACAAGTGTTTGTTTACCGGCTCTGTGAGCTCTCTCCTCACCCTGCCTCTGGACATGCTGTCCACGTGAGTCTTGACTCCCTCTCTCTCGTAATGTTGCTCTACACGTCGTGTTAAAAATGAACCATGACATCACAATGTTGCTTCTCTTCCTGGCAGACAAAACCTGCTGGCAGACTGCCTCCAGGGCTGTTTTGTGGTCACATGCACGCTGTGCGCTTTCATCAGCCTGGTGTGGCTGCGAGAGCAGATCGTTCATGGTGGTGCCCCTCTCTGGCTGGATCAGCATCAACCCCCTCTGGTTCCTAACCCCCCTCATGGTCCTGCTCCGGCTAATGAGGTGAGTTCTCTGCAGAACGCATGCTAAGATGTCTCCTCCTTTCCTTCACTTCCTGCACAAATAGTGTCTTAGTGAACTGTCTTGATGTCTCATTGGATGGATCAAACAGCTGATTGATCATTTATCTGATTCACTATCTAGAAGATGTATGTTAATGATCAGCTCCTTGTGATCCCTGAAGGGTTTTATTTATATTTACATTTAGTCTAACTCAAACTAGACTTCATGTCATATGACGTTTGATTCCTACATTTAGAGGAGAATCATGTCTCACACGGCCATGAGTACAGGTAAAGGAGTGTCTGAGGTGACGTCAGTAAGCCTGTACCATATCAGAGCGGGGCCTGCTTAGCTAGTCTGTGTGTGATCAGGTCCCAGGTGCTAACGTTGGTGGTAATGTGCAGGCGGCTGCAGATGAAGCAGCAGCAGCGGGGCCCCCTGCTCCAGGCGGGCCAGAGCCCGCAGACCCAAACGAAGCTGGTAACCACGGAGATGAGGCCGAACTGGATGACGAGGAAGAAGATGAGGACGGGGAGGAAGACGAGGAGGAGGAGGATGAGGAAGGCAGGGAGGAGGATGCTGCTGATGCCAATAACGGAGGACAAGGTGAGCTCTTGTGTGAACTGGTGAATTGTTAGATCTCAAACCAAGCGAGCCAGCACAGGCGGAGGTGGCGTCTCTTCACTGAACACGGTTTGCGTTTCTCTCTGTGGTTCTTTGCAGAAGATCTGAACTGGAACGCCCTGGAGTGGGACCGTGCAGCAGAGGAGCTGACCTGGGAACGGGTGAGGATCTATTTATTTATCCCACCTTGTTCTATGAAAATCTGTGATGTGACTGAGACATGAGTGAAACAGGGTAACAGGATGTAGGCTTAAGACAGTCCATCCTGATCCTGGCTTCATGCCTCAGCTGCTCTCTGCTGGGCTTTAGGGCTTCCTGTGAGTAGTATTTTCAAGTGATAAAGGATGCTGATGACGTGTCCTTCTCTTTGTTCTCATAGATGCTGGGGCTGGATGGCTCTTTGGTTTTCTTGGTAAGTTTACATACCATACTGTCTTTATACCCAGCAGCCCTTTTCAGACGCACAAGTGCCGTATCTGAGCTCAGCCGTCACCACGTCTTTGTACGTTCATATTGATTCCATGACGGTAGATAGACAGACAGATAGATACTTTATTAATCCTGAGGAAAAATTCCAAGCATCCAGTAGCAGGTTACAAAGACGTACATGACATGAAACATTTGTTACAAATTAACCACAAAACCGACGCGCCCTCCCATACATATATATTAACCCGAAAAAAATATTTAAAGAATACCCCTAGATGAATCAAACTTAAACTGTGCAATTAAAAATAGACTTATACAAGAAATGTACATAACCCGTGCAGGGATAAAAATATATGTGACATTTAAAAAAGAACCTATAAACAGTTGTAATTAGACCTGAATATAAAAAATAAAAAAGTGTTGACCTTCTGAAAGCCGGTCTGTGTGGTCACGTTGTGTTCCGGCGCTGAGCTCCACGCTGGCTCTTCGGATCCTGTCTCTCCTCTGTAACGCCTCTGAAGACGAACAAAGGGGGTTCACTTCATCCCCCTTAATGCCTCCACAGCATTCAGACTGAAGGTGAAACGTCACAGGGGCGTAAATATCGCGGCTTGAAACAGCGGTCTGAACAGTTTTGTCCTTCCAGTTTAAATTCTAAACTATTGAAGCTTACGTTAAATATGACCCGATGGATGACGTGTTTTCACTTGCCGTGTATCTCACGAGATAAGAGATCTGGTGAAACTAGAAACGCGGTTTCCTAAATCGATGTTTTACATCCTTTTGAGGAAGGGTCATTCTTCAGGTTCTGTAAAATATCATTGTTTAACTCCACAGTCCTGTCGTAAATGAAATATCGCTGCATGAACATCTTGGTTTCTTTACGAGTAGAAAACGATGAGTGTTGTTGTCTTTTTTAGGAGCACGTGTTCTGGGTGGTGTCTCTCAACACTCTCTTCATCCTGGTCTTTGGTGAGTAAGAACGCGTCGACAATGACCTAATGTTCCCTCTTAATGAACTGATGTAAACCTGCTTTATCCGTGTCTCTCGACCAGCGTTCTGTCCGTATCACATCGGCCATTTCTCCGTGGTTGGACTGGGCTTTGAGGACTACGTAAGTGGACAAGTTCTGGTCTCTTTTCCTGCTTGGTTGTGAAGTGGTTGGTTTCTTTTTTTGCTCATGATGATGTCGTGTGTCTGCAGGTCAAAGCTTCTCACTTTGATGGCCTCATCACCACCATCCTCGGATACATCCTTCTGGCTGGAGCTCTCATCGTCTGCCATGTATCCTCAACACAAAGCCCACTTAGTGCGTCAAGGCTGTGAGGCTGAGCAGGCTGTTACTCTGACCCCTAGTGTTTAAAACGGGTACTGGAGTCCAAACATTGTAGAGAGCTGTCTCCCCCCCTCCTCTCTAGAGTCCATGCTCACTCAGGTCACCATGTGGTGGACTCTGAAGCTTCAGTGTTTATCCAGCTCTGCATGGGTCTGTAAACCTTTCTGTGTTCTAACCTCTCTCCATTTTTCAAAAGCATCTCCAATATTGGTCCTAGTTTGAGCACGTTTCTGCTCGTGGAGCTTATTAGAAACATGCAGAGGCTTTTTAGGTCGGGTACAATCACTTCTATCTGAACCACTTCTCTTGACCACTTCCATCACTGCAACACCTGTTGGTTTGACCTGATAACTGCTCTCATATCTGACAAACCGAGGGGCGTCCAAAACGGCCGTGTGGGGGTGCCTTAAAACTGCCTACCTTCTCTGGTCCAAACAAATCCAGAGCATTCAGGAGCAGAATCTAAAGTTAGAAGGAGGACATACTGGCTGCTGCATTGTTGTCAGAGAAGCCAGCACTTCAACATAGCATGTTTCTTTAATGTCTGATCATATAGTAAGATCACTTTATCATTTACCTCTCTATACATCTCACTGATTTGTCCTTTAAAGTACAGACTGATTGTTGTTTGTGTCACATTCGGTGTTGGACCTTAACCGTGTTTCCTTCAGGCATTGGCTTCATTAGTGAGGTTCCAGCGGTCCAGACGTCTTCTGGGTGTCTGCTACATCGTCGTCAAGGTGACTCAAAGATGAAAGATTTCAATGTGCCTGTATCGAACAAGCAAAGCTCTTATTTCCAGGAGTCATTTGGTAAATTAAGGTTATGGAAACAGAAAGTAAATGAGGTTTTGTTGCAGGTGTCCCTGCTGGTTGTCATGGAGATCGGCCTGTTCCCTCTGATTTGCGGCTGGTGGCTGGACATTTGTTCCTTGGTAAGACATGCAGAGTAGACTGAATGGATGGTGTGTGTCCAGTCAGCAGCGGGCCTTAATGATGTGTCAGGTGGATTTATATCCCCATGTCGTCATGGTAACAGAAAAGCCCCCACACCATGATGCATGTGTTTGTTCATTGCAGGAGATGTTTGATGCCACTCTGAAGGACAGAGAGCAGAGTTTTGACTCAGCCCCCGGGACCACCATGTTCCTCCACTGGCTGGTGGGCATGGTCTACGTCTTCTACTTTGCCTCCTTCATCCTGCTGCTCAGAGAGGTGAGTGAAGGACAGACACCACCACGCGTTGTGACCCGTTTTCAAAATATCCAACCATCATAGCTTTTAGAATCTTTGTTTTAAAGTTTTAGTTTTGGATAGTTGATAGAGTCTGAAATCTGGGAGAGAGAGAGAGAGAGAGTGGGGAATGAGAGAGGCAGGAAGAGAGCCACAGGTGGGACTTGAACCCGGCTGACCACTTAGAGGATAATAACCTCCGTACATGGGGTGCAACCTAACCGCTAGGCCATCTGTGCCCTGACTTTTAGAATCTTAACCTTTTGCATGATTGTCTGTTTGCAGGTACTGAGGCCTGGTGTCTTGTGGTTCCTGAGGAACCTTAATGATCCGGACTTCAACCCGGTCCAAGAGATGATCCACCTGCCCATCTACAGACACCTGCGGAGGTTCATACTCTCTGTGGTCAGTCTTAAGTCCTTTCCAAACACAACGTGCCCACATTCCTCCTGCTTCTTACATAGAAACATTCTGCTGAGCTAACACATTACCTTCATTACATGTGATGAGTTACATCCTTCCATAAGGGCTGTTTTAATGAGAGTTCACCTGAGAGGTACAGAGGTTTGAGTCATTGACTGAGGAGACAGCTGAGAATCCTCTAGAGGATCCTGTCCAGGAGTGTTGATTCATGATGGTTGAAAAAAGGAAGCTTGACTCCTAAATTCCACCAGATGCGTGTCAGGTCCGTCTCCACTGATATGTTTTCACTTTATTCAATGTGTGTGCTTCCACTGGCTCCGCTGCACTGCGCCTGAGCTCCGTCAGTCCACTTCCCTCCGTAGCAGATACTCAAGTTTCTATTTTTGCTGGATGCCGGAGCACAGCGCATCAATTTGCCACAGAAAAGATCGAGCAGGACAGGAAGTGAAACATTTAAACAACGTGAAAACATCCGGTTCATATTCAGAATGAAAGACTCCGTTTTACCGGTTCAGAGAAATGACCTTTAAAACCTTGCAGTTCCTTGAGTGTCCACCAGAGGCTGGCTGTAGAAGCACAGGAAGTCACATACACACCCATTTTAAAAAAACTTTTTTTTACAGCAGAGATTAACATGTTTACACCCTGGTTTAAAAAAAAAAAATAGGTCTGGTCAGGGCATGAGAGTGTGTTTAAAATAATGCTCTGGTGACTGATTGGTTACAGACAATCATCCACATGTGTATTTAAAATGGTCTTTCTTTTGTGTGTGTGTGTGTGTGTGTGTGTGTGTGTGTGTGTGTGTGTGTGTGTGTGTGTGTGTGTGTGTGTGTGTGTGTGTGTGTGTGTGTGTGTGTGTGTGTGTGTGTGTGTGTGTGTGTGTGTGTGTGTGTGTGTGTGTGTGTGTGTGTGTGTGTGTGTGTGTGTGTGTGTGTGTGTGTGTGTGTGTGTGTGTGTGTGTGTGTGTGTGTGTGTGTGTGGTTGTGTGTGTGTGTGTGTGTGTGTGTGTGTGTGTGTGTGTGTGTGTGTGTGTGTGTGTGTGTGTGTGTGTGTGTGTGTGTGTGTGTGTGTGTGTGTGTGTGTGTTCAGGTGGTGTTTGGCTCCATAGTTCTGCTGATGCTTTGGCTTCCCATCAGAATAATCAAGCTGTTCTTCCCATCCTTCCTCCCCTACAACGTCATGCTGTACAGGTACAAACCACCACACCACATGACTCTGTTTCTCCCTCAGATGAAAACAAGCTGCTGTGACGTAGATGTTTTATAAAGTGTCTCTGATCTCTCTCTCTCTCTCTCTCTCTCTCTCTGCAGTGACGCCCCAGTCAGTGAGCTCTCTCTGGAGCTGCTGCTGCTGCAGGTCGTTCTGCCCGCACTGCTGGAGCAGGGACACACGCGCCAGTGGCTCAAACGGCTCGTTCACGCCTGGACCTTCACGGCTGGATACATGCTGTAGGTTAAACACACACGCAGAACCACATGCACACACACGCACACATTGCAGCATTAGATATAATTGATACATTTCAATTAGTGTAAAACATCCGGTGCTTTGGATTTTCCTGTTCAGGGGGACGAGGAGGGCGGAGAGACGGAGAGAGAGAGGAGGAGAGAGTAGAGAGTACTGCTCCATGATGGGTGGTGGAGGTCCAGAGTTGTTTGGGGGGGGGGGGTGGGGTAGTTGGCAGGAGACTGGGGGGTGGCTGCGGTCGCACTCAATGCTGGACGCTCAGTTTTAACATCATCATACACTCATCACAGAACCGTCACACAGAGAGACTTTAAACTTAATTTCAGACACACATTTATAAAAGTTCATCAGTGTCGATGTCCACATGGCGACCTGTGACCGTGTCAGTGACCCATGGCTCCTCCACAGTGACCTTCACTCCTACCTGCTGGGGGATCATGACGACGATGACAACCAGCCAAACAACAACCTACCTGGTCGCCTTAACAACAACAGGATACCTGGCCTTGGGGAGGGCCTTCATGCTGCCCATCAGGCCATCCTGCAGCAGGGAGGTCCGGTGGGTTTCAGGTCGTACCACCGGCCCGCCAACTTCCCTCTCAAGGTGAGTCTCAGTGCTCTGCTGACTCATGTCAGGATTTCTTTTTGTCACTGTAGAAGTTGCTGCTGCTCCGAGGTCTCCTCCACATCTGACGCTCTCTTTGTGTGTCTTTGTTGTGAGTCCAGATTGTCCTGCTGGTCGTCTTCATGTGTGTCACCTTGTTAATGGCCAGTTTGATCTGCCTCACGCTGCCAGGTGAGTTATTTTTAACCTCTCCTGTTCTCAGTAGTTCTTTACACCTGTGATGACCGTCCTCTTCCTGCATGTCAGTGTGTGCAGGTCGCTGGCTCATGTCTTTCTGGATGGGCAACGCCATGATCCACGAGCTGTACACCGCCGCCAGCGGCCTGTACGTCTGCTGGCTGTCCATTCGAGCCGCCACCGTGATGCTGTCGTGGATGCCACAGGGGCGCAACGTCATCATGGTCAAAGTTCACGAGTGGACACTGATGGTAATGTAGATGTTTTTATGTGGAAGATGTGGAAGATGTGGTTTGTGGTCTCTGACGTGCTGTGTGTGTTTGTGAACAGATCCTTAAGACCCTGGTGGTGGCTGTCATGTTAGCCGGTGTGATCCCGCTGCTGCTGGGTTTGTTGTTTGAGCTGGTCATCGTAGCTCCGCTCAGAGTCCCACTGGACCAGACGCCGCTCTTCTACCCCTGGCAGGTAGGAGTGTGTGTGTGTGTGTGTGTGTCTGTATGTCAAAAGAGGAGAAGAGAGATATTTCGACCTTTTCAATGTGAAGACAAACATGTTCATGTTGTGTTTGTTGACATGTTTGTTTCTGTGTTTGTGGCAGGACTGGGCGTTGGGCGTGCTTCATGCTAAAATCATCGCTGCCATCACACTCATGGGTCCTCAGTGGTGGCTCAAAACGGTCATCGAGCAGGTCAGCTCCTCTTCCAAACAAACACATGAATGTGATGTTTGAGTATGTGTAAGGAGAAGAATACTCTAAGAACCAATCCCTCTCTCCCTCTCTCTCGTCCCTTCAGGTGTATGCTAACGGTATCCGTAACATTGACCTCCACTTCATCGTGCGCGGCCTGGCTGCTCCGGTCATCTGCGTCCTGCTGCTGTCTCTGAGTGTCCCTTACACCATCTCTAGAGGCATCACACCGCTGCTGGGTGAGTGTCCTCTAACATCAACCAGTAGAGCTGCTTTCTTTCTGAGAATTGAAGCTCTGCTCGTGCGTCTTGTATCCATGACAACAGTCCCTTAAAAAACGGTGTCTGTCTGTCTGTCTGTGTCTCTCTGTGTGCTGCTCCAGTGATTATTCTGACCCCCCCCCCCTTGACAGGTGTGCAGCCGGAGATGCAGACGCTGGTGGACAGGAGGATCTATCCGTTCCTGCTGATGGTGGTCACCCTGCTGGCCATCCTGACCTTCCAGATCAGACAGTTCAAACGCCTCTACGAGCACATCAAGAACGACAAGTCGGTAGACCCAAAAAAACCTGAGTTAGAAACTCAAATACCAGGATGTACAGAGCTCTGTGTTTCATGTATGTAAAGTAGACCCGGCAGCACTCCAAAACTCCAGCAGGTCTCTTGTTACAGTTCTCGAGTCACTCCCCCTCGTTTTAAAGTCATGAAACAGGGTGAAGGATCCAAGGTGTCGTGGAGACTTTAGTTAGACGAAGCTCAGACTGAGGAGATGACCTCTGCTCTCACTAAAAACCTCAAGTCAAAGAAGGACCCCCTTACATGTCCTGGCAGTTCAAGGGGGCACGCCTCTGTGACGCCTCACCTTCATGGTGAAGGCGTAATGGGGGACCACGGTGTCCCACAGCTGGGCCAGTATCTGAGGTAGTCACAGAGACAGGGGAGAGACGGCAGGGTGGAACCGTGGTGCTGAGTGGTCTTTGTTTATGAGGAGGGGGCTCTGGTCATAACGTGCTGCAGGCGCTGTCTGCTCCGTGGCGAGGATGGTTGTCTCTGTCGCTGATAGTCACGGCGTCGTCGTTAAGGAAAATAATAAAATAAAGATTATAACCTTACAGGACAGACATTATAGAAGGCGGCCCAGCTTTGGCCCGGGGGCCGCCAGTTTCAGACCCCTGCTGTTTTTCTAAACGCTGGTCAGAGAAAGTCGTTACACATGAAGAATCCAGGTTAATGTCTCATCTCTCCTGCAGAGGTGTGTTCCACCACATTTCCTGAATGACTCTTTCATAATAAAAGAATTTCAACAGCTTGAAAAGTGGGGACTTCTATTGTGAAAGATTTGGAGGAAATGTGTTAATCATTTAAACTCTTCACAGCCACCGTACGCTTCTTTGAATCCTCCTGGACTGAATACACACTGGCTGCTTTGTGGACAACAGGCCCTGATGTGTTTTAATCATTGATCAACACTTCTGTTTCTCCTGCAGGTATCTGGTCGGGCAGCGACTGGTGAACTACGAGCGGCAGGCGGGCAGGAGCTCCTCCTCGTTCAGCCCCTCCTCGTAGACGCTGCTGAAGGATCAGTGGAGCCCACTCGCTCTGTCCAGCTCTCAGGGCTTTGATCCGCTCCTGTGGGGAAACCTGCAGGATCCAAACTGGACTGAAGGTGGAGTCCTCTGATTTATCTGCTGCTGTCATGAATGGGAGACAAAGACTTTAAAAACATGTTAAAGCAGCAGCAGAGAGCGTCACAGTGTGACTCTGCGTGTTGGGATGACGTCTGTAGTGAGACTTTATTTTAGAACGGATTTGAGTTGAAAGAGGTCGGCTTGAGTTTAGACTCGACCTCAGGTTGTGCTTCCTCTGAATGTTTGTTTGTCTTGGTTTCAGCGAGTCTCTGTTTACGGGACGTGTCTGACATTTCACAGCTCTGAAGGAGATCTTTGGACTGAAGTGTGAACGCCTCTCTTCTTATCTGAAGCTGTCATCAACAACAGGTGCTCTGTGATACGGAGGGGCACACCTGATGTAGCAATGTGATTTTATTCTTTTTAAACATTATTTTATTAAGTGTGTCTGTTGATTTTGAGTGATTGGAATAAGGAGGAGCTGTGAGATAGAACTACTCACAGCATGCCTGTTACACACTCTGACTGATTTTAAAAACCTTATTGAAGTGCTGCTAACAGCTGATGATAGAAACATCCAAACACTGATTCTCTGTTGGAAGAAAGCAACTGACCTTCATCACATTCATCTCAGAACAAACCACATCATCTCTGAAGGACCTGCAGGGATGAAGGATATTATCATACTGAAGATTAAATCAGCAGAGGGCGAGACATCCCGACTATTACCACACCGATGCTTTCCTACATTTCAAATTCACGTCTAAAGAACGAGGCCTTCATGCGGCGCTCAGCGATGATGAAAGTAATCTGACATTGTGAGAGGTGTGTCTTCTCCGACGAAGCTACCCCCACAGCCTTTATTTTAATCATAAGTTTTATTTTGAAAATCAACTTCCTTTAACTTGCATGTGCACTGACTTTACACTCGCCTGGCGTGCGTGCGTGCGTGCGTGCGTGCGTGCATGCGTGCGTCAGTCGGTTGAAGCCTCTGTTACATTGTGAGGATGTATTATTTTCATAAAGCACGCCTGATGTCATCGGATCACCTGATACCCGCCTCTCTGAACGATGTGTTCATGTGTTACGAAAGCGTATAGATGGTTTTTCATGTGCCAAACACAGAAAGTCTACTGCGAGAGAGAGAGGAGCAGCGATTGGTCAGGGCCGATTCCGATGTTTAGAACAAAAGTCTTACCCAATTCATGAATTCTTTTGGTCACTCCCACAATGCGACATTTTCTCATCGTGTGGTCAAACATGTCTGTTGTTTCTTGGAGTCAGTCTGATGCTCCCTGTGTGAAGATTTCAAGTCAGTGTGTTGTTGTTGTCGTCCCGTGTGTTCACAGCATTGTTCTGCTCGACCGGCGCCCTGACAAACCTTTACACCCGTCACGTTTCTAAAGCACCTTTTAGAACTTGAAGTCAAATCTTTCTTTAATCAAGTAGAATCAAGTTTTTTTCTAATACATCGTTTGAATGTTTCATTTTTTTTTTTTTCACCGTTTGCAATCGTTTTAGAATCACGAACACTGTCGTCACAGAGAGTATGTGTTTGAGTTCTCCTCTCACTGAGGCGCCGGCGTGTCACGGCGCTCGCTCTGAGAGGCGCCGGCGCGTCACGGCGCTCGCTCTGAGAGACGTCGGCGCGTCACGGAGCTCGCTCTGTCAGCTGTGCATCATCTGTTCCTCACACTGACACGTGTTGTCTGTTTGTTCGATGTTTTTCTGTTACAATGTGTGTGTGCGTGCGTGCGTGCGTGCGTGGTTAACATGAACTTGAGTGCTGCTGTGTGTGGATGCTCACATTATTTGGATGAAGCGCTAAAGTGACCTTTTAGTGAGCCATGAACTGAGCCGGACACTTTCCAGTTATGGTCTTCGATTTCAATTTGTAGAAGCGAATGATTTCTATTTTTATAAGCGCAGGACAGAGGCGTTGGCATGTACTTCTTCATTGTTCTGGTTCTTTAGTATGAAACCATAATAAACCATTTTCATCAGACTCCACTGTTTTCTTTTCTCCTCGCTCACTGATGATGCTGTGGTGACATCATCTCAGAGAGCTCCAGATGACTAACACTACGAGAACCTACAAAATAAAATCCTGCTTCAGAAACCTGTGGTGTTGTATTTCAGCCTCTTCAATCTTTGCTGTTTGCTCTTCTGAAATACAAGATCATTCTCTGAAAAAGATTCAAATGGAAGAATCCAGGAAGGCAACTTGAAGCATGCATCCAAAGATGAGTGCCGTAATGTGTCTGCTGCTGTTAGCACACATGACTCATTTGGAGAGCCTGCCCATGAACTCTTCTTGAGTTGTCCTTTCATAAGGGTCGCTCACAGAGAGTAAGGGTGAGTCACTGAGAGTAAGGGTCACTCACAGAGTCACAGTAAGGGTCGCTCACAGGGAGTCACAGAGAGTAAGGGTCGCTCACGGAGTCACAGAGAGTAAGGGTCGCTCACAGGGAGTCAGAGAGTAAGGGTCGCTCACGGAGTCACAGAGAGTAAGGGTCGCTCACAGAGTCACAGAGGGTAAGGGTCGCTCACAGGGAGTCACAGAGAGTAAGGGTCGCTCTCTTATACCGATTGGCAACAGTCAGGTTTACTGTGGGATTTAAAAAATGGTGGTTGTTGGTACAGGATTGGCTCTTGTGTTTGACCAATCACGTGCACTCAGAGTCCCTCTTGTGCTGGGAGAGTACCTCCTCTTAAGCAGGAGTTAAAAAGGTTCCTCTAATTGCGGTAAAATAGTTCCTAGTTCATAATCAATTAAAAAAAAAGGGGGGGAGGGTCCAACAGTTCCTAGAACTATTAAGAAGTTCCTGCGGTCTTTAAACGCCTCATAGACATCCTCACTCTGCCACTTGCTCTTAGTGAGTTTCATTCAACCTGAATAATTCATGCTGCTTACTCATCGGCTCAGCCCGACTTCAACTGGACATTTTACCAGGGTGCTGGCAAAAAAATATATATAATTATCTTGAGATCTGATAAATTTATGTATTTATCTGAGAATTTGATTAAATGTGACTAAAGTGGCCAAGAATCCGTCTTCTAACCATTCATTCAGTATGAAGTTGAGTCCAGTTCTGGGATCAGGACCACACAGCCCCAGGAGACAGGAAGTGGGTCTCAATCCAATTAAAGCTAAGTCTCAACAGTTCTAAAAGCCATCGTGGACACCACCAGGAGTATATGCAGCTGTGACATCAGAACATCATTGTTCTAACCTGCGCTTCCTCTCCTCCATCACAACAGGATCAACGTTTCCTTAACGGCAGTCAAAGCGTGGCCTCCTTAAGGAGCTCTGAAGAGATTAGTGCTGTCATAAGGCGTTTAATGTCTTTTCCTCTCTATTGTTAAACCACAGATCAGGCGAGCACTACGCTGTGTTTTCACTGAGACAGATGATACCTGCACAGAAACTCTGTTTCAAAGAGAGAGTCCTCACAGTTCCCTGTAATCATCAGTGATTGGTTGTCAGAAATGTGTCATCACCTTTAGCCACACCCCTTCACACGTGTTTCTGTGTCCTGTGACAACTCTCATCTGCTCAAAGTCACTCAAAACACTTGGATTTATTTGGTTCAGGTCTTTCAGTTCATCACGCTGTCAGACTCATGTACAACCCTGTTTACAAAACAAAGTTAGGATGTCGTGTAAAATGTCATCAATGACACATTTTATTCAAAATGGTACGAACACATCAAATGTTTCAACTGGGGAATGAAATTGTTTTAGGACAATGACCCCAAACATGTTTAGAAAAAAGTGAGCAGGAAGCATGCTGCAAAACTGGCGCTGACGGAACGCAGCCCGCTCTGAGAAAGAGGAACTTGGCGGTGAGTCTATCTGAAGTAAAGATTGGGGGCGGTTCACTGCTCTCCAACTGCTCTGGTTCAAAACTTAGAATAATCTTTCTGAATGTAAAGAATCTGGGGATTTAATGATCTACAGTAGAATCTTTAGATTAACACATTTTTTTTTTCCAAAATAAGAAACAAAGTATTCCAGTTGTTTGAAAACAAACAAAGTATTCCAAAGTGTTGTTTGAAAACAACATTTAAACTGGCCCCGCCTCCTCCTGGATCACCCCCAGAAGCCACGCCCACTGCATGACGTAGTGTGTACATTCATTGCAAGCTAACGCACGCTAGCACAAGCTAACCGCCGGTGTTTGTCACCTGCCTGTCCAACAGGAAGCAGACCAAATCCACGTCCACGGGTAAAAGCCAACACAAGGTTCACCCTCATTTTAGAATGAGCTTTATTCGCTTGGTGTTTCTCCTCATTCTGATTATATTTTCTCTTCTTTGCTGCTACTTTTTCTTGAAATGTTACATCTATAAGGAAATGTCTGGCTCCACTATGCTCACCAGTGGGCTGCAAACTTTGCATGTCTTCTGTTTGGTTCTTGATGAATACAATACAGCAGGATTTTAACGTATGATTCTGTGGTATTAAACTTTGAACATAAAGTTATGAGTATTAGTTAAATGACAATTCAATGGCGTTTTAAGTTTGAAATCTGTTAAAGCAGTCCCTGATAATTTATCTAACTCTTCACATGCTTATCAGCTTTCAGTCCATTTTATCCACAGACTGTAAATAAATAGACGTCACCCGTCTGTCCCTGCAGGGGGTGCTGGTGTTCCATCGATGGCGGTCTCCATGCTGGAAATGCTGTCTCAGTCTAACTTTCAGTCAGCCTAACGACAGGCTGAGAGCTGGAGCTGAGGCGGGTTTTAAACCTCCTGACAAACCGTTACACCGCGCCCACCTGTCAATCAGGTCAGCTACACGCCTTATTGTGAATAATTCTTATCCTTCATCAAATCAAAACTGATGAGTCATCAAAACATTCACCCCCCGTACAGTGTGTGTCCATCGCGACATGAGCTAATCACACCTATTTGTTTTTTTGAACCAGACTGTAAACATGTAAATCTCTGCTGTAAAAACAGGCTTTTTAGAATGGGTGTGTATGTGACTTCCTGTCCTTCTGCAGCCAGCCGGATTTTACACTTCAGCTTCGGCTTTATTTTTAAACACCAGAGGCTTCCTCTTTGTTTTCTCCTCATCAGTTTGATACACTTTCTCACTGTCATTTACTAATGATGAGGTTTTCACATCTTGTTAGTTTTTTAAATTGCACTATATAAAAATGACACTTTAGACACTGATCACCCATGGGCTGAAGTTTGTTTTGGTGTGGGGTTGTCACAGCCCTCCCCTTTACCTCACACACAAATTAAGTCACATGGTTAGAAATCCAATTTAAGCTGGCAGTGTGAAGTGTAGGAAAAACCAGGGGGGGTGGAGTCGGCCTGACCAGTTGAACTGATGACATTTAAATAAGAATATTTCTGTCTCAGCAGAGGTAGTTCATGTACATTGGTGTGAACGATGTAATGACTTTTTCAGTCCGTCTCCACATGTAACATGTTAATTTAACACATTCTGTGTAAAACATCTTCAGACAATATGAGAGAAGTTAAGACATTACCTCCTGGCTTGTATCAATCAATTTTACACTTCATTGTGTTCAAACAGAAGCTGTTCAAGCTCTCCTGTCGCTGGGGAGGGGAAAGCCTCAGAACAGCCAGAGCTAGAGAGAGAGCTAGAGAGAGAGAGAGAGAGAGAGAGAGAGAGAGAGAGAGAGCGACTAAAGGGATTAGCATGCGTCAGTTCAAGAGTATGTCTCATCCCATTGCTGCCCATCATCAAAGGAAGCCCATGGTTCTCTACTGGGAAACACGGATTAGTGTCTGAGCGCTGTTACTTATGACTGTCACAGTTTCCTTCTAAGATGACCAGGAGTTCTTCTACTCTCCAGAAAACTTTTAGCTTCTGATCGAGACTGCAGGAACCCAGGAACCCAGGAACTCAAGCTGCTCAGCTCGGTTCTGATGCCATGATTAAACAATGGGATAGACCAGGCTTTGTGAAGAGTCACATGGGAGAGGACTATGGCTTTTAAACGACTCGTAACTCATGGATACTCTTTGGATTGGCAGACTCAGTTTATTTGGATTCAATGAAGGCTCACTGTTTTTCCACCCTTCAGAGTAAATACGTCTGATCATGCATCGGATAAAACCTTTGTGGATGACACTGTCTTGGGAAAGGCTGGAACTTTCTAACCCCTATGGCATCCTAAGAAGATTTATTCCACAATGACTGAGGATAGGAAGCATGTGTAATGATGTCATGTCCCTCTGACCTCTGATCTCACAGTTTCTCTTAGGAAACCTGACTGAGACGAGACAGATAGAAGTCAATCGTACCAACAGGATTCAATCTGGTCTCAGGTAGAATGAGACCAAATATTGCAGCAGGCTGTCGGACATGAGCTCTAGGCTCTTCTAGAGTTGTCCTGGCACAAGAATTGAAAAAGTTTGTTGGGGTAGGGGAGGGTTTAAATGGTGTTAATAACAGAGGAACAATCTGAAGGTTCAAAGGTACGAGAGAATGGAGTGTCCAGAGGCATTGGACCTGGTGAGACAAATAACATGGCTATGGCTAAACCTGTCATGGCCATCACAACGACTGATGAAGACGGCCGTGAGTGGGATGTGCCAGGTGAGGACGACGACGAGTTTGTTGAAGCTGATTACACACGTAACTACTGGGAGGATGAGGACGATATTTACCAGGAGTTCGAGGAGTTGGACTTTGAGTCCCTGCCTGATCACTCAGACACCAGAAGCATCGTCTCAGATGATTCTTTCTATCCCCCGGACAACTCAGATGTTCACCGCCTGTACCGTCCACCAAGCCCCGACAGCCCTGAGCCCATTTCCTTCTTTAAGGCGTGTTGCAACAACAATGCTATCATCGTCAAGATCATGATCAGACAAGGAGTGTCCGAGGAGGAAGTGAGAGAGACGGATAGGAACAGACGAGTAGGTGTCCGGGTTCTATGCATTTACCTCAAATGTTTGACTTTCAGGCACTTCTTGATTTGTTTTCATCGCTTACCTGAAACTGGCAAAGTCCAAATTTGATTTACTTGAGATTACTGTCCCAGGTTTGCTGCCTGACCTTTATCAAGTAAATTAATTAAGCCGTGACCCATTTTCCATGGAGTTCATGTCCAGCTGTGCAGCTGATGTATGTGCAGCATCAAAACAACAACACTGCCATCAGTTTTATTTTGGTGTAAGCCATCCACCTCAAAATAACAGGATTATGACACTTCAGTAGGGTTCAAACCAGTCCTGTGGACATCATGTCACCAGCTTTGGTCGTATGCTAAGCTCAGTACAGAGCGCTGTTGTAGCACCTGGGAATGTCTTTTGTTAATAATCCTAATGATGCTGTACCTATGTATCGGACCTCTTTGGGCCAGTATACATACAATCTGTTGTTACTACATGTGTCTGTAATGTTGATTTCCATTGTAGCTTTCTAAATGTTCCCTTTATAAACCCCCAATTATCATTTCCATTAGGTCTGGATATTAATACACAAATACCTGCATCAATAGGAGTCAAAGGTAGATCATTTTGACAATCCTATAGTCCAAAAGTCTTAGTCTTAATGCTTAAACTGCTGCGATCATGTGATTGTGAGTTCAGCTAAAAGGTCTCTAAACGTCTGAAACGTAGATGATCTTGTCGATGTTCATACATCAAAGTACAAAAACATGTTCTGGTATGTAACATGCAGGTACACCAGGGATTAAGCGCACGTTGAGTAAACTTAACTGTTTTTCTCACCAGCATATCACATGAGGATGTTGGTACAGGCCAATTGAGCCTGGATCAGGTCCTGAACTCAGGTGAGCCACTGAAGGTCAAATCCTGAACAAGGGTTCAGAGCAGTTGGTTAAGCCTTTAGTGACAGATGGGAGGGTGTAACCGCACAGTGACTGGGTCAAAAAGCAGCTTGCCCTCAGGGCTCAGTCTTTAAAGGGCTTGCTAAGACATTGACCTGAGCACTAGGTAAGCGATAGCCCATGGGGCCGGAGCCGAGCAGGACGGTCCAGGAGCGCTGTGACAGTAATGTCTATCAGGTCACATAGAGGATGTTAATGAATGAGATCGATGGAGTCATAGTTAGTTTGTAGTTCAATCTTACAAATACTCTAACACACAGGATAAAGATGAATTTCATCTGTAATATTTCTTAATTTAAACAGACTGTTGGGAGCACTTACCCTAAAAACTGCATCGGAGCTGGCATATCACCGTCACACCCCTCAGTACTCACATAGAATTTACCCGAGGTACTCTTTACCATGTGTAGGAAACCATTGACTTCATAAATGACGTAGAAGTAGCCACCATGACTGCCCTTATTGGTTTGTCAAAGGCCCCTTTGAAACCTTGGGTTTGGTATTTAATCACAGTCTGTAGCCCCTTTTACACCGCCTGTTCAAGACAGGACTGTGTTGCCTTTACATTTCACAAAGGTGTAGTGGTGGGGCCAAGTCGTTCCCAGTCTAGTCGGCAGTAGAGAGAGTCTGAGATTATCCGAGCATGAGCATATGCTCCTGCTGCGGATTTACACCTTGTGTCTCCAGTGTGTCCACAACACCGTAACACAATGAGATCACACACTGGGACTCCAATATTACGTCCTTGCGGATCAGTAGTTGAGTACAAAGGCTCAGTGACGGCAGAGCTTGTTGCAGTGCTGTCGTGGACTCAAAGTGTAAAGAGCTTTTGCCCCGGCTGGTTCACTTCCTGTCATAGGGATATTAGAACTGGACTAAAGAAGCAAAGAGAGCTTGTGCAACAAATCACACACATCGGTCTTCTCATCGCTATGACTTAAAACAGAAGTTTAAATTTGAATAACCATGACAGATACATGTCTTCATGTGTCCTCTTTTCATTCTCTCTCAAACTCTGGAGACATACTTTGTAGACATTAAAGTACTTAGAGCTCTTGTGAGGAACACGGTGGGTTTGTGTCCCTTGTGGACAGAGTGGTGCATTGCTATCTCTCTGTAAGTCTACTAACAGTATTTTCTGATGAGAAATCTCCTGCTGTTCTTAATGTGGAAAATGTAAACGCAGGCTTTAAATCTCCTCACAGCGCCCTGTGGCAGCGTTTAACGTTCATTTAAAAATGTAGATAAAATATGAATTCTTCTCGCTGATAGAGGCACTAACATGACATTTAGTCTGTTTCATAATCAGCTGCTCACAGAAGCTTTAACATCATCAGATGTGTGGATGTGTTTTAATGTATCCCAATCCAAAGGTATGATTCTTCTTCCATGTCCATGTGGGATTGTTTCCTTGATGCAGGCGTATCATTTCAGTAAATATCAAGCCATCACAACATGATGTCGTATCATGATGTCGTGTCATGATGTCGTGTCATGGCCTTCTGTGAGATCAGTTTGTGATGATACAGTATGTTGTCACACTCTACAGAGATTACGACTTGAAGACCGAAATGTCACTTCCAACTGTAAACACAGGTGGACTAGATTTCGGTGGTTCTGGATCCAGCTCTTCTTTTGTAAGAACATGCTTGATGTTAGAACTCTGTGGCCGACTTGATGATGGGATTTCTTTCTCCACATTATGTTTTGCCATGACTTTTCAGAATTATACAAACATTCATGCCATGAAGTTTTGCTATCAGATCCATAACAATAACTCGTTGCCAGGACTTCACTAGATCACTCTGAATAATTCATCACAGTGCCAGTTTACAAAAACAACTAGGGTCAGAGGTCGTTCGTTTATATATACACTAATATCTAGAAAGGGGTCCCACATTATACTGTATATAATAGATTTGGATTTTGGGGGGTCACCTGGGGTGTCCAATCAGATTTCAAGGGGTGCCCAGGCCACTCCTCTGGTCATGCACCTGCCAGTAAGTGTCAAGTGACCACTCCAGTTTGAAACCAGTGTGGTGCGAGTTAACAGTTCACTCACACTCAGTGGGAGAAGCGTTCTTGTGGGCATGAAGACTGATGTGCTTCGTTTCTTTTTATGAGAATAATTCACATCCTTTCCTGTGGGTCAGTAACAAAATCACTTTAGCTTCAGGACATCGTTTTTAAGAAAGAGAAAACTCAAGCACTCTTTTTTTTCCCGTTTCAGTCTGGCCTGATTGTGGCGTGCTACCATGGCTACGTGGACGTGGTCATCGCCCTGTCACATTGTCCGCACCTTGATGTAAACTGGCAGGACAACGAGGGAAACACTGCTCTTATAACCGCAGCACAAGCAGGTAAACACACCTTGGGCCTTTGAGTTTTTGCACATATTGTTTAATAATTGTTGAATGAAACTATCATGGGAAGCGTTTCACTATCACCTGGTAGTGCACGTTCTTACTACCTACACAAACTACATGAGGAACACCTCACAGGACATGCCTCCCACTGATATTAGATTATAACACCTTCACCATGTCTGCTTCCATAAAACAGCCTTTGACCCTTACATATATTCCTCCTTATAATATATCTCACGGCTCATTTTGAGGCTGTCTCCCGGTTAGACGTGTTACTTTGCATAATTGAACGCTCTCCCCCCCTCTGCCTTTGATGCATAATGTACAGTGGTAGACATATTAATGTGAAGAATGGAGTTTTGAAATTGGTCCACTTTGAAGCACGAAGCATATTATGAGGTCTGATGCTCCCAGCGGCAGGATCACTATTATTTGCTGGCATTAGAAAATTGCCATGGTGAGTAATTTCATAGAGATGCAGCCACATGTATCAGACGGTGGTGCCCGGCCTCTCCTCCGCTAACGATGATGAATGGCTCTCTGTGCTCTTTGATGAATAGCTGCAGACTGCTCTTCATTTTCTGCTTCATTAAGAGAAGTATCGATCTGCGTTGGTGACAGAGTACTCTGCGACACCTCAGGGGAGCAGGTGAGTGGGACTCTGAATCCACAGCAGAGTGGACAAACACATGCACAGAAAACTTTCCCTGGAAACCATCTCCAAAGTCACTGAGTCTCTGCGCATCTGGTCCTTGGAGAGGATGTACGATCAGGCTTCTGTCACTTAAAGGTCCCATATTATGCTTTTTCTGGTTTTATATGCTCTTTAGTGTGTTTTCCAAGTGTCCTGTGCATGTTTAGGCACATCTATGTGCAAAAATTCAAAGTCCGCGGAAACGCGGCTTCTCCTACGTCCTCCTGTTAGCTGTAGCATTCGCTGCATGTAACGCTCGGTTCTAGCCCCCCTCGATAAAAATTTGTCAGTGCGGTGTCATTGTCAGTGTGAGATCACTGATCTAAGCCCATTGGCTCATTGTGGCAAGCCCTGCAGCTCATGTTGAAATTTCCGAGAAGCGTGCTGAGCAACTGACCAATAACGACAGAACGGATCGGCAGACCAATCAGAGCAGACTTGGCCCACGAGGGGTCTAACAGTGTGGGCTCAACAGAGTGCAGCTGACGGACTCAGAGTGTAGAGGGAGCAAGGAGGAGCAGTACATGAAAACAGACACTTTTTTTTTACTTTAGCTATTGTGAACGTACAAAAGTAGGTACATAGATTAAATATAAGAACCCCAAAAAGGGCATAATATGGGCTCTTTAAGAAATGAACCCTGTTGTGTGCTTAAACTCTGCTAATCCTCAAAGGAACTTCATTACATCTATCTGACTGTCTTGATTTACACTGAACTGACTCAGTTAGAGACTTTTCACACATACAGAAATCTCCTGAATATCTCCGGAGATTAGTCTACCCGGAGGGTCTTTAGGCTTTATGTGAACGCAAACAGCTGCATTTTTCGCGCGGACTTCACTCTGCGTTTCTCAGGCCAGACAGCTAGTATTTTAATACTCACTCGGAAGAATATCAGAGTGAGCTGATGTCTGAACGCGGCAGCATATACTGAGATTTCACCTCGAGCCAATGGGACCCAAACCCTCTACCAACTGAGCCACAGCCGCCCCCGATGGAAGGTGTGGGACACCTTCCATCTCTTAGGTTCGCTGTTTATTACAAACTACATATCGACCATACGAAGCCTGGGTGTACCACTACGATTTGATCACACATGAGCGACACGGCGTCCACAAGAACCCTCACGTCACTGTTGAGCTGAGAGACAAACAGCCAGCGCCGCTCAAACTAACTTAAAGGCAGGGTTGGTTTTTCAAAAACTAGCATGATTTTGAAAGTAGCATTCCCTCAGTGCTCCGTCTACACCCACCCCTCCCCTCTGTGCTCCCTCAGAAGCCACGCCCCCTCACTTACATGCACAAGCGCCATTGCTCCAGAAGCGGACCTCAACTCAAGTGTGGGCTAGTTCACGCCATGGGTAGCGTGATTGGTTCATCAGATTGGTACCTCGTGGCAGACATTGGTCAAAGTTTCTACAGGCTTACAACTGATACAGATGACAGATTTTTATTTTTTTTTGTTCCTTTTTCAGAGGACATGAGTTATTAATTTCTGTCAGGACAAAAATGAAAGCGTTAATAAACCGTAGGCTCAGTGCTTACAGGATAACGTCCGACTGCACCACTGAAGTGACTCACTAAACTACTGAGGGGTAAAAACAGCTCTCAACTTACTGTTAACGGAGTTTACATGACTGGAACTGAGCCTATGAAATATAAAGGGCGGCTGTGGATCAGTAGTAGAGTCTCTCAACCAGAAGGTCGGTGGTTCGATCCCCAGCTCCTGCAGCCACATGATGATGACCCCAAGTTGCTTCTGCTGCTTTGTGAGCGGTGTCTGAATGTGTATGAATGGATGAGTTAATACTGATGGTCTCTTTACACAGCACCCTCTACCATCAGTGTGTGAATGTGTATGAATGGACGAGTTAATACTGATGGATTCTTTACTCAGCAGCCTCTACCATCAGTGTGTGAATGGATGAGTTAATACTGATGGACTCTTGACACAGCAGCCTCTACCATCAGTGTGTGAATGTGTATGAATGGATGAGTTAATACTGATGGACTCTTCACACAGCAGCCTCTACCATCAGTGTGTGAATGTGTATGAATGGACGAGTTAATACTGATGGATTCTTTACTCAGCAGCCTCTACCATCAGTGTGTGAATGGATGAGTTAATACTGATGGACTCTTCACACAGCAGCCTCTACCATCAGTGTGTGAATGTGTATGAATGGATGAGTTAATACTGATGGACTCTTCACACAGCAGCCTCTACCATCAGTGTGTGAATGTGTATGAATGGATGAGTTAATACTGATGGACTCTTCACTCAGAAGCCTCTACCATCAGTGTGTGAATGTGTATGAATGGACGAGTTAATACTGATGGATTCTTTACTCAGCAGCCTCTACCATCAGTGTGTGAATGGATGAGTTAATACTGATGGACTCTTCACACAGCAGCCTCTACCATCAGTGTGTGAATGTGTATGAATGGATGAGTTAATACTGATGGACTCTTCACACAGCAGCCTCTACCGTCAGTGTGTGAATGTGTATGAATGGATGAGTTAATACTGATGGACTCTTCACTCAGCAGCCTCTACCGTCAGTGTGTGAATGTGTATGAATGGATGAGTTAATACTGATGGACTCTTCACTCAGCAGCCTCTACCGTCAGTGTGTGAATGTGTATAAATGGATGAGTTAATACTGATGGACTCTTCAAACTGGAGCCTCTACCGTCAGTGTGTGAATGTGTCTGAATGGATGAGTTAATACTGATGGACTCTTCACACAGCAGCCTCTACCGTCAGTGTGTGAATGTGTCTGAATGGATGAGTTAATACTGATGGACTCTTCACACTGCAGCCTCTACCGTCAGTGTGTGAATGTGTCTGAATGGATGAGTTAATACTGATGGACTCTTTACTCAGCAGCCTCTACCATCAGTGTGTGAATGTGTATGAATGGATGAGTTAATACTGATGGACTCTTGACACAGCAGCCTCTACCATCAGTGTGTGAATGTGTATGAATGGATGAGTTAATACTGATGGACTCTTTACACAGCAGCCTCTACCATCAGTCTGTGAATGTGTAGGTAGACTAGACAAGAAACATACAAGCTCAGGTCCATTTATCATTTAACCATCATATAACTAGCATGTTAGCACTACAAACCAAACCCTTATTGTACTTGGATAATAAGTGTGTCTTATCTTTACCTTACTTTGTGGCCAAAGAGGCATACAGTGGTGACACACATCGGTATCCCTGAGGACACATCACATTGAAGAAACTTTTCAATGTGAGTGATGTGTTTGAAAAAAGAAAAAAGATAGCATGGGGGAGATGTTCAGAGAACAGCGAAAGTTCATGAGAGAAGCTTCAAGAGAGTTTTAAACAGACTGAGTGTTCTCTAAATATTTCTCTTTTCTTTGCAGGTCATATCTTCATCTCTAACTACCTCCTCAACTACTTCCCCGGGCTGGACATCGAGAGGAGGAACTGTCACGGCTTCACAGCTTTGATGAAGGCGGCCATGCAGGGCCGCGCTGAGTGTGTCAGGGCCCTCATGTTAAATGGTAAAACACAGGACACATTCCACACATTCTTTTTTCCTCTATGAAAACTTTTATACATATATTCTGTGACGTGTGTCATGGCTTTTTGCATCTCACAGTGACCTTCATTATCTCCAAACCACTCCTGCAGCAGGGCTTTGAAATAACAGCGATATAAGATGTTCAGTGAAAATGTTGTTATTGATGGAGTAAGAGTTCTAAGAAAGTCTGCTTGGGGATGCAGATGAAAAAAACCTTCACTTAGGAAATCAGGAGGCATGTGTTTGTTGTACCCTGTGATACATTTTCTTTTGTGTCTAAAACGACCTGTTGGTCAGTAACTGTGGGTATGAGTAGGGACACTCTTGTGGGGGTTTATATAAGAGCAAAAATGTACTTTGTGCATATAGCGATGAAGGATGAGAATGGTATGTGCTTGTTTAGTAGTAGAGTTTATCCAGGAAGCACTAACGGTGATTTTTATCTACTCTGTGGGTACTGAAAAACTATTTTTGTGTCCAGGCGGAGATATTCAGGCACGGGACAACGGCCGCAGGATGACGCCCAGGGAGTGGGCTCTCTTCACCGGTCGATACGAGACAGCGTACCTGATGTACCGTCTGATGGCAAAGCCCTGCGCTGAGCAGTTCTGCGACTCCTTCTCCCTGGAGTGGCCCATGCTGGAGGTTAAAAACATTGATCATGACTTCACCACTTAATGCTTTTTATACCCCCCACTACACGGATTGAGAAGGTGTTTTCGTTCCTGATGATTCCTCTAAACTTCAATGTTTGATCTCGTTGTGCAGGAGCTGGTGGCCCAGGCTCAAGAACCGCAGTCCTGTTGGAGGCGTTTGCTCAACTTCCTGTCCTGCTGCCCATATAGGTTTTATATCAACAACAAGGTGAACACTTTAGATGACGGCGTCCTCGACCACATGGTCCGACTCACCACCTGTCTCTCCAGTCCCATCATTGCCACGGCTTGCCACACGGTGAGTCCCGGCAGTCCCCCGTGTATTGGGAAGCGCCGTTACGCCGTGCCGGAGATCCTGAGGAGGCAGCGTGTTGCCGAGCTGAAGCGCCTCGGTCCTGACAGACTAAACCACTACAAGAGATTTTTCCAGAACTCTCGGGTCCTCCTCATCCCCAAAGTGAAGGATCGGAGGGCCAGCCTCCAGCCGCAGCTGCTGAGCGACGTGGCCGCCGCGTCCTCGGTGGCGTTCAGACGAGCCAGCCTGCTGCCTCTGAACATGATGAGGAGGAGCAGCGTGCGGCCGGGGATCGTGGTTCCCAAAGTGAGGCTCTGCAAAGCACCGTCCCCAAGCTTCATACCTGACAAACTGGGACACAGTGGTAACCACAACCACCTGCAGCTCCCCAAGTGGAACTACAAGATGAAGCGGGTGGAGAGGAGGCAGGAGGAGGACAGGCAGAGACTGTTACCTCCCACACGGAGGAGATGACGGGAGGTGCTCTACTGTGCTCACATTGTGAGAGTAGAGCATCCACATCTTCAGTTTGCTTCCATTTCTGGATTGGTTGCCTTGTTTCTCTCTGTAGTCATGCTGAGGGTCAAAGTAAACATGTAAAGCACTTTAATCCCGGTAGATCAGGAAACCTTGACAATAATGAGAATATAATTTTATCATTCTTACCATATTTGATTAAAGCAAGAAAGAAGAAGCGATAAAGATGTTTTTGCATGTTAATAGTAGTCAAACGTCATGAAATCTTCTCTCCTTCCTTTTCTTTCAAACGTCACTTTATCACTTACTGGTCAACATCTGATCAGCACACTTTGACTCTGATTTGACTTTGAAAAATTCAGAAAGCGTCTTCGTTCTATCGTCATCACTTCATCTTATGTCTGGCACTAACACTGGAAGATACGGACACCCTAAGAGGACGTGCATCCATACTTTTAATTTCACTTTTTGTTCTGGGGTCATCACTATGTTCGCTGAGTCCTGTGTACCCTCAGTCCTATATTTCCTCAGCCCTATGTTCCCTAACTCCTATGTTCCCTTGGGCCTTTGTTCCCCCAGCATCAGGGCTCGCCCTTCTTTAAAGCACATAACGTGTTGTTGCATAAAAAATATTATCGAGGAAACATAGGGCTGAGGGGACATAGGGTTTAGGGAACATTAGCCTGAGGGAACATAGGGCTAAGGGAACATAGGTTTGAGGGGAAATAGGGTTTAGGAAACATAAGGCTGAGGGAAAATAGGGCTGAAAGGAACATATGACTGAGGGAACATACGGCTGAAGAGGACAACAACTGAAATGATCTCACTGTGTTACTGCGGAGTATCGTAAAATGTATGGATGCATGTCCTCTTTGGGCTTCGGTAGGAAGATTATTACATTGTTAACATTTCAACTTTTTTGCTCACTATATTGACTTATTCTCAAAATGAAGCGTCAAAAAATATCTTTAAAATCTTGCTTTCTTTCGTTCATAACTTGGCCTAAAACACATCTCGACATTTGAACCTCATTCTCAGAACGATGAATAAAAAAAGAACCGTCCTATTTGTAGCCCTAATGCTCTTTCGTGGGTTATTCCTGCTATTGTTTCATGTTGAAAGTTTGTTAAGTTCATGGCATGGGGCAACAAAAAGAAGTGTAAGTGTAACAAGTTTCAGAAAGCTTTACAGATGTTTTTGTCAAATGATAACAAAGAGATGTTCCAAACACAGAACATCTGCTGCTGGACCTCAAAAAGGAGCACAAAGAGAGAAGAATTAGCCAGAAAGGACTCTCAGAGGTTACTCACAAAGAGTTGAGACTCAGCCAAATAAAGATTGATGGCTGTCTCCTGCAGCAGGTTGCTGGAGAACAGACTTGCTGAATACGCAGCAGGAGGCCAAGAAGCCATTCCATGATGACACACAGGACATCAGGTATCTGCGAGGAAGCTTATGAGCGGCGTTTGACAGCTGAGCTGACGGAGCAGCTCACACAGGCTTTGTGAGGGCTTTGTGGACACTTTGAAAGGCAGAGCCCAAAATAAACAGCTTAGTGCCACACTGTGACCTGATCACTTCCAAAATAATCACCAGTTCCAGTTCGGCCACTGCTGCTGGATGAACCTCCTGCTCGAGACTAACCGAGGAACCGGCATGCCTCCATACGACTACACTTCAGTTTTACAGCGGAACAGCAGTGATTAAAATCACATTTGGCGATTTAAAAATAAAGATACATTAGTTAAATTTCATCAAATATCCAGAGAGACAAACACGTCAAATACGACCCGCTGGATCGTAAATCTCCATAAAAGATGTATACAAATGGTTCAAACGATGCACACAGATAATTGCCCTATGGCCATCTAGTGGAGGAAAAAAAGAAATGCAGCCACACTGTTGAGGAGAACGATGGCTGCATCCTCCTTGGAGGGGCCGGGCCTTCAGAGGCGGTGTCCTGTTTGCATCACTAGCTGTTCCTGCACTCACCCTATGGCGCTACTAGGCGTCCCTCCTGTTGCCTAGCAACCTTGACAGCTACACCAGAACCAGCCAACATAACTGACGTCAATTATCTTCTAAGTTAAAGTTTCATGGCCATTTCTTTTTGACTAAGTTGAAACCAATCATTACATTGAAAAGTGTCGATTGTCGTGAAATGAGTCTCGGGATCTGTCGGACGCATTTATCGCTGCAACTGAATGAGCCTTCAGAGTGGGTCATCGCCACTGTGACGCGATCTGTCTTCAAATGCAGCTGCTTCATTAAGACACAGCTCATAAATCGCCCAGGAATTAAGTTTCAATGAAAAGATCCTGATTTAAAGTAAGGCTGTGAGACGTTTGGTGCAGCGGTCATTTTTCTTTTTTAAGCTGGGACAAATGTGACTAAAGGCTCCTTTAATATCTGAACGGTCCTGTTAGGACACGGACTTGAGTTTGGTATGATGCTCTGGACTTCTTCTTGAGACTGAACTGGACCACAGTGAGCTGGACTCCATGGATCTCTTCTCACCTATGCCATAAACAGTGACTCAAACGTAGAACACAAGTGTGGTTTGTCCTTTATTTCTGCTCCGACGGAGGTCATGATCATGAACTACGCTGAGAACCTAACTGCCAAATTCTCTCTCAATCCGTCACCTGTCCGACCTCTGACAAGTTCTGTGACTCAACCTCGGATGTGGTTCTGTAAATATCTGATTGTTACTGATCATGTGAATCACATGAAAATACAGATTTTTAATTTAAGCAGAAGTATGCAAAGTTAGGTTTAAGGACATCAAAGGCCCTGACGCACCAAGCAGACGGCAAAGTACTAGTGGCGCCTCACGTGGTCGACGGCCAACCACCACGTACGTTCTGCGCATGAGAGGAAATAACTCTCCATGCCAGCAGAGGGCTGTAGTCCGTTGTTATGATACAAGAAGACCATTTTCACACCGCTGTCGCTCACCACTCGTATTATAGGTAGTCTACTAATGGAGAATAAAGTCTGATAAAAAGGTGAAAATGGCGCTGGTGTTGTCAGCTCTTGGTGTTTTAGTAGAAAAAAGAAAAGAAGAGGCGGAGGAGACAAATAAGGAGAAACCGCACTAATGGGTGAAAGCATGGATACTACAGCAGCATGCTCAAGGGGCTTTCCTGAACCTGTGAGGAGAGCTGGAGAGAAATGAAACCTCCCAACAGCCAATCAGAGAGACTCCATAAAAGTAGGGCGACGACCGCTCACCGACGGTCCAACTAGGACGATCTCCTTGTCGTGTCAGGGCCTTTACATGTATCGGTTTGTCATGGAGGAAACGTTTTTATATTTGTTTCTTGGGAAGCCCCTGACTGTGTTTTTATTTTTCTCCGTGGGTACAATCACAAACAGAGAAGATCTGATCATCAGAGGATTTCTCACGAACATCCATCCACAATGTTTGGCAAACTTAAAAAAAAAAAAAAAAACATTTCAAATATGTTTCTCTTCATACTGTGATGTAGTGAAAGAGCAAAATGTAAAAGCAAATAAAACAATGCTCTGGGACATCAGTGCGTTTCCTTCTCTTATTTGGGCCGTCTGTGGCTCAGTTGGTAGAGTCACTGCCTCTCAACTGGAAGGTCAAGGGCTCAATCCCCAGCTGGGCAACATGTCCAATGTGTCCTTAGGCAAGACACTTAACCCCGAATTGATCCTGCTGCTTTGGTGGCGGTGTATGAATGGCATTAGTTACTTCTGATGGATGATACTACATAGCGACCACTACCATCAGTGTATGAATGGGTGGGTGTGACATGTGGTGTAAAAGCACTTTGAGTAGTCGGAAGACTAGAAAAGCGCTATATAAGCTCAAGTCCATTTACCATTTATTTTAGTGTTAGCTCAGCAGAAAAGGAGAAGAGGTCGTAGACTGACTGTAAAAGGCAGGTAGAAAGGTAGAGGCAGACACCTTGGCCCTCAGAGTCTGCAGCGTGTTGTTCTGTTATGTGAGGCATTAAGGGGGGAGAGTTAGAGCAGTCACTGACGCCTCACACATGCTTTGTTGAGTGTGAGAAGGAAAAAGAGGAAACCTAACCCAAAGCTCTGCGAGATCAAATCTGTGCCTGGGGTCTCTAACTGCAGAGAGGAAAATGGCCGCCACTCTGACCTAAGGTGCAGGTTCTCTAATGGCCACTAGAGAGCACTCATGACCCCCTACATGTCAGTGTAGTGTTGCATTTTGTGGGTACACATGTGGACACATTATGCTACAGAGCAGAGATTTGCAAAGTTTACCATTTTCTGTTTCTGTCTGGACTCATGCTGAGACTTCCTGATTTTTCTATGTTGAACATGAAAGTCTTTTTTACACATTGTCCCAGATTGTCCCACAGGTGACCATTGGGTCATCTTCAATGCTGAGCAATTCTGCTCCTGTGGGATTATTTCATGGCTCATTGTTATGATCCTGTTTAATGGTTGTTAGACAGGAACCCAAACCAGGCTGTGAAAGTTAAAACTGAAAACATTTGTAGTCTGGACCGATGGGTGGAATTGAAATGGAAGTGGAGTTGAGGAGTTGCTGGTACTTGGAGAAGGTAGATTCACTGTTTGATAGGAAGGTGAGCCTGTGATCATTTATTGTCCCGAGGTATCTGTATGAGTCAACTCTCTCTTTAGGGCCCGACCATAAAACGACGGGTTACCAGAAAAGTGTTCCCAGTAAAACCATTGTTTCCCTCTGGTGCAGTGCGCTTGCCGGGCGCTCTTCTGTGATGTTGCTTTTTTTTTCAAACGGTTTTGAGGCGCAAATAAAAGTTAAAACATGTTCATCTTTTGATCTTAAGACACGGAGTTGTAGCAATCATCAATACCACTTTTGGTTGAAGCAGCCAATCATATCAAGTAGAAGGATTTTTCAAATGTTTTTTAAATGACATTTTCCCTCCTCGGCTAGGAGCACAGCAACCGAGAGAGCTCTATGTTTGCCCAAATCCATGTTCCCACTTATTTTATTTGGTCTTTTATTTGGTCGCCCGTGTGTGCGCAGCCCCTTCACTCAGGCGTCTTTGGAGCAGCCATGACTATCACAGCACGCTCCGTGTTATTGGACCCTTACGGCCAACTTCCAGCAGATGGTGGAGTGTTCAGTCCATCTCCGCTCCGGCAGAGGAGCTGATAGAGTTTTCACTTTCACTATTCAATGTGTTTGCTTCCACTTTTACCTTCCCAGAATAGCTTGCTGGTAGCAAACTGGTAAGGCCTCCTGCTTTAAGTCAGCTACCACTAAAGCATGTACAGATGATTTTTTTTTATGAAACACAAAGGTAATATTGAGTTTTCATTACATTGCTGACATATTTCATGAATGTGCAAGTTTATTTCTTAAAGAAATATGTCATCACACAGCTCGTTTCCATAGTTTACGATACTCTCAGCACTGTCTGCAGCACATAGAGCATCACAGCTTAGCAGAACATGTTTATTAATATAAAATCATCTTCATTTTAGTCAAAACTGATTGGTCAGATGTAATCGATTGTTCCACTGATCGTTTTTTTTTTGCGCTCATTGATCCATATTCTCATTCGAGTTTTAACCACATCGTTAAACAACACATCTGTCAGACCTGCACAGCAGCCATAATCTACACATCTGTCAGACCACCACAGCAGCCACAATCTACACATCTGTCAGACCACCACAGCAGCTACAATCTACACATCTGTCAGACCACCACAGCAGCCACAATCTACACAACTGTCAGACCACCACAGCAGCCATAATCTACACAACTGTCAGACCACCACAGCAGCCACAACCTACACACCTGTCAGACCGCCACAGCAGCCACAATCTACACAACTGTCAGACCACCACAGCAGCCACAATCTACACATCTGTCAGACCACCACAGCAGCTACAATCTACACATCTGTCAGACCACCACAGCAGCTACAATCTACACATCTGTCAGACCACCACAGCAACTACAATCTACATATCTGTCAGACCACCACAGCAGCTACAATCTACACATCTGTCAGACCACCACAGTAGCCACAATCTACACCCTCTGTCAGACCAGTGACAAACAAACGTCTATTAACTTACCGTTTGAAGATTTACTGAACTTTCCTGATCATCACCAAACTGAGTCCCCAATATTTAAATCCAGTAAAATCCAAACACATTAGATCCATAAAGTAAAGTGGAACTGTTAAAAAAACTGACCTTTTGATGACACCTCTTAACAGCCAATGAAAGCCTTTGTTGATCTGTTCTGATGGCCAATTGCAAGTGACTGTGCCGGTGACTGACATCGCCCATGAATCTCTCTATACATGGACATGCTTCGTCTATCAATACTTTGCAGGGATTTCTTCACGTTCACACTAAGGAGAGTGATTTAAAGAATGGGTGGTTTTCCAGTTATGTTTTCTAACAGTACTAATAAGGTGATATTTACACCAAGACAGGCTACGAGTCATGCATGATTTAGAGAAAACAGACAGATCTTTGTAAAATGATACATTAAACACCCCCATGGAGCTGGAATGGAATGATCCTTGTGCTCGACTGACAGTCGACTGAGGCTCTGACCAACGAATAATCCAGTACTCGACTATAAGGAGTCAGCCCTACTTTATTAATTTGTTTAAGAAAGCAGAATAACTTTTCATCGTCTTCTTAGTGCAAAGGTGCTGCACACATTCAAGCTCAACATGTTATTTCATCCTGCTCCTCCAATCAGTATCATTCTGAAAAGGTCAAAACTCAACAGTAACAAGGGAAGGTGTGATGTTTTTTATAATCGGCTTCATAAAGTGTAAGTCCTTTTCCAATTCTTGTCATAATCCAAATAACAGCGGAACATTACACAGACCATTTCCAGTTTTTTGACTCAGTCCTGAGTTGGTTTCAAGCCATTTGGTTGTGTTTCAAACATTTGCCTTTTTAACTTTTTGGCACCCGATGATTTCCAAATGTCTGAGTGTCCTTGAACTCACCAAGAGGGGTGGGAAAAAGTTCACTCTTTGACTGACTGAAAAACTTATGAGGCTAGTTTCAAGTCTTTGTAATCACACCCCATCAAAAAAGAGATTTCAAATTAAAAGTTTGCGGTATGGTTTAGGTGCAGTGAAAAGTTTCACAAAGACACGAACAAAATAAACTCCCAGAGCCAGAGGTTCTTCGATGGTCTGTTTATATTTTTTTGGAGCAGTTGCAATCTGTTTGAGGCAATAGAAAGATTCACAATTCTCTTTTGAAAACACATTTGGTCTAGCAACAAAAAGGTCACCGACGTTTTATCTCCATACACGTCTTATAGTCAGTTTTTTTTTCTGCCTAAGGATCACAAGGACATACATGACGTTGTCAGTTTCCAGATGCTCACTAACAAATACAGCAGTTCAGCTTTTCATCATCCAGTGTTTGTTTGTTTGTTTGTTTGTTTGTGTGTGTGTGTGTGCGTGTGTGCGTGTGTTTGGGGACAGCAGTCATTTTCCATGATGACCTTTAGGACTTCTCAAACAGCACAGGGCGGGAGAACCAGGGTCTGTTGTCAGCCTTTCTCATATTAAAAACGTGTACTTCCTGATTTACTGACAACAAATACTTGTGTGTTCTTGGTTTGAGCTGTTCAGCTTTAACGAGACCGATTGATCTGAAGTGATGGGGGTTTTCATGCGTGGGGGCACGGTTGTCTCTATTGTGGTTTAGGACGCTCAGGTGGGACGTCCCATGAGCAATCATTTGTTTTGGCTGCAGAGGGAAACAAACAGTTTGTGCACAGTCAAAATACAGACATGTTGGAAATACTTCTCACGGATGTAGCACCTTTTGAAACGGCCTAAGTGACAACGTGGATCCCCGGGGCCCTGGTCTACTCTACTCCACATAGCAACAACATTACTACACAAAGTCCACAGATTAGTGTGTTGACCAGGAAATGAAACGTGAACAGAATTCCTACATGTAGCTGTTTTCTTTACAAGTCTTTTTCCATAATGTTGCTGCTATAAGTGACATCCACAACCTGCACATAAAAAGTATATTTTTATATTTATTATATAATATATATCCGTACTCTATTAACAGTTTTTTCTACCATGAAGTTAAAATTGCCGCCCATCTCTCAGAAAAGATTTTTTTTTCTTCAAACATTGATTATTTTACAACACAGAAATCAACTAATTTTGTACAACTTTGGAGAACGTGGTGCTCCGCCCGCTGTCTCCGTTCCTCCGTGTTTTTTTTGTTTTTGTTCCTTTTTTTATTCCAGTTTTTCTTTTTGTTTTCTCCCCACAGTCCTCGGTGCAGTAAGACAGTTTTCATCCCAGTAAAACACAGTTTAGAAAAACCAAAGCATTTACAAACTGGCATCGTTAGAACTGTAAGGATGTTCAGCCTAAAGCCTCGGCTGAATTTGGACCCTTGAACACGCCCCCCTTTACCTCCCTCCCTGCCTTAATCAGCTGAAGGGAAGTCACCCTCGTTTGGCACGGTTATATACACAATGAGTTCAGTCAACAGAGGGGCTCATGGGAAAGAAAAGGGGCTTTTTTGAGGAGTTAATGAGGAAAGAGAGCTTGGTCTGGTCAGTGTACACCATCTGTAGGGCAGTATAAGGAGCACCGTGACCTACCACAATTCATTTCTCCACACCCATTTCACATTAGCGACACGTTAGCATCCGCCTCTAGCTGAGATGTGAGTTTCAAACGTCTGAGTGCAGCTATGGTGTGTGTTTGTGTGTGTAAAAGCAGGAAAGTCGGTGAGCTTGAAAGTCCTGACATGACACAGAAAATAGTGCAATGTACAGTACACAATGCATCCCAGGAAATGTACAGTGTACATCAAATACTATACAACAGGAATCCAGAATTAAAAAAGTAGAAAGAAAAATAAAACCTGTTACAAATGACAAAGTCCTGACGTGTTCTTCGTCCAGAGGAGGAAACATCAAGCTGAAGCCAAAGAAAGAAAGTAAAGTTTGTGTGACAGACGTCCTACATGTCCTACAGCTCTGCTTCTTGTGCTTCACATTACTAAAAAGCCATGTTACTACACCACATATGTACACGTTTCTCCACCCTAAATCCAAAACCCTTCCACCCCGGATCCATCTTTCTCTTTCACTGTCCTTCTTCCTCTCCGTATGTCCCACTTCTTCTTCTTCCTGTCCTCCATGTTCTCTTCAGTGGGTCCGTCCCTCTTTCCTTCAGGTGCAGGAGGTCACAAACTAAACACAGGAAGAAAATGTGTCCGTCGCTGTTGTTGGTGGTGTGCATGCACATGCATGTCTGCTCCTGGTTTCCTTTCGCATCCCCCCCCCCCCCCTCGCTCCTCCCTCAGACAAAGGGAGTGAATGTCTTAGATTTTCTCCTCAGGTCTCTTCTTTCATGCTCCATCCTCCGCCTCCGTCGTCCTGCTACCTATGATGCTACTCAGTAACTACAGGGGAGGATGAGGAGGGAGGGGAGCTGTCCTCTCATCTTCTCCCTTTACTATTCTGTTCTCCTACATCCTCCTCCTCCTCCTCACCCCCGCCCTCGTCTCCTCTCAGACCCAGGAGTCTGGTGAGGCTGGATAGTGGCTGGTCTCGTAGTTGAGCTCGCTGTAGGGCCGTGAGGCTGAGTAGAAGTCTACATAGTTGCCGGTGGACTTGAGGCCCTGCAGGTGCATATTGAGGTCACCCTGCGGGGGGCGCCCTCCCGCGTGGACCTGATTTTCGTAGAAAGCCTGATCCTCGTAGCTGCTGTCGGTAGGTGGAGGGTTCTGGAAAGGAGGGTAAGGCTCTGACGGAAGGCCTTGAGAAGAGATCTGTAAAGAGAGAAAAATGTTCTTTTAACACAAAAGTGAGATCATTAATTATGAGACCTGGAGACACCCAGTTAGACCCAGTGACACCCAGTAAGACTCAGTGACACCCAGTAAGACTCAGTGACGCCCAGTAAGACCCAGTGACACCCATTAGGACTCAGTGAGACCCAGTGACACCCAGTAAGACTCAGTGACACCCAGTAAGACTCATTGAGACCCAGTGACACCCAGTTAGACCCAGTGACACCCAGTGAGACCCAGTTAGACCCAGTGACACCCAGAAAGACTCATTGAGACCCAGTGAGACTCATTGAGACCTGGAGACGCCCTGTTAGACCAAGTGACACCCAATAAGACTCATTGAGACCCAGTGAGACTCATTGAGACCTGGAGACGCCCAGTTAGACCCAGTGACACCCAGTAAGACTCACTGAGACCCAGTGAGACTCATTGAGACCTGGAGACGCCCAGTTAGACCCAGTGACACCCACTGAGACTCATTGAGACCTGGAGATGCCCAGTTAGACCCAGTGACACCCAGTAAGACTCATTGAGACCCTGTGAGACTCATTGAGACCTGGAGATGCCCTGTTAGACCCAGTGACACCCAGTAAGACTCATTGAGACCCAGTGAGACTCATTGAGACCTGGAGACGCCCAGTTAGACTCAGTGACACCCAGTAAGACTCATTGAGACCCAGTGACACCCAGCGAAACCCAGTGACACCCAGTGAGACCCAGTGAGACCTGGTGCCCACTGGAACAGTTTCAGAGTGTTACAGGTGACTTGTCCTACCTGATTGTACTTGAGGTCGTCAGTGGGCGACACATAAGCTCCTCTGAGTAGCGTGGAGGAACCAGCGGACATTTGACCTGCAGAGACAGACAGGAAGAAGACTTTATTAAACCTTTATTCAGGTCTAACTGTGTGTGTGTGTACTACAATGTTACAAAGATCCGGCCTATCCATCATGAGCACTTTAGCAAAGCACCAAGAGTTACCGTGGTAAGAAAAAAAACTGCCTTATTAAAAGGCAGAAATCTTCGGCTGGATAATAAAAATGATTAAGGACGATTAGGCAGAGTTTTAAACTCTGTGAGTCTCACATCAACAACTTCTGTCAGAGTGTAAAAATCTACTTTACTGTGATGAACTTAAACAACATGTTTGGATAAACTAGAGGTCCTAAGACGCTGACTAGACTCTTCTCCTCTGTTGCCCCCCGGTGGTGGAATGAACTTCCAAACTCCATTGGATCTGCAGAGTCCCTCTGCACCTTTAAGAAAAAGCTAAAGACCCAGCTCTTTATGAACACCTACTAACTTAATGATGATGGTCTCCATATTATTGATGATGATGATGGTAATGACGATGGTTTTTGTTTGATAACGATGTCTTATAAGTTGGTTTCTATACTGATTAGAGCTCTCAATAACTGCCGTCAATGTTGTGCTTTGCCTCTGGTCACTTCCTGTCAGCACCTGTGTGTCCAATCAGACTCAAAGCTGATTGTTTGCTCTTACTGACATTGTTCCCTTTTTTTCTAGATTCTTGCTTGTGTTGTACTTACTCTCTGATGTACGTCGCTTTGGATAAAAGCGTCTGCTAAGTGAATTATAGAATTGTAGGTCGTAGTGACTCAGTATCATTTCTTGTTTTTAATGAACTTGAGATGAAAGCTAACACGGTGTAATGTTTGTAACACCAAACCAACAACAGAGTGAAAACACACGGGCCATAATGAGGGATGTGTTTCTTAAAGAGACAGGAGGTTCCTACCTGCCATGCCGTCCTTCCGGGATGTGTGTTCGCCCTTGCTGCCATGGTAACTGGCATTGCCAGTCGACTCATAGTCTGCCTTCCTCTCCTTCAACGCCATCATCTCTCTTGGGGAAGCAGGGGCGCTCGCTGCACACGCACACACACACACACACACATACACATACAAATACAGGTTATATCTTTAAGCCTCACAGCACAACAGAAACGCATGAGTGATTAGAAACCTCCTTCCTCATTGTCTGAATCTGAACAAATAAACAATCATGCTGTTTGCATCGTGAATCTGCGCTTATTGGACCACTCTTTGAAATGCACCTGTTTTGACCGGTGTAATTTCAGAGAGGTAAACACTGAGTCATCCTCCCTGAAACTCCCTCTGAGTATCTTCAGGTCGCTCTCTCTCTCTCTCTCCTCCTTACCACAGGTACGTTATTATCACCGCTTTGAACTCCCACAGGAGTATCTCTCTCTGTCTGTGTGTGCATTACTCCACTAAATGTAGCATACATCGTAAACACTGGGGATGGAACGAGACCTCGCACTACATTTTCAAATTGATAGAAAAACAGGAAACGGAGTCTTTCGGCTCCTGGCTTCTCTGGTTCGATGTCAGGAGGTGTAAAGATATGGCAGCAGGCAGTGAAAGGTTTTGAGGTGGAGAATGTGTCCTGTTTGAAAGCGTGGGAGTAGAGGCGAGCTGAGCAGACATGACTAAAACAATAAATCAATAATTAAGATCGTGTCAAAGTAAAGAGAAATAAGCACCAGCGTCTTGAGCGGAAACACACTCTTTGGCATCAGCTGGTCTTTTGTTAAAAAAAATTTAAGGTGGCGTTCGTCAATGTCACTTCCTCCTTATCGACCAATCACAACCAAGAAGGGGCGGGACTCATGATATCAACTTTTTCAACAATAAAGGCGGAGGAGGAGAAACTCATCTGACTCATTCTTGATTCTCGATTAAAGCTGATATGAAGCACACAGAGCTTTTCAAGACAAACTGAACAGTCACCACGAGAGAGAAGTCCACTTTCATAACAATAAGGTCCGCTGTTAATGGTCACAGACCGTTACAATTTCATCTTGTTCTTTATAAAATGTTTAAAACTGTGATCAAGTCGCATTGTGAGGCGCTACTAAACACGCTACTAAAAAACGCGACTAAAACATGCTACTTAAACATGCTACTTAAACACGCTACTTAAACACACTACTAAAACATGCTACTTAAACACGCTACTTAAACACGCTACTAAAACACGCCACTTAAACATGCTACTTAAACACGCTACTTAAACACACTACGAAAACATGCTAAACAAGCTAAACAGCGATGTTAGCGAGGGGCTGTGGGATCATTTTAAAGATGATTAGTTAGATGTCGCCAGCTGTGTCCTGGAGGTATCCTGGGTATTGATTCAGGGCCAAATCTTTCAGTTCTTCTAATATTCAAATTTGAGCCAACCGATTAATCTGCCAGCCGATTATATCGGCCAATATTATCATATCCTGTGACTATCGGCATTGGCTTATTTTATCGCAAATATGCATCGATATTACGAGATTTATTCAGCAGTCACATAGCATTTCATTTGTAATAAACTAGCAGTTCTCTTTCACCAGCAGAGGGCGCTATATGGATTACAACAAGCATCATGACTATGCAGAGTGTCGAGCGGTGATGCACGTACACGCTCAGTTACTCTCCAGCTGAGCGAATATTTGTCTTCATTATAAATCTTTTCCACAAGTGTTTGATAACTACATGTGAGAGATCAGCTAAATAAATATGTTTATATCTCTACAGACTAAAGATAGATCTAAGAAAGATATCGGCCAATATATCCGTATCAGATTTTTTCTCTCCCTAATATCGATATCTTTATCGGCCCGCAGAGAAACATCAGACAAATCCAAGATGGCTGCCAGCACTGTCCTTTGTTTGTCTGCCTGTCAGGGTACTCTGAATTTACTCTGAATTTCACATCTGAGTGCACATCTGTTTTAATGTGTTTTTATTTGTTTTAAGCTAAACAGTTGACTAAGGACGGCTTACTCCCAAATCATTCCAAAAGGAGCTTCCAGACTGTTTTAAGGATTTTAATATCTACTGGCATTCCACCTGCTACAGCCTGGAGCTCTGCTAGCTTAGCCTGGCTCTACACAAGCTACAGCCTGAACCTCTGCTAGCCTCAACCAGGCCTTCCACCTGCTACAGCCTGGACCTCTGCTAGCTTAACCTGGCCTTCCACCGGCAACAGCCTGGAGCTCTGCTAGCCTCAGCCTGGTCTTCCACCGGCAACAGCTTGGACCTCTGCATGCCTCAGCTTGGCCTTCCACCAGCAACAGCCTGGAGCTCTGCTAGCCTCAGCCTGGCCTTCCACCGACAACAGCCTGGAGCTCTGCTAGCCTCAGCCTGGCCTTCCACCGGCAACAGCCTGAAGCTCTGCTAGCCTCAGCCTGGCCTTCCATCTACTACAGCCTGGACCTCTGTTAGCCTTGCTCTTGCAGGTGATTCCCCATCCCCTAACCTCTAGTCCCTTTTTCTAAAATTGACTCAACCGACCTGGGTAGCTGGTGAAACAATTTTAACAATGATTTTAACATTTTCACTGTCCCTGAGTTTCTTGCTTCTCCCTGGACCAGTTTTCCACATTTGTGGTGGTGTACCTGACCAAGTGCACCACCAACCTTTGACTTTGCCAAACACAATGACAATGACCTGGTCCTTAGAAACTACTGAATTATCAGTGCTGTTATTGATATCCTCTTGTGGGACAGCCTTGAATAATAATTTTACCCAGTTGCGTTTATGGTGTACTTTTGTTTTAACAAGATGTTTCACTTGTACTGAAATCACACTTATTGACACCATGGAGCCAAATAATGCTGTTATTGGTTCATCTCACAATATGAAGCGGAGAATTTTTATATTACTTTTACTCCTGCTATCAGGCAATGTACAACCGAATCCAGGCCCTGCTTTAAATAACATTAGTACTCCTGATGAATTCAGAGCCAGGACAGGCCTAGGATTAATTAATTTACATATTAGGAGTCTGCTTCCAAAACTAGATGTTGTTAGAATCTGGATTCAGTCAATCAATGCAGACATCCTTATTTTATCAGAAACCTGGCTAAGTAAAGCAGTCTCTGACAAGGACATTGCTATCAATGGGTATAATGTCTTCCGATGTGATCGCCCTCGAAAAGGTGGAGGAGTGGCTATATATATGAAAAACAAGCATGTGATCTCTCCTCTGTATGTCAGAACACAGCCAGCATTGATCCATTCACTCCTTAATGATCTGCTGATACCACCAGCCTGATGTACTGCTGCCACTCACTCGTCCCGCTGTCCTTTGCCTGCCGCTGCATCGAGCAGCTGATGAAACAATGTTCACATTACAGAGACTAAAGATGCACATGAGACGTCACTAAATGAACTACTTTCTTGTTAACTGAGACAATAAGGAGTGTTGATCATTTTGTCATGGTCAGCTGACAGCCTCATACATCCAGCTGGGTTTGAATGATGTGCATCCCCTCACATTCATCATTCACTGAAGTTAAAAACATCCATCCTCTTTGTACTTTTAGCAGGAGTGATACTTTCAGATGTGCTCCTGCATCTCAATGTACATTCTCTGGACAGAGCCGTGTCTCAATGAGCCCCGGAGTCACTTTAAGAACAGCGACTCTACTCATCATGTGTTTAGAAGTCTGCATTGTTTTGTTGTTGTGCAGGAAACTTGTTTTGCTGGTTTCAGGTAACAAAGTCTGCATCTCTAAGAACCTGCGATATTCTGCTATAATTCATGTCTGATTGTCTTCCCCCGGCGGTGAGTGAGGAAATGATGGCTGTGTATTGGATGTGACGCTAATATCAATCCACTGATGCTGCTGCATTTCTTTCCGGGCCTTTTGCAGTTTAAAATGAAACAGTAATCAGAGCGCTCTGACTCACTGCAGCGTGTACGAGCGACGGATAATGACGGTAAATATCGGGACGAGAGGGTCGGGGCACACTGCTGGATCTGTCTGCAGAGTGTTCTGATTGGACAAGAGGCCTCCATGAGTGCATAGAGAACAACAACACTGAGGCTGGGTCTGAACTCACTCACTACATGTAGTGAACACGCCATGATGTCCCGCTGTCTGAATTCTGAGTGAGCATGGATTTTTGTAAAGCGCTGAGTATTAGAAACTCTTTCAAGGTGCGAGGACTCCCACTGACTGGACTGTACTGATGCAGCGAGCGATAGAGGACAAACGTGAAGACAAGAGAGAGGAGGGGTGGACTCACCTGATCGATTGTTGGGTGAGGTCCGTACGGGAGAGATGGACGGCGTGCGAGAGGAGGAATAAGGTCGCTGTCTGTCTCTCTCTATTGTCGAGGACGAGCCCACAAAATGGTACTGGGAGTATCCATCCTGAGAGGTCGGAGTGGAAAGAAAAACACAAAGATATGAAAATGAGAGAGAGTCGTGCTATAACAATTTAAATTCTGACATTTCCAGTTGAGAACAGGAGCCGAGCGGGCCGAGCCGGGCACACTTTACCTTCTTGTAGAGGCTGCGCAGGTCTCTGTACTGCCACATGCTGTTCAACACTTGAGACGCTGCTTTCACCACCTTCGGACTATGTCTGGGAATTCAGCAGAGAGGAAAAACACATGCAGAATAAAGCTGGACTGTTCTTTGTTTCCCGCTGACAATGGTATAGCTATAAAAAACGTCATCACAAAGTTGAATATATAAAGAGCGCAGAGACGTGTCAGAGCTGTCTGCGGAGAGGAAATGACCACAGAAGAAGATGGAACACATGGCCCTATAAATTGGCTTTATTGCATAATTGCTTTGTTGTTTGATTGATTGGCCAATATTTCATCCTGCGTCTTCCAGGTGTGACTCTGTGGACTAATGGCACTGGCTGGCTCTTATTGGCTCGTATGGCCTTATCAGCTGCTTCCAAATTAAACTTTGTTTCTCCAAGCCATCTGGTTAAATGGGATTCTTTTGAATAGTGTGGCTGCACATTGTGCCTGCAAAGCAGAGAGATTCAAAACATACTTGGACAAACACAAAGTTGGTGTGTGCCTGCAGATGTATGGCCAGTGTCCACTGATGCTGTTTTTCTGCACTTTCTGAGTCTAGGACCTTCCTTTGTGTTTACTGACTCACAGCTCTGAACAAGCACACAGCATCTCTAAATCTTTACTTTCACCCCCTCTTTTGCCTTCCACCTGTTTGTCCACTGACCTGATGAAGTATCTCTATGTCTTGTTCTAGTCCGACCTGCCAATCTTTATATCTAAATATGTCTGTCTGTCCTGCAGTCTCGCATCACGCTGCAGCACCTGCCTGCTGTGTGCTTTGCTAATCAAAGGTACACTTTATATAGACGAGCAGCAGGCGGCGTCATGATTAGTGTTAATTTGTATTCATCCCTATCCCTTTCCAAGACCGGCACAGTCTAGTCCTGTGAAGGCTGTTTCGTCATGAGCCGGGGATCCGGCTGAAGATTTCTGCCTTTTGATAAGACAGTTTTTCTTACCACTGTAACTTTTGCTGCTTTGCTAAAGTGCTCATGATGGATAGGCCAGGTCTTTGTAACATAACAGTAAATAAGGTCTTTTACCTGCTTTTTGTAAAGTGTCTCCAGATAACACTTGTTATGAGTTAACGCTATACAAATAAAAATTGATTGAATGATTGATCCCAAAATAAGCAATGTGAAATATGGAGACAGTTAAATACAGATGACCTGCAGTCCAGCTGTACGTCAAATGAGTCGCAGGAGTCTCCATTCTGTATGGGATCGTTTGGGTGAGTGTGTGCTAACGTGTGTGTGTGCTAACATGTGTGCGCTAACGTGGCCTGTTCCTTTCAACAGCAGAAATGTGACTATCATCACCCAATCAGAGAGGTGAATTTTAGTAGTACAATTTAAGTGTCCAACTCTGGACAAATGCAGCAATGTTTTGCATCTTATAAAGATGCACCTTTGTTGCATCATGGGTACTGTAGTCTTTAGTTATCCATGACAACTTTACACAGTGATTGACCTTTGACATTAACCTGATCTCCTCCCTCCTTCTCTTCCCCCTCCTCAACCTGACATCATCTTTCCACTCGGCTTACTTGTCTCCTTTGCTGCGGGCCACACCAATAAGCTTCTCGATGCCCCCGGCGTCCCTCAGGGCCTTGGTGTTCTCCATGTTCTTGGTGATGACCTCGTGCAGCGCGCAGCAGATCGCCGTGATAGTGTCGTCTGACATGGTCTTCCCCATCAGGATGCTGGCGTTGCTGCCTCCGCTCCCCCCGCCGCTGGTGTTGTTGTTGTTGCTTCCTCCGGGCAAACGGTGCACCAGGTCCCTCATGGCATATTTACCTGTGGGCACAGAGAGAACAGTGATGAGGTGTGGGGCTGGTTTGAAGATGAAGGAGGAAATAAGGTGGAAATACGGATGGAAGGACTCATTTGCAGCTTTTATAGTCATGCATGGATCATGTTTTTGGCAGCTCTTTCCAGTGTTTTGAATTTGACAGCAGTACCCAATTTAAACACTAGGTGTCAGAGTTACATATTGCTCCTTTAAGCACATTACTCAACGAGCATAACAAATGTTTTCATGTTTTCTTCTGTTATGAAGGGACAACTCACCGATGAGCTCCTTGTTCCTGACGTCCAGAGCCATGTTTCTCAGCGCAGTGGCCACGGCACAAACCACGCGGTCGTTGTCTATCCTCAGCAGCTCCACCAGGATAGGGAGACCTTTCTCTTTACGCACAGCAGCACGAATATACACCGACCACTGTTCAGAGACGGGAACAGAAACACGTCATCTGTGCACGTGGACATTCCCATTCCTTAAGCTTTATCATCTTTATTTGATATTACCAGATTAACATGCTAATAATACTACACTCATAACAAAGGCACTTATACGGACATCACATATTCTTTTATAATCACACTTTTCTCTTCACTTCTGATTGATCCTCTTTAGTCCTTTAGAACTGTGACAGTCTTTATTTAAATAAGGCATGTCATTGTCCTAGTTTTAATTTGTATTTGCCATTGGTTGGGCTGTGTAAGGAGCCCCTACCCTGTGGGGGGCATCTACAAGTCTGAGACAGCCTGCAAGCTGTGCCTCGACACAGACGGAGCAAACTGTGAGCCTGAATCCTCGGGAAGACATTCTGAGGTGGATTGTTAAACAGAATCCATTACGATAAGGTAAGACCAGCAGGTGAATCTGAGTCCGGTTAGGTGAGACCAGCAGGTGAATCTGAGTCCGGTTAGGTGAGACCAGCAGGTGAATCTGAGTCCGGTTGGGAAGGTAAGACTCTGTAGTCAGAGTGGTATAACATCGGTAGAGTGCCGCAGAGAAGAAATGTTAGCGGTCATTTTTCATGAATGTGAAGAAAAACAAAATAAACTGAAGAGAGAAAAATGTCTCATCTATCAAATGTCTTTCTTTTATTTTGGATCCTATTTGTCATTTTTGTTTTTTAGTTATGCTTTTTGATATGTTCTTTAAGTTCAGTTTTTAACTCTGTGTTTGAATGATACTTAATAAAAGACTAAAGTAGCTATCCTATGACCCCTAATAACAAGATAATTGATAATCTGCAGCCTTCACATGAATAAGATTAATATCAGATATCCATTTGATCCTGGGTTGCTGTGTACCAAACTTTAGATGTGTGTACCATTGTCTCTCTCACAAACATTGAAGGAGATGGCAGGTAGGTATTTTGTTTTTCTTTCTCTCCACACCGCTCTTTGACACCCACTGGAATTTCAATGCACTTGACTGCAGATGCCTCTTTGTATCTGAGGGCTATGGGCACAGTCCTTACCTTCCAGCTGCCAGCAGCCAGGTTCTGCAGAGCCCCAGCTGCTCCCTCCAGGGTGTCTGGGTTGGAGCACTCAGACAGCAGAGTGAGGTAAGGCTTGACGATGGTGGGGTGCCACAACATCTGGATGCCTTTCGGGGGCTCAGCCAAGTCTGGAAACGGGCCGATGCCATCCCACTGCGGAAGATGAGACACGATTCAGAGTGAGGGAAAAGGTTTTTTGAATTCTGTGTGAGTCGAGGTTTGACAGCAGCGGGGTGCCATCACGGTCCCCTCAGGCAGCAGGAGAGAGATTTACTATTCATAAACAGCGTATAAATAAGGCGCCATTCATCTTTTTGTGCATTCTCTCTCCTCTGTTATTGAAATCTGACATTTCCTCCTGCATGGTGGTGCCTTTTCAAAACCTCTCACGCACACACACACACACACACACACACACACACACACACACACACACACTGTGCAGGCATTGAACCGTTGAGACATTTCTCAGTGACACTGCAGTATCATCCACACACACAGAGTAAAAAAGTTTGGAGGCTAACCAACAATAGTTCAGTTTCTGTAATAAAAAAGAAATGCTGGCGTAACATGATTGTAACGTCGTTGTGTTTTGCTGATCTATATGTCGTCCAATCAAAGCTCGTGAGGAACTTTCGTCTTGTGTTGATTCTAGTCAACTTTTATACGCGAGGGGATGAGTCGGCCGACCGTTCCGGCGATGTAAACAAACTGAAGATAGGACTCGGAAAACTCGGAAAGCATCACAGACAGTGGGACTCGTGTGTTACACCCATTGTAGACAGTCATGACTCCTTCCTGTTTGTCTTTCTTCATTATTACACCACTTCCTCTTTCCCCTTCTCAATCCTTTTGAATTTGCTATCCTCCTCCCTTTACTCCAACTCCACCTCTCTCTCTCTCTCTTAATATCTTCAGATCCTTTCCTCCTTGCCTCTCCTCCTCTTTCCTCTAATCACCCTGCAGTTGATAGAGCTTTACCCTCTTCAACGAGCTCCCAAATCGCTCCTTCATGGTAATCACACACAGCTGCACTGGAGTGGAGACAGTCAGATAAAGGAGAGGGGTTACTTGTTATAAGTATGTGTCCCTTTACAATCTGATGTCAGAGTTAGTTTGAAGACCTCCTCGGTTCTGCCTGGATACACCAAAAGTTAGTTTGACTAATTGAAGTCAAAGGCCCGGCTCGTTACTACCATTTCAAGGTTTCCATCTTTTTTTCTAGAAATGAGAAAGGAAAAAAAGCAAACGAGGCTAATGAGCAATTCACCCTCTCTGATCCACCGGAGGTGTCGAGTCTTTCAAAGCCCACAGCCTCACTGGAAGTTGTAGAAGACGTCTTCCACTCAGCCAGAATGTGCTGCTGATTGCTTATTAGCATGACAAGAGGTTCAAGCCTCCTCAAAGGCAGCCGTTTACCTTCTGCCAACTCTGCAGCTACAAGGGTGCTCATTTCTGAACAGAGCTTGACACCCTCCCCTTTGCCACAGATGGACAGACGTTGAAAACCAGTGAGAACTGCTAAATCTGTGATATGAGTTTCTCTCAGTGTGTAGAGTCGAACATGGCGCCTTACTCTGGAGGTACAGCTCTGATCTCCTCACCGTCCTGTGTGGAAACCTTGTAGCATGTGTGAGTTTAAACACACGTTTCTATCCCGTCATGAAGCTATGACTCATCTTCTGCAGGATCACAATAATCCAGGCGCCAGGTGAATTTCAGGAGTTGATGTAGAAAACAACTCTGACTCAAATATCATGAATATCAAAGAAAGCTGTGGTGCATTCATAAATATTCATTCCAGACTCGAGATAGTGGGAACCGAGGGGGGATTGAGCAAATACTCCTGAACCAACAAGAGCACAGAGCTGCTTTAAACATCACATACTGAAGAGATGAAACAGTGACACAACACCTGGACACATGGACTGACCCTGGTGGTTTGGACTGACCCTGGAGGTTTGGACTGACCCTGCTGGTTCGGACTGACCCTGGAGGTTTGGACTGACCCTGGAGGTTTGGACTGACCCTGCAGGTTTGTACTGACCCTGGTGGTTTGGACTGACCCTGCTGGTTTGGACTGACACTGGAGGTTTGGACTGACCCTAGTGGTTTGGACAGACACTGGTGGTTTGGACTGACCGTGCTGGTTTTTTACTGACCCTGGAGGTTTGGACTGACCCTGGAGGTTTGGACTGACCCTGGTGGTTTGGACTGACCCATGTGGTTTGGACTGACCCTGCAGGTTTGGACTGACCCTGGAGGTTTGGACCGACCCTGGAGGTTTGGACCGACCCTGCTGGTTCGGACTGACCCTGGTGGTTTGGACTGACCCTGCTGGTTTGGACTGACACTGGAGGTTTGGACTGACCCTAGTGGTTTGGACAGACCCTGGAGGTTTGGACAGACACTGGTGGTTTGGACTGACCGTGCTGGTTTTTTACTGACCCTGGAGGTTTGGACTGACCCTGGTGGTTTGGACTGACCCATGTGGTTTGGACTGACCCTGCAGGTTTGGACTGACCCTGGAGGTTTGGACCGACCCTGGAGGTTTGGACCGACCCTGCTGGTTTTTTACTGACCCTGGAGGTTTGGACTGACCCTGCAGGTTTGGACTGACCCTGGAGGTTTGGACCGACCCTGGAGGTTTGGACCGACCCTGGTGGTTTGGACTGACCCTGGAGATTTGGACTGACCCTGCTTGTTTGGACAGACCCTGGAGGTTTGGACAGACCCTGGAGGTTTGGACTGACCCTGGTGGCTTGGACTAACCCTGCTTGTTTGGACAGACCCTGGTGGTTTGGACTGACCCTGGTGGTTTGGACAGTGTACTTCTGCCCAAAGAAAACGCCATGCGGACTCAGGCTCTAAGAGAGTAGACCCTCACCCTCTTTATGAACAAAGAAGAGAACAACATCAGCGGAGGCCAAACACAGTCCATAACATGTCTGTCGCCATCAGAGAACTTTTCACTTCCTGGATCTACTAAGGAAACACAATAACCATCCAGCTGATGCTGCTGGACGTTTATAACTCACATCAGGAACCCTGTAAGAAGAATGTGACCGAACCTGTTCACCCACCTGGTCATGTCCCTTCTTTTTCTTCTTCTTCTTGCCCCAGCAGCCAGAACTCTCTGCGTCCTTCCCGCCGGTGTCACATAAGAGACCGTCCAGCTCCTCCGACCCCCCCTGCTGGCTGTGAGACGTCTCTGCAGCCAGACGGTACGACAAGTTCCTCAGGATGCACACGCAGTTCTCTACAGTCTTAGAGTTGAGAAAGAGAGACAGGCAGACAGACAGACAGACAGACAGACACACACACACACACACACACACACACACACACACACACACATATAGACAGACAGACAGACAGACAGACAGACAGACGCACAGACAGACAGACAGACAGACAGACACACAGGCAGACAGACAGACAGACAGACACACAGACAGACAGACAGACACACACACAGACAGACACACAGAGAGACAGACAGGCAGACAGACAGACAGACACACAGACAGACACACAGACAGACAGACACACAGACTGGGTGGTTAATACAGTTTATGGTGCACTGTGGACTTTATATTTAAACTATCCATGACTAACCAAACCTTCGTTTTATGCTTTTGTTTTGTTGTTGTTGTTTTTTTTTACAGTGGGCAGGTTGTGAACATCCATACAAACTACAGGCCACTTATTCAGATTAATATGCATGTACAGTATTTACATGCAGGGCTGCAAAGACACACATACCACACATTTAACTACCAACTCATGTTAATTATGCAAATGGAATAAAGATGGCATAGTAATCAAGATGATACAGATGTTTACTCTGAGAACCACATATTTAATTTATTTGACAAACAAACACACACACACACACACACTCACATATCATTGTGTGTTTCTATCCAGGTGATTATTTTCTGTGCCTGTGTGAGCTACAGGCTGAGTGTGTGTGTGTGTGTGTGTGTGTGTGTGTGTGTGTGTGTGTGTGTGTGTGTGTGTGTGTGTGTGTGTGTGTGTGTGTGTGTGTGTGTGTGTGTGTGTGTGTGTGTGTGTGTGTGTGTGTGTGTGTGTGTGTGTGTGTGTGTGTGTGTGTGTGTGTGTGTGTGTGTGTGTGTGTGTGTGTGCGCGCGCGTGTGCGTGTGTGTGTGCGTGTGCGTGTGTTACCTTGCTGTCAATCTCACTGCTCCCCAGGGCAGTCTGGATGACGTAGAGCAGAGCGTCTGTCAGGCCCTCACACTCCCTCATCCTTCGCCGAGCCTCCTCGCCTGCTGAACTCACATTCCTGTCACACACACAAACATACACACACATGAATGATGCACACAGACACACACACACACACACGCATCAATATACAGTACAGGTGAAAACTGAAAATACAGCCCAGATTCAGAACTTTCTAACGACTAACACACAGAACTCCTCTGGTAGCTTTATGTGTACATGTGTGTATATTTATTGTGTTTATTTTTCACACCTGTCTGTTTGTACCTTTAAACGTCTGACAATAAAAGACTGCAGGGAGATGCTTGATTCAAATATGTAACTACAGTCTCCGACATTTAAAGCAACAACATGTAGGAATTCGGTTTGGTGCGTTTTGGTGCCCACAGAAGGTCACTGATTGCAACTGCACTAACTGTGCTGTTATACCTTCCCCTCATAGAGGGCGGTGTTGTTAGAAGACAACGATCCACGTTGACTGACAAGCTGCAGCTTGTTGTAGAGACCGATTCTCGGATTGGGTTTATTCGTATCAACCCTGAGACAGAACTCGGGTTAGTCGACTTCCTGCAGCCAGTAAAGCTGCTAAACATGAGACAACGATGACACCGGTAACGATACATGCTAAGGTTATGTCTCAATCGGTTCTGAATAATATCTGCAGGGATGAACACTCTCTTTTTCTCTCCTTAGCTTCATCCGTCACCGTCCTCTTCCTTGTATATGTTGTATCAAACAGAACAGAGACGGGCTAACTGTAAAGACGTATGTACTTTACTCTTGGCCCGGGTATTTTCTTTTCTTTAACCATTTAATAGACATTTAATAATAATAGTCATTTGTCCTCTGGGGACAGGAGGAGCTGGAAAATGCTTTTGGGGAGAGGGATGTCTGGGTACTACCGCAACCCGACCTTGGATAAGCGGAAGAAAACTGATGGCTGGATAACCATTTACTCTGTATGCTTTGATGGGAGATGCAGCAGCATCTGTCATCTCACTATGATTGACAGGTGAGAAGATCAAAGAGGGACAGCGATACCTGGGAAGAGGAGGAGCATGCATGCGTTCATACTTCTTATGTTCCTGATGAGCTGCAGACACACTGTATGTCTCTGGAGATACACTCAAAGCTCCGAGTCACACTCAGCTGTGAAGCAGGAGTCTCAACACTTTCTGTTTGTGGGCAAGGCAGCATATGTGAGCACAGGGAGGTGTGTGTGTGTGTGTGTGTGTGTGTGTGTGTGTGTGTGTGTGTGTGTGTGTGTGTGTGTGTGTGTGTGTGTGTGTGTGTGTGTGTGTGTGTGTGTGTGTGTGTGTGTGTGTGTGTGTGTGTGTGTGTGTGTGTGTGTCTCCCTGAGGGGAAAGACAGCGAGGCGGAGACATGGCGAGACAGGACAAGAGAGAGAGGGAGAGAGAGGAGATACAACAAAAGAGAGAGAGAGAGAGGGAGATAAAAAAAGAGAACAAGAGATACAGAGTGAAATAAAAATAGAGAGAGAGAAAATAAGTTGTGGATAATAAGAGAGGGAGATGGAATGAGAGAGAGGGCGAGCGAGAGAGAGAGCGAGAGAGCAGGTGGTCAGCGATATAGCAGACCGGCCAGAAAATATTCCATCTTTAATCAGACTCTCAGCATTCCCTAACGAGGCAGGAGAAAGATGAATTAACCCTTTGAGGTTTAGAGAGCTGATCCACACAGAGTTATCTCTACTTATTTTTTACAGATTATTTTCCTCAATCCTGAGAGAGCTGCAATGAAGGCCTCTAGCCTCTGAACATGGGCTGTCCGCTCTACCAACCGCGCTAAACAAGCGCTCCTTAAGCACTCCAACGTGCTGCAGCACATCAATGATGAACACAAAATGATGTGTGACAGTCCTGCTGTTTCAGACGTCTCTGCATGAACAGCATCACGTCTCCACAACAAGAAGCCACAGCACTTCTAAAGCCGAGCGGTGAGTCATCTGAAAGGCAGCTTGCTCTGTCAGTTCTCTGTTTGTTTCAGTGACAAAAATATCACCCAGTACTGTCTAAAAATAACGCTCTTCTCTGACCTGAGACAGGCTCATCGGGACAGACTGACAGAGGCTGGAAATAGAAAACTGTGAACTGTGAATGTATCAACAAAGTGAGAGAAATATAATTACAACAGCAATGAAACAGCAGGCTTTTCTTTGTGTTTAAACGCGTTAGAGAAACAACACTGACCGCAGGCAGCCCGTGGCATTGCGGAGAACCTGGGAGGAGTGTAGGTGGAGCTTGCGATCCTCCTGTGTATGAGGGGAGGTGTCCCAGCCCGAGTGCGGAATGATCACAGCATTGGTCAGCACAGCCAGAGCATCCTGGATGATGGGCATCTTCAGGGCGTCACATGACGACAGGTTCCACAGTACACCTGAAGAACAGGGAGACAGAGAGGAGGTGAGACATGAAGCCAGAGGACGACATGAGACAGAGAGGGGGTGAGACATGAAGCCAGAGGACGATATGAGACAGAGAGGGGGTGAGACACCGAGCCAGAGGACGATATGAGACAGAGAGGGGGGTGAGACATGAAGCCAGAGGACGACAGGAGACAGAGAGGGGGTAAGACACCAAGCAGGAGGACGATATGAGACAGAGAGGGGGTGAGACATGAAGCCAGAGGACGACAGGAGACAAAGAGGGGGTGTGACATGAAGCCAGAGGACGACAGGAGACAGAGAGGGGGTGAGACATGAAGCCAGAGGACGACAGGAGACAAAGAGGGGGTGAGACATGAAACGTCTGACAATAAAAGACTGCAGGGAGATGCTTGATTCAAATATTTAACTACAGTCTCCGACATTTAAAGCAACAACATGTAGGAATTCGGTTTGGTGCGTTTTGGTGCCCACAGAAGGTCACTGATTGCAACTGCACTAACTGTGCTGTTATACCTTCCCCTCATAGAGGGCGGTGTTGTTAGAAGACAACGATCCACGTTGACTGACAAGCTGCAGCTTGTTGTAGAGACCGATTCTCGGATTGGGTTTATTCGTATCAACCCTGAGACAGAACTCGGGTTAGTCGACTTCCTGCAGCCAGTAAAGCTGCTAAACATGAGACAACGATGACACCGGTAACGATACATGCTAAGGTTATGTCTCAATCGGTTCTGAATAATATCTGCAGGGATGAACACTCTCTTTTTCTCTCCTTAGCTTCATCCGTCACCGTCCTCTTCCTTGTATATGTTGTATCAAACAGAACAGAGACAGGCTAACTGTAAAGACGTATGTACTTTACTCTTGGCCCAGGTATTTTCTTTTCGTTAACCATTTAATAGACATTTAATAATAATAGTCATTTGTCCTCTGGGGACAGGAGGAGCTGGAAAATGCTTTTGGGGAGAGGGATGTCTGGGTACTACCGCAACCCGACCTTGGATAAGCGGAAGAAAACTGATGGCTGGATAACCATTTACTCTGTATGCTTTGATGGGAGATGCAGCAGCATCTGTCATCTCACTATGATTGACAGGTGAGAAGATCAAAGAGGGACAGCGATACCTGGGAAGAGGAGGAGCATGCATGCGTTCATACTTCTTATGTTCCTGATGAGCTGCAGACACACTGTATGTCTCTGGAGATACACTCAAAGCTCCGAGTCACACTCAGCTGTGAAGCCAGAGGACGACAGGAGACAGAGAGGGGGTGAGACACCGAGCCAGAGGACGACATGAGACAAAATAAAGGTTTGTATCCAAACAGGAAGTAAAGTATCCTTTGCTTAAGAAAGCACAAAAATAGCAAATAAAAGCCTAAAATGTAAAATTATTTAATTTCAAACATGCAATTTAAAATGTGATTAATCTAATGCATGATTAGAGCAGATGATTAGATTAAATATATAATCTAAATCTGTTGTACAATGGTTACTCTGTATTGTGAAATGTTATGGATGGTGCATGATGTTATCGTGCAGCTGCGAGAAAAAGATGACATTTGGATATCTCGAGTAAAGTCAGCTGTTTGCCAACATCTCGTAGACTGAGCCGAGAATGACATCACCTCCCTGAGGGGAAAGGAAGGGAGGTTTTATCGCCGATCTGAAGCACCAACCATCTCAGACATCCAAAATACACACACAGCCGTGACAGTCGGAGCAGGGTAATTGCTTCAGCCTTACATCATGAGAGGCAGCAGGAGGTTATGAATGCACAACTATACGGATGGAGAGGAAATGAGGCCGGCCGTCTTTCTTTGTCTCTGCGGAGCCACTTCCTGTCTCTCATGTGTTTGGGGATTTTTATTCCTCTGTCAAGTTTCTGTTTTCTGCAGCATCAAGGAACATGCACTGATCATCCATAACAGCAAGACCACCTGCCAAATAATATGTAGACCACCCCCCTCTCATTGGGCCCTGACCTGACAGGACCATAGACTGGATATAAACATGGACATCCTGTCCCCACCTCTTTCTTTGTACGAAAGTGAAGAAAAAAGTACCCCTTTAACGGGTACTAACATTTCATGCTGGTGACATAATGCTCAGAATCTGGACACCATAACCGAACACTTTTAACCTACCAATAAAACGCCAAAGACCCCTCAGGTTTGGGTGCTAGAGAGCCTCGTGGTTATGGCGTGGGCCTCTTGTACAAAGGCAATAGTCGTCGTTCTTATCCGACCTTGACCTTACGCTGCATGCTGTCCCACCACTCTCTCCTCCCAACATTTTGATCCAGGAGATGTCGCCCTTGAGCACCAGCATTAAACCAAAACAAACTGCTGTTTCACCACACCTCCTCCATACTGAAGCCTCCAGAGACACACCTCCATACCCCGTCCACTTTACTTTAAAGTGGACTTACTAACATCCAAAAAATCAGTGAGTATGTTCTTCTTCTTCTTCTCTAGTTCTTGACTAAAACAGCTTTTATACACAAGGGGAGGAGCCGGCCGTCCCGTCCATGTAAACACGGCTCTCACAACAACATAGCCAGCGGGACTCGAGCTTCTCACTCATTGTAGACAGTCATGACTCAGAGAGACATTTACACAGGATAGACTGGATTTATGATATATTTATGTGTCATTACGCCTTTAAGTTTGATTGATAGAGAAATGACACGTTTACAAAGTTACTTGCGGCACAGCGACTAAAAGAGCTACATATATTTCCTGTCAAAGTTTAAGAGTGAGTGGTCAAGATATAGAAAGTAGTAAATCTAGTTGTTGTGCAGGAGGAGGTCAGTTAAAACATTAGAAATACCACAGCGGGAAAGTTCCTCACAGCTGCTTCAAGGTTTGTAGTCTCTGTTAGCTTTAGCTCATCATCCAGGAAATGAAGGCGATAAATGTGTCAGAGAGAGAGAGAGAGAGAGAGAGAGGAAGTGTAGCTGGAGCTGCAGCTTGCTAGGCAGGCAGCGCGACTTCCCACTGTGATCCTGATTCAAAACTCTCACCAGAAGGGGGGGGGGGGAGAGAGAAAAAAAGAGAGAGGGTAAGCGATATAGAGAAAGAGTGTGAGAAAATGGAGACAGAGAAAGGCAAAGAGGACAGGAGAGAGACTGGAAGGGAAGGGGAGATCAATTACGAAAAAAACCCAACCACAGAAGGATAAGAGGGCGAGCGAGAGAGGCTGAGAAACAGAGAGAGAGAGAGAGAGAGAGAGAGAGAGAGAGAGAGAGGAGTTATTTCCTCAGGGTCTTTAAGAGAGAGGAGAGCAAGGTCTGTCTGCGTCCGGTCGGTCGTTCAGCTGATTAATTTGTGACAGGAGGGATTTCTGTGCTCCGTGCCTTGAATTGCTGCTCTAATTTATATGGTAATCTGCTTTAAGACTCCAGCAGCGTACTAAAAAACCTTTTATTTTCATCTCTGCTGAGCCTAAAGCCTCTCTATACTACTACATCACTAAAAACACATACATGTGAATGCAGACTGAGCCTAAAGCCTCTCTATACTTCTACTTCTACAACACATACTGGTGGTAGAGGCTGCTGAGTAAAGCATCCATCAGTATTAACTCATACATTCATACACATTCACATACTGATGGTAGAGGCTGCTGTGTGAAGAGTCCATCAGTATTAAGTATGAGTCCTCATACATTCAAACGAGGAAGCAGCAGGAGTAACTTGGGGTTAAGTATCTTGCTCAGGGACACATGGCTGCAGGAGCGGGGGATTGAACCCCCTGACCTTCTGGTTCAGAGACAAAGACTCTACCAACTGAGCCACGTGGTGCCTGTTTGGATTTAATGTTGATAAAGTGATGGAATATATGATCTGTATGTTGTGTTTTATTTTTAAACTGACCGGACGCTCTATGCATTTCCTCGTCTCACTTCCTGTCAGTGTCATTCTATCCTGTTCAGCTTCAACAGATAATGTTGACCAAGCAACGTAGTATGCAGCGTCTTTGACATGTGGTGAAATACTCGACATGCCAGTGATGTGTTCATGAGCGCGGGGGATGGACGGATTGGAACAACCCCCCCCCTCCCCCCCGGGAACAGAGTATAAAAGTGGAGTTCCTTTTTTAGCGCTGCAGACTCTGTCCCCCTCCAGGGTGTGGATGCTGATTAGAAAGGACTTGAACTAATGCTGGTCCTCCTTTCATCCTCTTTGTGTGGGACGTCAGTGAAACATTCAGTCACATGTTCAGGAAGCGTCTTACCTGTGAGCAGTTCTCGGATCTCTACGTCTGTGGTCTTCCTCAGCAGTCGGACCAGAGCCGGTATGCCTCCGCAGTTCTTCAGGGCGATCTTGTTGTCGTCGTTGGCTTTTCCATAGACCAGGTTCCTCAAGGCTCCGCAGGCGCTGCGGTGCACGTCGGTCATCCGGTGGTCCAACAAGTCCACCAGCAGCTGGATGCCACCCTGCCGCCGGATCTGCATACAGAGGGGAGGAGGGGGAGGAGTCAGGGTGTTATACTGGACGAGCTTGTATCAGTGAAGGAGAGAAGACTTGTTCTCAAGAGAATCAAAGTTTCCACTTTGTATGCTGTGGTTACAGAAAATGTGATGCTGCCCCCCCCCCCAACAAGATAAACAGCATGTGGACGTCTGCAGCCCTCCTTTCCTCCTCCGTCTAGACAGAGAGGAAACGCGGGGCGGACTGCTTCTTCTAAAACATTACAGACATTTGAGTGAAGGAGGTGACACAGAGACACATGATGTCTTAAAGCCTCACATGATGAATTCAACTAGAGATGGATTATTGACAAGACCAAACACAGTGACAGTATTTCATCTGAATCCAAACAGCCAAACACGATGGCACACAAACCCGTTAGAGCATCTCAATGAAGGACGAGTAAAGGTCTTTGTTTGTCAGCCCTGCTATAAATACTTTCAAACATCCGTCATCCTCTCGCCCCTCTCTCTCTATTCTTAAACCTGTCCGCTGCTTGAAGAACTTTGTTTGCCCCTAAATCCTTCGTCTCCATGGCGATTAATAAAGTTGAATTGAGTTGACAACCAATTGATAGAGGACAGGCCGACAGACTCCAGGAACAAAGTGCTAAGCAGAGTTTGGTTCAGTGTGAAACATGAGAAGTGAACCTAACAAGGAGTTTAGTGACGAGTTCACAGCTCAAAATATTTGTATTCTTCAGTACGGTCCATTCATTATCTATACCGCTTTGCCCATTCGGGGTCGCAGAGGGCTGGAGCTGATCCCAGCTGCTATTTGATGAGAGGCGGGGTTACACCATGGACTGTTCACCAGCCAATCACAGAGCTAACGTATAGAGACAGACAACCAGACACAATCACATTCACACCTACGGACAATTTTAGAGTCACCAATTGACCTAACGAGCATGTCTTTGTCTCCCACATGTCTGTGGGAGGAAGCCGGAGAACCTGGAGAACACAATCCTTCATTCTCAATCAGAGACCAGAACACTTCAGATTCTGAAATCCATGAACACTAAAGGTACGTGCTGGACAGGTGTAATGGTTAAACCGCCTGCCAACCAGAAAAGAGGCCAATTAACCCTTTCAGCCTGCCCCCCCCCCCCACCCCCTTGTTCCCTATCCCTCTTCCTGCATTTTATCCCATCTCTCCCCCTATCCCTTTCCAAGACCGGAGCAGTCTAGGCCTGTGAAGGCTGTTTCGTCATGAGCCGGGGATCCAGCCGAAGATCCCAGTTGCCTTGTTTCATCGACATTGCGGCTTGAGGCACGTGTTTGAAAGTTCTAACTTAATTATTCCTGTGTGTACATGTGTGTGTCCGTATGTGCAGACATGAGTGCATGAGTGCATGGGTGTGTATGTTTGTCTGTGTGTGTGTGTGTGTGTGTGTGTGTGTGTGTGTGTGTGTGTGTGTGTGTGTGTGTGTGAATACCTCAGATTTTATCTTGTTGTCTCCGAAGCAGAGGTGCTGGAGGTAGGCAGCAGCGTTGGACTGGACTGATGGAAACTGATGCTGCAACATCTGGATCACCTCAGGCAGTTCTGGATCCCTCCAGCCGAACTCCCTGCAGAGACACACACAAACACACACACAGAAACAAAGTCAGGATGTTTTCATGTGTGCACAGACATACATGTGTATTTGTGTTGATGTGTGTGTAGCTGGATGTGTTGCTAGTGAGGCAGGCAGCCTGCTGTCCTACTTTAACCCTGATTTAGAATGCTCATCAGAGAGACAGAGAGAGAGAGAGAGGGATGAAGGTTGGAAATGAATCAAGGAAAGAAACAGTTACAAACACGTAAATTTGTACATGTATGTACATTCCCAACACATGGAACTTTTAAAGGACTTTTAGGATGTTTAACATTCAGCAGAAACATGGATCATTTTTATCGTCACTCGTTGTTTACTATCTGACAGCAGCTGGAGGTCATACAGTGAGAAACACCTTATGAAGACATTATGATGGATTTATTCAGACCGTAGGTGTTTATATGGTGACCAGACAATGTTCATCTTTAAAAAAAGGGCAAGTCAAGTTTCTGTTACTTTTCAGCCAGTCGTGATGACTTTGTTCCTCCATATTCATTTATACTGAACCCAACAACAAAGTGACACAGCTTCAGTGTTTATCCAGCTCTGCATGGGTCTGTAAACCTTTCTGTGTTCTAACCTCTCTCCATTTTTCAAAAGCATCTCCAATATTGATCCTAGTTTGAGCACGTTTCTGCTCGTGGAGCTTATTAGAAACATGCAGAGGCTTTTTAGGTCGGGTACAATCACTTCTATCTGAACCACTTCTGTTGCCCGCTTCCATCACTGCAACACCTGTTGACCTGATAACTGCTCTCATATCTGGCAAACCGAGGGGTGTCCAAAACGGCCGTGTGGGGATGTCTTAAAACCGCCTACCTTCTCTGGTCCAAACAAATCCAGAGCATTCAGGAGCAGAATCTAAAGTTAGAAGGAGGACATACTGGCTGCTGCATTGTTGTCAGAGAAGCCAGCACTTCAACATAACATGTTTCTTTAATGATCATATAGTAAGGTCACTTTATCATTTCACTCACTGCACTTCTTACTGATTGGACCTTTAAAGCTATATCACTATTTTGTAAAAATAGTGTGTTTTTCCAACTCTATGGCTAGATTTTGAGTCTCGCCCACCAAGCCTTGCTTTACCCAGATATGCACATGGAGAAATGGTTTTCTCAAATAAAATCTCATGAAAATCCTAAGAAGAGTAGAAGCTGATTAAAAGATTTGAAGTGAAACTGGGATATCTTGGCACCAGAAGCACCAGAAGATTACACTGATTTCTACATTTCCAACGTTTAAACCATGAATAATATAAAAAAACGGGCGTAGTCTCACACATTGAGACAGTGTTTTGAAGCCAAGTGGTGATGGTTGCCATATTGGAGATATTTATTTAAATCTATCTTACGATCAATCGAGTAGAAGGTGAAGAGATTCAAAGCTGCAAAATGGATAGATCATTTTATCAGATGTAAATATGTGATTAACTCAGAGAAGGTCTCCTTCATGTCAGGCCTCCTTCTCTGAGTTAATCACATATTTACATCTGAAGCAACAGCAGTCATCTTGGATCCTCAGAGGGATGAATCCTTCCTGCTTTGGTTTTTCAGATGTAACAAGGGTCTGCTCGTGCTTTCGCCTGAAGGTGCCCTTTAGGCATAGATTCACACACACACACACACACACACACACACACACACACACACACACACACACACACACACACACACACACAGTGTGCGAAAGATGTGATGTAAAAGAAGTCATAGAGAGGGGGTGGAGAGAGGAGAGGGAGGCGGGGCTTATCATTGTAGATTATCTGTAGGATTGACAGCACTGGTTTCTTGACAACAAACTAAGACTTGTACAGAGGCTGTGGTCTTCAAAGCGGGGCAGCCCAAAAATAAATCTTAAAAAAAGTTTGTTTGATTCACACACGTCACCTAGAGGCCAGAAGGGAGGGGCTTAAAGATTCCTGGACATTAGTATGTGATTTATTTTTACTTTTCTTTGACACTTTTAATTGTGGGCATTTTCTGCCTTTAACGGAGAGACAGGACAGTGGATAGAGTCAGAAATCCGAGAGAGAGAGAGAGAGAGAGAGAGAGAGAGAGAGGGAGAGAGAGAGAGGGGCAGGAAAGGAGCCACAGGCTGGATTTGAACCTGGGACGCCCGCTTGGAGGACCATAGCCTCCATACATGGGGCGCGCACTAACCACTGCGCATATCAGCGATTTGCGCCCTCTGAGTTGGGGCCCGCTGCAAGCACCTACATCGACAGGAAGTCAGACAAGGAAACGGAAAGAGCGTCCAGACAATTTCAAAATAAAACACCTGATCTTATGTTTCATCACTTTCTCAACATGTTTGCACGTTGTTCTCTTTATCCCAGCCTGATCTAGTCCTCCTGTGATGTGTGTACAGCTGAGTGTGCTGCGCTCCTCTGCGCTCCGCTGCGCTCACGTTCCAGAAACGCATCCAGTGGGACAGGGTCCACGCCGTCCAACGGAGCGAAACTGTGGTGC